CTCTGAATGCTTTAATGCTTTCATCTGCATTAGTGCTAGTTAAAGCATTCTATAGTCTTAAAACATTCATAATGCAAAATATTTATACCGATATGAACCATCTATTGCTTTATTCTTCTTCTTCATCGATATAAATGCATATGCATGAGTACAGTTACACACTTCTAAATCAACAATGCACATATTGAATGTGTAGCTGCTTATAGGGAGTTTACATGGCAAATATCTACAGTATGTTGTACATATTTATACACAATTTTACTGGGTTAAGGAGCTCACTGGCGCCATTCCTAATACATTTGTGTAAAACTTTAGTTGTTTTGGTATTTTTAACTTTGGTTGCTTGCATTGTTTATGCGCATTGCTCATATTCATTTCGCGTTTGCTATTCCACTAACTGTTTGGTTTTCTTGCTTTTAATTTTATATATCTCGTGTTTTTACTTCTTTCATCTTTAATTTATGTTGTCACTTTTGTTTATATGCCATGCGTATATGCTCAGCAGTGGCTTTTGCATTTTTCAACACTAAAATGGTAAGTTTATTGTTGGCATAATATTGCTTTGTGTACATATGTATATATATGATGTGTGTACATATGCATATAACTATATACATATATATGTATGTATGTACTTTTATGTGTAAATATAAATCACTCATGCATGCAGGGAATTCCAAGGAATTCGCTTACTCACCAATACCACAACTAGCACAAAAACGTTGCCATATACATACCATAGATGCATATGTACAATTAGTAAATATGAGTATTCAGTTACCTTGCTAGCAGTCATTATTTCACTTTTTCTGTTGCTGCCACACACATAGAGGTTTTGGTTGCCTTCAAGCTTTTGCGGTTTGGTTGTTATTTGGTTTTCCTTATTTGCCTTTTGCTGTGGGGGAAATGTTTGTGATTGTTTTTATTGCAAATGCTGATGCTAAAAACATATATTTACATATTCGTATACATTTTTATAAATATATTCACGTATATTTGTATGTGTATATGTGTACTTTTGTTTCTACACGGTTCAATAACCATTAGTGCTGTATTTGTATTAGTTTTTGGCGACCAACATCAACATTTTTCCGCTTGTGTTTGTTGCCGTTTTGTGCTACAATTCAAACTATGATGAATTGTTCTATTCGAACATGTTTGTTTACATTTTATAAATAACTATTTTATCGTTCCACTGTAAAACGTTGATCAAATATCTGTAATGTAAATATTCTGTAAATTGTTTTGTTATAAATGACTGTAGAAATCGCGAAACCGTTCTACGGGGAGCATCTTATATATTGCTAAGCAAAAGAGCTCACTAGAGCTCTAGAGACTTTGGACTCAAGTCTTATTACGGCTAAATTTATTACAAATCTTTCGAAAAAAAACATTTTTTGAGAATCCTTCAATGAAGATGCATTTGTTTGAAAAGAAACTTTCGGTAAAAAACCAAAAACCAAAGGTTGCCACATATTTGAAATTTTTAAATACATAAAATATAAATCAAACTGAAGAGCTTTCAGAAACAAGATTAAAAAGAGATTTCAGTGAAAAATATTTTTGAGGCATGTTGCCATCTGTTTAAATTTTTTAATAAAATTAAAATTTTAAGCTAAATTAGTTAGCATAATATGAGAACCAAATTAGAGAAACAAGGCTAAAAAGAAATTTCAGTGAAAATATTGTTTAAGGCGGGTTGCCATCTGTTTCATTTTTTTTTAATTAAATGAAAATGTTGAGGTGGTTATCACAATATGAGAACCAAGCAAGAGAAATAACGTAAAAAAGAAATTTCATAGAAAATATTTTTTGAGGTGGGTTGCCACCTGTTTAAACTTTTCAATCAAAGTAATAAAGGTTATCACAATACGAGAACCATAGCAGAGAGATTTTTGAAGACCTGCAGATATAATTTTGAAAAAGAAGGGTTGCCATTTATTTAAATTTGTTATTAAACTTAAATGTTAGCTAAACGGGTTTAATTAAATGAAAGATATTTCTAAAAAATGTTGCTTCACCAAATGATAAATTATAATCAATAAAGCAATATTATTAACAAATTGAAAGTATTTGAGAAATATTTGATGAACCATGGCACTGTTTCCTATAAGACCAGCATTTTTATGTTTAAACAATATATTTTAATAGACCCCTCTTTATTGCTTTGAATGTTTACGACACACTCAGGGGCGATTCACTGCTATGCAAACACTTTTATTTTATTTTTTATTTTAATCAATCGTTCAGTGAGTATACCATATCAATAAATTCTGAGCATAAAATTTCGATAGAACAACTCATGCCCACATGCATGCATCACATGTTCATCATACGCCATGGTGTACCATTTTTATACTCTCGCAACCTGTTGCTACAGAGTATAATAGTTTTGTTCACCTAACGGTTGTTTGTATCACCTAAAACTAATCGAGTTAGATATAGGGTTATGTATATATAAATGATCAGGATGAAGAGACGAGTTGAAATCCGGGTGACTGTCTGTCCGTCCGTCCGTCTGTCCGTCCGTCCGTCCGTCCTTCCGTGCAAGCTCTAACTTGAGTAAAAATTGAGATATCTTTATGAAACTTGGTAGACATGTTTCATGGTACCGTGAGACGGTTGGTATTGCAGATGGGCGTAATCGGACCACTGCCACGCCCACAAAACGCCATTAATCAAAAACAAATAACTTGCCATAACTAAGCTCCGCAATAAGATACAAGACTGTTATTTGGTACACAGGATCACATTAGGGAGGGGCATCTGCAGTTAAAACTTTTTTTTTTAAAGTGGGCGTGGTCCCGCCTCTAATAGGTTTAATGTGCATATCTCCTAAACCGCTTATGCTATAATAACAAAATTCACTAGAAGAAAATGTTTTTAGCACTTCTATTGACGGTGTGAAAATAGTTGAAATCGGGTGGCAACTCCGCCCACTCCCCATATAACGGTACTGTTAAAAACTACTAAAAGCGCGATAAATCAAGCACTAAACACGCCAGGGACATTAAACTTTATCTCTGAGATGGTATAAATTGGCTTTATAGGAACCGCGTTCAAAATTAGACAGTGGGCGTGGCACAGCCCACTTTTAGGTGAAAACCCATATCTTGAGATCTGCTCAACCGATTTCAACCAAATTCGGTGCATAACGTTCTTCTCATGTTTCTATGTCATAGTGCGAAAATGGGCGAAATCGGACTACAACCACGCTTACTTCCCATGTAACACCATTTTCAATTCCATCTGATTCTTTCACTTTCCACTATGCAAATCAGGTAACAATGATTATATCGGGGTAAAACTTTGCGTGAATAATGCAATTAAAGTATGCCACCTTGCGGCCAAAAATTGTCTAAATCGAACCAAAACTGTTCAAGCCTCTAAGTACTAAATATGTGGGCCCCAGTGCCTATAGTTGATTTTCTACCGAAAATATCAGTCAATCCACAAAGAAATCTCAAACGAGTATACCATTTGACTTTGCGAGAGTATAAAATGTTCGGTTACATCCGAACTTAGCCCTTCCTTACTTGTTTTATTTATGTACACTCACATAAGCGTATAATTCTCATGTATTCATTAGTAAACGCCTTTTCATGAATTTCAAGAATCAGCCACACTTTAATGCATCCATTAGCTTCAAATAGTGAGTCATTGATTCTATGGCACGCATTTCAGAGCGCACACGTGCCAGACGTTCTCACAGTGTATTGAGCTTGTATTGAATGCAAACAAAAAGCTTTAAGTTTAACAATGAAAAGGTAATTTCTATTGAATAGTCTACAATCATACGAGTGCGTTAACGAATTTCGTCGAAAGAGATCTGCACACGTATATAAGACCAATACCCATGTGTGAAGTATTCCATTATATATACAGATATATACCGTATATTCTATAATAAAAATTTGTATGCATATACGCCCACCTTAATTCGCACACAAAATTCTGTTTTGTTTTGTTGCTTTCGCACAAATACTAGTAAATATAACAAATCTGTTTGTACACAAATCCGGTTGGCGCGCTTGCCACTTATTTGCGTAAATTCAAAATTTTCTTCTACTCGCAGCCAAACTTATCAAAGTTGGTTGTGGCATTGTATGTATGGCAGTGTCAGAATGTAGTCTCGTGTTAAATTCACATTAAACTTTTGGGGCTTCCAGATGGCAGCCATTTGATATGCACGAGCCACACAGACGGTAGGCACCCACGAGCGCAGTTATGTTGGTGAAATTGAATAAGAAGCTATTTTTAGCAAAATATTTTCGGTGAATATTAATGTGATATGCTCGTACTTATATACATATGTGTGTGTGGACATATACATATTTATATAAATATAATATTTATATATAACCATGCAACATTTTTACACAAATTGGTATATCAGCATTATAAAGTTAAACAACTTAGCTTTAAAGGTATATATTATATTATAAGGCTAAACATTGAGGATTTCCGAATATATTTTTCTGGCCTAGCGCCATTATTGATGAATCATTTCCGTTTTATATGTCGCATAATTTTTTAATAAAGCGTTTTTTTACTGTTCACAAGCGGTGTTGGTTATAGAAATGTTTGATAATATTCAAAGCATTTAGAGGCAATTCAAAAGGAAGAGGTTTGCGAAAATAATAGTACTTACTTATGGTTAAGGTTAAACACGAAAATAGATAAATGTAAGCCAGAAAGTGTGTATTTTTTGGAAATCTCTCATAATTTCAATTATGAACGTCCTCTCTCACTTGCTCTCAATTTCAGCTTCGTATCTCAATTACTCTCCCGTGCTGCTTCTCTCTCTTCCGTCACTTTTTCAAAAGACATCTTGAGTTTATCTAAACAGTTTCTATCAGAGGTGTTACACTTAGTGGAACTCGAACTAGTTGGAGTTTATTCAATTTCGCTTCTTGTTTATAAAAAAGCAATAAAAATTATTATTGTCTTCGTATATTAGTTAAAAGTTTTTACAACTACAATTCTTTGTTTGCTTGCAGTTCTTTGATTTCTCCGACATCGCCGAAGATGCTGCACGCCAATTCACTGAATTTATTACGAATAAATTTGGCACCTCAGGCCCACCAACGCAGCAGGCCATCACAGCGGAATTGCGTGAAGAGCTGCGACGTCGTGCCAACGGCATTGCCAGTTATGCACTAAATGAGGATGAGAATCTGTTGGCGTTTGCAATTGCAGCGCCGAGCATACAAACGGTTGTGGTCAAGTTCAAGGACGATGTAACGGTGAGTGTTGATACTTTTTGAAAATTATATATCTCTTCAGGTTTTTATTTCGGCTTTTATTTCTGTGACAGATACCACCGGAGCAGATACACAATAAAGCTATTCTTGGTTCCTATTGGCGTGAATTGGGTGTGGCGTGGAACAGCACCGAGAGCACACAGGAGTGGGGTGCACCATTCCGGGATTGCAATGTGTTGAAAGGACGTTGGCTGTGGCCGTTTCGCATTACATTTAGTGAAAATAAAATAAAGTAAGTTACTAAGCAGTGCATTAAACGAATATCTGCAATGTTGGCAGCAAGTTGTTGTCTGATATGTCTGACTATAAGTCATCATTGCTAAAAACAAAAAAAAAAAAAAAATCATTCTAATTGACCTAACAGTTACCATTGGTATTTGATTATTAAAAACTACATAAATATTATTAAGCTCTGAACATACCCGTAAACATTTATTGAATTCGATTTTGTTACGTCTAATATAAAAATCTACGCACTTTTCAGAATTGGTGCGGTCGCCTTTATCGCTGCTGATGAGGACGTCTGTAATGATGGGCTGGAGGAAGTTTTCGGACGAAAGCATGGGTAAGCTCATGTTTTATGTATTGCTTCTATGATTTTCTCAGTGTAAATTCAACCCGCAGAACCAAAAATCAAAATAATTCTCCATATTTTATTAATTATCAATGCTTTTTTTTATTATTTTAAATTATTATTTTTATTATTTTAAATTAATTATTTTTATTTCTTCCGTATTTCTACAGCTGCGATCGCAACACCACATTTTGTTTACTTACCGAGAATAAACCCTCGGCGACACGCGATGTCTATACCTGCATCTGTCGTGAATCCTTCTATTTGCCCAACTCAACGCTACAGGGTTTTCGTGGTGATATCGTGGAGGCATCCGAGGGTTATGGCAATTATTCATGCATACCCTGTCCCGATGGCTGTACAACTTGTGATCAGCATGGCGTCTGTTTGTTGGGTGAACCACCCGAGGTTGTGTCAATGGAGAGCTTATTAAATGTATCTGTGGGCTCGGTATTGGGCGCATGCATACTTTGTTGTATTGTATTGAGTGTAATTGTTTTCCGGCAGCGAAAGTGTAAGGTGAGCATGAAATTTGATATTTTGTTATTTTAGCACAGTAATATTTCGAAAATATATTTGTATAATTTTTAGTTAGTTTATCGGGTTTCTTGGTAGAAATCTCACTAACATACTTGTAATCTAACATATTCATTTGTTTCAATATTACTGAAAAATCAATATATAATCTTCATATTCATAATTTTCAATATTTTCAGTCTATTGCCTCAGGCATGTGGACCGTGCTGGAAACAATTTTATTAGGAATTATATTACTTTATGCATCGGTAAGTAAAAAGTAAAAAAGCCTAACCAAATTTAAATTTTCTTTGTTATATACTTTTTCTCAATGAGTTAAGGGTTTTATTAGTCTAAAGCTTATTTATGCACTCAAATAGTGTTAGAAAAAATATAAAAATACTAGATATATGTTTTTTCTGACAAGTCTATTATAAAGTCTTATAATTATACCAAATACAACTCTTTCATACCTCACTATCGCTCCTTTTCTCTCTTCCACCCTCAAGGTTGCCGTCCATTTCTTTCCCGCCACTACCGAACGCTGTCTGCTTGAACCATGGCTGCGCGAACTTGGCTTCATCACCTGCTACGGTGCCATCATATTGAAACTGTATCGCCATCTTGTCGATTTTCGTACACGCAAAGCACATCGTTGGGTATTGCGCGACATTGATTTGCTGAAATATTTGGGCACCATGGTATTTGCGGTCACCTGTTATATGGCCGCCTTCACTGCCGCCGCACTAGATCTGATCGATGTGTCACAATTGGGTACATTGCGTGAGCAGCGCACAAACACTTGCCTGCCACTCAAGTGGGAATATGTGACACAGGTCAGCGAAGTGTTGATACTCTGCTTTGGACTGCATTTAGCTTTCGCCAGTCGCAATGCCAACACGCAATTTAGAGTGAGTAGCATGAAAACACCGCTATTAAGCTCTGTTATTTATATGCAAATTTTATGCTTGCAGGAAAGGCAGTTCCTCGTTGCGACACTGATCATCGAATTCCTAGTGTCGACCACATTCTATGTTTTGCGTTTCTTCTATTTGCCCGAAATGAGTCCGAGCGCTATATTTTTAGCGCTTTTCCTGCGCTCACAATTGACCAACACCATGGCGTTGGGTTTGATATTTGTGCCAAAATTGTGGTATCAGCATAAGCAGGTGAGTCGTCAAGCTGAAGTTGAAGAAATTGGTCATAATGATGACGTTGATGTTGACGAAGAGGAAGAAGATGAAGCAGAGATCGTTTGTTAAGTTCTATATCATATTTTTTTATTATTATTATTATTGATTTAAGTTGAAATTATCTATTAATTATCGAAAGTATTTAAATTTTTCGAAAGCGAGTCATATTATAGATATCAAAGTTAGTGAAGTTTCGTTGCAGTTGCAGAGTTTCGAGATTAAGTATTTTTAAAAGTTTGATAGTTAGAATTGATAATTCAATATTTTTAATTTAAATAACTAATACCTCTAATTAACGTGTTAATTTAGCACTTTATATTTTTTAAGAGACATTTGACACGCCTTTTAGGAAGTGTTCTCTTCCACACATTATATTAAATCAATTACAAAAAAAATAATTTAAACAAAATAGCTATCGAGGTGTATATTTGGCAGTATAATTGATGTAAAACATTGAAAATGCAAAATATAAGCTCACCCAGAAAAATAAAAATGTTTTCCATATATTTCTAAAAGTTTAATGTTTTTGTACTCATACTTCGTAGTCGCCTTTTATGCTTCCATTTTTTCTAAAAGCCATAGCATTTTTCTGAAAAATATTTCCCAAAAGCATAAAAAAACATTGATAATAGGAATTTTAAACATTAAAAGCAAAAAATTTACAAATATGTCGAAACTTTTATTAAAGCTCTTTCTTTAGCAAATCAGCAAACTTTTTGTGAAAGCTTTAGACTGCTTTGCTTCCATTCATTTTAATAAACTAGCATTAAATTCAATATATTGACCATTTTAAAAGGCTTTTTGTGAAAGCTTTAGACTGCTTTGCTTCAATTAATTTTAAAAAACTAGCATTAAATTCAATAATATTGTCCATTCTAATAAATAATCTTAAAAAAGAAATTGTTTTAAAATTTTTTAATGGGGGAATATTTGTATTATTATATTCATTGAAAACTCACAATTTTAAACCATTTTGGTTCCCTTTGAAGTTCGAAAAATTTTATTTATAGGGCATTAAGATTTTTTACAGTGTGTTATAATAGTTTAATATTCGGCACATAATTTCTTTTTATATTCTCTGTAAATTAAACATCACAGTGTATATTACATACAGTTTATAAAAAGTAAATGTCAAGCTAATGTGTCAAAGGAAACTGTTTTTAATTTTTAATGCTTTGTATTTAAAAAAAACATTAATTTCCCTTGTTTTCCAATTAAAAAATTAATTAATTATTAATTAACTATAAAAAATACTAATAAAACTAACTGTATATATTAACAAACAATTTTAATTATACATGCTAATAATTGATAAGTTATATATTTATAAATAAAAACCAAATAATAAAGTCGAGCTATGAAGTTGCTGCAAGTGTTCTGCGTGCGTTTGTTTTCATAATTTGTTTGTGTTAATTGCAATTTTGTTGATATTGAATTACATTTTTTTTAATTTTCTACTTAGCCTCAAACTTTTAATTGCTAGCACTAACCTAGAAATTGCATGCAGTAGTCGAAAGTTACTACTTTTAATGCATAGCACTATATCTACAACTGCATTTGCATGTGGTTATTAAAGACATTAATTATAGGAGAGGTAATCACAATGTTTTATATTTTATATAGTTTTTAAACTTAACTTAGAACAAACATTTGTAACATTTTTTTTAATATTATTTTTTTCAAGTAATAAACCTTATGCATTATTATAAAAGTCAAAATACTTTCTAGCATAAAATTACTCTTCGATTATATCGCATAGAAATAATCGATGGAAATATTATTTTCAGAATTATATTTTCCACAAACATAAAAACATGTAAAAACAATAAATTAAGTTTTTCACATTTTTCAACCACAACAACACTATTTGTATTTTATGAATGTTCTATTTATGCGACTGTGGCTGTACAATATATTATATATACATATACAATAGAAACTATTTGACAGCACTTTTGAATGCTTTTCTGCTCGCTATATAGAATGTTTTCAACATATTTTGCTCTCAAATAATAATTTAAACCTTGTTATTTTAATTATTATGACAAAAATCGGTTTCCTATCGTGAAAATTCATAAAAATTATAAATCTTAATCGTATTGCCCTAACAAGTGCCTTAACTAAATTCGCATACCAAAATCTGACAGCAGGAACATTAGCTCATAGATACTCGTATGTATATATTTATGCTAATTAGTTATTTAGAAATAATTATGTATTCCGATAACAAAAATAGCCTTGAGCCCATTCTCTCTCTCTATCTCCGAAACTTTTCCTTATCTCATTAAGAATAAAGATTTATGTGTACAAGTATATTAGTTTACTATCTCTTTTCAAGATAGGTTGGCTATATTTTATATTAATTTTATTTAAATATTATTTTATAAATTTATTTTTAATTTTACATATTTATTGTTTTTACTTTTTACTTCAATATGATATCTATAATTTTACATTATATACTCTAACATTAAAAAATATAAATATTTTTGTTTTTATAATACTTTTTTTAAATAATTAATTTTATTATTAATAATTTGTTTTTTTGTAAATAATTTTTTTTATTTATAAATAATTAATTTTTGTTTTTAAAGACGCCCGAATGTCAAGTTTTTATATTATTTTTGTTTTTCTTTTATTTTCCTGTTCCTTAGCGCCAACGTCACAACAATGTACAATAAAAATAACGCACCAACAACAACACACACACATCTAAGTTAAGCTCATTCAAAGCAAATTTAACCTAACACGTTCCCATAACAATAAAAAAAAATTAAAATTAAAAAAGTTGAAAACTAGTACAAACAGTTTGCACAAACACAGATGTAACATAAATATATTATATGACACAACACAATAGCACCAACAAATTACTATTTTTTTAAATTTTTTTTTCATTGATAAAATATTATTTTTCAATTTTTTTTTAATTTTTTATGAGTTTTTTCTTTAATTTTTTTCGTTCTCCATGCAATTCTAATATTTTGTATATTTTTTATAAAATAATCATTATAATTTTCTCTCATCTCTACTTAATTTGTACTAACATACATACAAAATCTTCAATGTATGTATCTATCACTCTTCTGTTGTTGTTGTGTTATTATTTTCGTTACCATTCTTCGTGTGTTTTGGCAGTGTTTGTTGCAAATTCATAGCTTGCAGGTCCCCTTGCCCATGAATCTATCAATACGTTTACCTGTGGATGCTTTCAAGGTCAATGATCCACAACGTCTGGGCGGTGGTTATGCTGGTCTATGTTTGGGTGATCCCGATATTGGTGAATTAACCATTGCCGAAATGAGCCCAGAGGATATACGTGCTGAACTTAAAAGGTAAGCTGAACCAAAACAGAAAAAAATTATTGAATATACAGTTGCATATTGGAGGCGTTCAGAGCAAAGTCATTAAAATGTTCGGATTTTATATTCTACAAATAAAAAAAATCCATTTTTTATAAGAATAGAATTTAAAAAATTAAATATTGTAAATAAATTATCTTTTTTTTAAGCAACAACCACCATTTTAGTAAAACACACTTAATTTGTCAATGCCTCCAATATACATAAATATCCCTAATTTAATATGAGGAAAAAAATAATAGCTATGTATGTAAATTTTTTGCAGACTGTATACACAACTTGAAATTTTAAAGAATAAAACCTTACGTCAAGACAATCCGCATATAAGTAAACGACGTGGCGGACGGAAAGCTGGACATCGTCGTTTCTCGTTACAAGTAAGTTTTACAAAGAATAACAGAACCACTAGTCTGAAATCACACACCATGCATAACATAAAAGAGAAAACTTGTTGAACGCGAAATTATAAAAATATATATACAGTCAAACCTGTGTAAGAGAGAACTAGGTAAGCGAAGACATTTCTCATTAAGTCAGAATAATTCTCACGTCCCGAACTTTGACCACTCAAAAACCTCTATGAGTGCGAATCAAAAACCTTTATAAGTGACAGTCGTTTTTCTTCTCACTCTGACCTCTATAACTGAGAGCCTCGTTTGTATTTACCTCTATAAGCGACAACTTTCCTAGTTGTGACTCATTCTTATTTTTCAGGTATCAGGAATTTTGTTGCTTTCTTGTAATTCAAAGAAATTATATTTAACTATATTAGCTTATTTGTCATGCTCACTGTAGTTCATAAATATCATTTGCAACAAACAGTACAGCTCTTACAGCAACTTATAATGTCTAAACGAAAAATCAACGTGTTTTCGTTTTAGTGAGAAACCTATATAAGCGAGAAAAAAATTATGCTCCCTTGAACTCTCTCTTAATCAGGTTTGACTGTACATATAAATATACCGTTATTTTTAACTATGAATAGTAACTGTTTGAAATCATCAGTAAAATCCAATTATATACAATACAATATTATAAATTTGAAGTTTCTGAGCCCAAAATCAGTGTATATGTATAATCTGTACAATGATTTGTGTATATATTATATAAGTATATATATATAACAGCAATTAGCGCTGAGAAATTATGATTTTTAAAATAACTTGTGTTTCGTACACTTATATAAAAAAGTCTAGAAGTAAAAATAAACCCATACTTGCTTTTTCGAAATCTTAGAATTTAAGCAAACGCTTAGCTCAGTTCCAATTTAGTGTTAATTCAGTTGGATGTTATACATAATTTCATGCGTTACATCATAACCTACAATAACATATTAAATTTTGTTTGTTTATACAATAAGTTGTCATATCTGAAAATATAGTCTATGATATACATAATATATATATATATATAATATAATAATACATATATGTATAATACATAGTTAGCTTATAAATGAAACTTCATCAATACCCATTTTTGTAATTATTTTGTAAACAATTCATTATTAATTGTAAACATTCATTATTAATTTATCGTAAATGTTTTCGTTACTAATTTCGTTACCATGTAGAAAAAAGGAAGCAAAGATAAGGTAAGAACCGAACTAAACACATCAAACAAAATCTCTCCTTCTTGTGTAGATAACAAATTTGAATAAAATCCCGCAATATTCCCATACTTTAATTAACTTCTTGGTCTGAAATCGTATTGTCCCACATCAAACCCACCTTACTTTCCTGATCTTCTCTTAAATGTGTGAATATAATTGTAAATCTGTTCGGTGTGCCCTAGTACTCTGTATATAACTATAACTGGTGTGTAATCCAAAAATCCTTCTATAAAAATGTGTGCTGTGAGTTAGTGTGTGTTGAAGACTGTACTAGGAGGTATAGAAACGTGTTTTCTTTTATATGATATAACACAAACTTTTAACCCTCGCACCCTGTAAGTAAAAGTGGAAAAATTCCTTAAAATTCTTAACGATCTCAAAAGCTTTCAAGACGCATATTTGGAATACTATGTTGAAATCCATTGCTGTAGCAACAGGTTTGTGTCATAGCGTGATAGAAGCTGTCGAAATATAAAAAAAGACCGCTCGGGAACTTTTAAACTAATATATATGCATATACACAGACAAAAAAATTTGGATTCTGGTAGCTGTGGAAGCATAAAACATTGCCCAATAGAGAACGTTGATTATCTGACAATCTTTAAATAAGGACCGTCGGTCCATGCTGAACTAGAAACGTTCCTAACCGTTCCCACGACAGTCGGTTCTATATGACCGGAACGGAGCCGGATTTTTATTCGGCTAAGCACTGCCAACTCGGCAGAATTCTGTTGTTACTACAACAACAACAGGAGCGTTCCTTACCCCTGTATCAAATATAGTTACGTTGTTGTTATTTAAGATGCTGACAAGGCTTTAATATTATTGTCTTCTGTGAATGTAAAATATTCAGCAGAAAAGAGTCATCAATTCGCTTTTTAATTGGTATCTGATTATAAGAAACGTCCTCTTAAAGACATAAAAATAAAATGTGTTCTCTTTTAAAGACAAATAGAGAGAAACCTATGCTGCATTAGATTTTTAGGTTATGTCAGACTTCGTAAAGCCAATCATGTGTTTTAAAGCGCAAAGTTTAAAACTGCGATGGAGTCAACGGATTTTAAAAAGCGTTAACAAAAATTCTATATCTTTGAATTTATAGAGTCTTCTTATAGCAAGAGTATATACAATAGTTACCACATATGTAGTGTCAGCATACCAACAATCAATTAACGCAACTCGGCGTCGTAACCATTAGAGCTAAGCACACGCCCACAGCACACTTTCGACACTGACTTCCTCTTTTATACCTACATAAATCTTTATAATGTACCTCGTTATCTTACAAAATATCACTTGTATGTACATAGATGTGAACAAACCCTTCCCAAATAGCTTCCTTTTATTAAAAAAAAAATCATTATGTAGATTCCAACGATTTATTTGAAACTTGGTTTTTACACTTCTAACAACCATTAACAACACACATACTTACGTACATGTATAATTTCAATGCTTTGAAGCTAGAAAACGCACGAAAAGCATGCGCTCGTATTAACTTATAACATTATTAAATATATTTTTTTGATTTTTGTCTACATAGTATGTACATATATGTAAACGCACATCTTTTCTACAAATCTTTATAATACAAAAAAAGAAAATCATATCAGCACAATATCAGTACGCCTAATAGATGTCCATACTTACGAGTATTAACTACCACTCAATTAAAAAAAATCATATATATATCTATATCTATGTATATATATAATAATTACTTTATTTTACTTATTTTTTTACAACTTCAGGCTCTAAGTGCCAAACACCGTAGCAACAAACATCATCAAGATATTGAAATCACCGAAGCCGAACCATCGCGCACACCCGAAGACTCAGTGTGCAGTGTAGAGGGCCCGACCGATGCAGAGATATCGGGCATTTCACATTCCATGCTATCACATTCCGCCATTTCACACTCAATCGTCTCGCATTCGAAGTGAAATACAAAGTCTACAACATGGGTGTGAAAGAAGCATGAAGAAGTGATTAAAGAAAAATCGTAAATAATTTAAAATCGCGTGAAGTGATAATAATAAATGCAGATAAAGGATTTTGAAGGTGACACGAGATTATTACTTTTTTTTTGTTTTTGGAAAATTTTGAAAAAACATGAAACAGAAATATTTTTAAACATCTGAAACTTAACCAATACATTATGTACATACAGATATATAGTTATAAACGCACTTATGAAGGTAAGCAGTTATACATATATTAGTATTTATAATAATAAGTTAAATGCTCGGTTTATATGATAAATTATTTTTTTTTTTTTACATATTTGTAAATTTTGTACTAAGACGATTATCTATTTACCATTGTTTAATGTAGCGGTATTTTTTTTCAAATAGAAGAAATATAAATTGTTGCAGAAATTTAATATATGTATATATAACAGTTTTCAAGTGATCGGGTTTTCTGGCTTAAGGGGTTACATTCACGTCTTCAAAAAAAAAAAAAAAATATGTTTTTATTGTCTTATTTAATTCTATAACATCTCTAGAATATTGTTCTTAATTTCTCAAGTTGATCCCAGTAATAGTTCTGGAGATGCAGCCTTGACAAGTTGGACGCTCGAGGTCAGCTATTTATTCACTTAAAACTTTAAACGCGATTTTCTCGAGACTGTTGTCAAACACGGTTGTCAAGATTTGTCACGAACTACTCAACCGATCTTAATGCAATTTTACATAGGTCTTCAATATATCCTTTACAAGGTATTGAATTCAATTACAATTATCTTCTTTCAATTACAACTATTTAAAAAACAAAAAACGTCGAGAAATTTTCACCGAAATGGTCTTAGTTCAACGTATTTGTTTTTTACTTTTGTTGGTCCTGTCAAAAATTCTGCTGTCAAAGCGGAAACACCTTTTTGCCGAGGGACTGCCGGAAATGACGTCGTAATGACCGAGTTTTAAATATTTTCCTTTGAAAATTTCACAAAATCTTTATCAAATATGTATTTTCGGAATAATAAAAAGTTTGAATAAAATATTTTATTTTTTATATGAAAAAATTGAAATGAATTTAGGACGTTTTTTGCCCAACGAAACCCATGTAACCTCTTAAGCAAGTCGATTAAAATCTATAAAGTTTTTTTGGTAATAATACCCCTCTTTTCTACATACAAACGAAAGCTCAATAGCGCTCTGCGTGGGTAAAGCTTTCATATGTTTTGGACTTTCATTAGTTTCAGCTTCGTGAACTCTCATAAGCAATTAGACTATATCCTTGTTTAACTGTGACTTATTTTATATTACAACGACAAGTTGTTTTAAAATCAAATGGGAAAAAGTTTAATTAAAAAAAATATATATATAATTTTTTTATTCTTTGCTGCAAATAAACGAAATCTTAAGCAAAATGTATGATACGCATTAGACGAAAAAACCAGTAATAATGGATATATGGTTTACTATAAAAAAAAATAATAATAGCGGTAAATGAAATAAAATAATATTAGTAAAAAGGAAGTGCTACAATATAAAGAGCAAAGCCCACCTCTGTAGAAAACAATGAAAACATTTACTTTAGAATTGTGCTGAAGACAAAAAAAGTTACAATGATTTTTTTGAAAGTTGTTACGGTAACTTAAGCACTTTTTAGAAACTCAAAACAAACTGCACAAACTTAAAATAGAAGAAGAACAATTAGTATTAGAAATTTAAAATTGTTGACATAAAATGTATGTGTGTGTGTAAATGCTGTAGAAAAATGTATTAAAAATTGATGGAAACAAAAATTTTCTGAAAAAAAAATTCGGAGCTTAAAAAGCTACAAACTTTTTGTCCGACTACCAACACGACGCGCCTCTATAGAGCCTACATATTATAGTATATGCAATAATATAGAAGAAACAAAATAAAGAAGTAACAGTAATGAGCTATACCTTCCAGCAAAACAATGATTTTCCAAAGGGAAATCTGCCATTACTAACTGCATTAATTAAGTTCCTCAACTTTGCTTTTAGTCGCTATATAGTTACTAATATAATTTGCCTTTTCCACCACGATTTCTTCTCAAATCTCGCTGTAAAATGCTAAAAATATTGATGTCTGTATGTAATTGTAACCGTAGACTAATTTGAGCGAATTGTGCTTAATGAAAGCTTCAAATACTATTAGTCCTATGATATAGCGCAGATAATACTTTAAACATGGCATACAATAATTAATGAATGCTGCACATACATACACACACACACATGTATGTATGTGTGCACAATTTAACTCAAAAGCCAAAACAGTACTCGAATCAGTTGTAAAATTGGAGCTTATAGTCATAATATCTACATGTTAACTGTATATGTGTGAGCTTAATTTCGTTGTAAATCCATTTACATATGTCTATATGTAAGTGTATTTCGAAAAATGCCGTTTTTATAATATAATTTTTTAAGCAAAATTGCTAAAAAATCAATGCAAGCTCCTGCATCAAGCTAAAAAATGCAAATAATATAAAATAAAATGTAAAAAATAATTATAGACGCGATGTTGTTAAATTTGTTGAATAAGCAAGATTATACAGAGTTCATAAAAACACCAGTTGTTGCATAATTTTAATCATAAAAAAATACAAATTCAAAAATACACACATGTACATGTATGCATGTGCTACTTTGTATATAAGCTTCCGAAAAAAGCTCCATGATGCGAAGCTTAATTAAACCATACTTCAAAGCTTGAATATTTTTTGTAAGACTGGGCGCCTTGAAATATGCAAACATTTGATCATTTAGCACTTTTTAAATAAATTTGGTTTTTAGTTTCTAATTTTTAATTTTTTAATCAATTTCTAGAAATGAATTTTGTTCCTTAGGAAAAATCCATTATTTATTTAAAAAGTAATAAACATTTTCAATTTGTATTAACTAAAGTCCTGAAATTATTGCTTAATATTGGTTACATGGTTTAAGAACCGGCTAATTTTATCAAAAGTCTAGATTTTTATGCGCTATAACTTAATTATTCATTCCAACGTTCATCAGTTATCAACATACTTTATCTTGCAGCTTTGCTATAAAATTAAATTTATTTAAAATGTAAATTGTTTTTTTTAAATTTTTGAAAGTAAGCTTTTTTTTCGTCAACTTTTTTATAAAAGCAAGTATTTTTTGTATTTCAAGCACCATCTTAGTAGCTGTAATCTACCACCAGCTATGTGCTTTGCTCCAGCAACTTGGGACCGTGTCTAAAAGTCCCAGAAACTTTATTATTAGATATTCAATCAAATCGATTTCATTAAGCAACGCGTCTTTTTTTCTGAGAAACCATCACTGCAGTCTTCTGCTTGAAGAGGAGTCTTCTGCCGTCTCGTAGGAAGTCTTTCCTTGATTACGTCGACGACTTCGGACTTCGGACACAACTAACTTTAGACACGCACTGAACGTCATTCACAGTGGCGTAATCAACACCTTCACCTACTCCCTTTTAGTGAATGGTGTACTTGGCGTCCAACTACCACCCATTGCAAACGAGAAGCACGAGTTGTCGCAAGAGTTGGAGGAATTTTGAGAAATGATGCCGTGTTGACAGTTTTTGGCTGGATAAAAATCCGCCTGCGTTTCGGTTACTTAGACCCGACTGTCGTGGGAGCAGTCGAAATTATTTCGGGAATGTTTTTTTGCCGCTAGAACAATAACAACAACAAGTTTCTCTGAGAATTTAGAGTTACGCTTGCGCAACTTCGTTTAGGATACTGCAGCAAGTTAAACTCCTACTTATGCAGAATTGACCCCGACATGTCCAGCTAATACTACTCACCCAACACACCTCTCCCTATGGTCCGACCCCGTCGAAACAGCATGTTTCTTGTGGCTAGCGTTGAGTGACTGCGATGATAACCAACATGAACCTTACCACCCAAGCGGTGACTAGATAACCGCTACAACAACAACACATCCACATAGAGGTAATACGGCTTCGCGGTAACAATTCCATATCCACTAAATCAGCGTAATAAAAAAACTGTGTGAGAAATCATGAGATTTGATCGAATCTGCTGGTTTTTTTTTTTATTCATGACCTTCTAGACCATTTCGCCTTCGACGTTGTACTCAGCTGCCTATAATTAATATCCGTTAATGTCTCTTTTAGGCAAATCAGTCTAGATCATCAGCTCCACTGATTTGTTATTCTCTACACCTTTTTACTGTTTTCAAATACTGTTTTGACGAAACAGCTTAACTGACTAGATTTTCTATCGTTATATTTTAAAAGTTTCTTCAGAAGTTTCCTTTCAGAAAGAATTACTAAAATAGATAATGATTACCATTCGGTACGCGATAAGCTCCAAACAGCGTTAAAATCGAAAATTTTCGGAAAATTTTGTAACAGCGGTTGTTTTTCTACATAAAAAGATTCTAAAGCGTAAGCACCAGGGTGTCGATTTTTTTTACAATACTATTATATATACTATTAATATTTTCTACTTATTTTATTTATTAGTTTTTAATATTTTCTAATATTATTTAAAGAAAATAATTATTGGTAATTTTATTTATATAATTATTATAAAGTATTAAAAAATAATATAAAATTATTAATAATTATTATTTTGTTAAAAATACTTTCAATTAAAATTCAAATGTGATTGCTCATGTAATCAATACTGCTTTTTTAATTTACAACCAAGTATTATAGTAATTGAATGCTCACTTAAAATTCATTCAGAATGATTTAAAGCGCTTTAATTTGGTAATTTTGTTAAGATCGAATTCAATATTTGCATTCTATGAGAAGGTGAGCTCAAGCAAAAAAGCGTACAATTCTGAAGTGTCCACTAAGTGTAAAAATATTGTAAATACTGAACAAATTTAGCCAGCAAGTGTGGGCAAATATGAACGTAATTAATGAAAAACAAAATATTTGCAAACTTACATACATAAATAATTAGTTAATGTACATACTTACGTATTTAGCGTAAAGGGAGACAAAAATGGCTAAACTAATTTAAAAAAAAATAAGTGGCATACTTATTTAGTATGTAGCTTAGTTGGAAACCGTGCAGGTATTAAAAATACGCACAGTAAGAATTATTCAAATCTATATATATATATTATATATACATGCATATATAACTAAATAGTTGAAATACTCATAGAATATAATCAAAAATGTTAAATTTGCATTTAGCATACATATATACATACAAATATAAACTTATATACATACATACATACATTTGTACAGACCTTAAAATATACATAGACACCGCTGCAGTTGAGAAAAGCAACAGAAGAACTGCAGAAACTTGTTTGATTAAATGTTTTAGACTCATACTTTTTAGCCGTACATACCAACAACAAAAACAAACATAAATACCTATACATTGGTGTTATATACATAAACGAATGTTGTAGAATTAAAATAGGCGAAAAAGTGATCAATATACACACATAAAGTCATACATAGTTAGATTTTCAAAAATACATACATATATATATATACATATATGGTATATATATATCTATATATATATAATCATTAAAAAATATACACGAATGCATATGCAATAGTCTAAACAGCAAACGAAAATGAGTCCAAGCAAGCAAGAAGTAGAAAACAACTATTATAAACAAAAACAAATATAATAAAACTAAAAAAAAAACATGTACAACAAATTGCAAATCAAACTGTGTAGATAAATTGGCATTTTACAGTTGAGGCGTTAGAAACAAATGCAAAAACTTTAAAAAAAAATAAAAATTGAAAAAACTCACGAAAAAGATTTGTGGCAAAGGAAATGTATAAAATTGACATTTTCTTCTTTTAAAGTGTGATAGCAGTTTAGGAAGAAATCTGAAATATATATGCAAAGAAATTATAAAAAAAAAATCAATTATAATAATTATTATGTGTTAAGTTGCTAAAAGTAGTTATTTTCGAAAAGCCATAGAAGTGGAAGCAGTAAAATATTATATATATAAATTATAAACATACGTAACGTACATACATTATGAAATGGCAAACCATTATATTATTTAAGTAAAAAACTATGAAAGAAACATTATACTCATGCATACATACATATGTACATAAAATTAAATGCAACTATGGATTTGTGTATGGCAGAATTATATTTATTTAGTTATATGTATATGGACGAGTATATAAAAGTTGTGTGTTTAGAAATTTAGACGTCTATTTTATTTAATATCTTTGATTTTTTTAAAACTTTTTTTTGCTTTTAGCCGCAAAAAAATTTATTATAAATTATATTACCAAAAAAATGAAAAAAAAAGATGTAAAGGGCACATATAGTTTTTAAGTATTATTATTTTTCGATTTTGGGTTTCAAAAATATTTTTTTATTTTTATTTTTATGTTTTCAACCGCAAAAAAAAATTTTATAAATTATATTACCAAAAAAATTTAAAAAAATATATAATAAGCTCATTTAGTATTAAAATATTATTATTTTTCGATTTTGGGGTTCAAAAATATTTTATTTTTATTTTTTTTTTAACCGCAAAAAAATTTTTTTATAAATTATATTACCCGAAAAATTAAAAAAAAAAATATGTAATAAGCACGTATAGTTTTTAAATAGTATTAGTTTCCGATTTAGGGTTTCAAAATTATTTCCTATCCCTATTTTGTTGGCCGTTATTGTTTAGTTAGTACCACCAATATATTTTGAAATCCATTAATTTATTTTATTTTACTTTTTATTTTTATGTTTTTAACATCAAAAAATTTTTTTTTAAATTATATTACCAAAAAAATTGAAAAAAAAATATTATTACATATAATTTTTAAATATTATTTTTCGATTTTGGGTTTCAAAAATATTTTTTTATTTTTATGATTTTTACCGCAAAAAAAAATCTTTATAAATCATATTGCCAAAAAAAAATTAAAAAAAATATAAAAAGCATATTTAGTATTAAAATAATATTATTTTTCGATATTGTGTTTTAAAAATATTTAATAATGCAATATTTTCAAACCGGCACTACTGCTACATTGAATTGATATTCCCGGTTGTTATTGAGAAGGCACCGATAATTTATCGATAATTTTGAAAAATAGTACTACTCAAAAATAATATATTTACTAAAAAATAGTGTTTCTAAGATGGTGATTAAGATATTTTTGCTGCGCTATTAACTGAAAATTTTTTTATGCTTTAAGTAACAAATAATATTTGCTGAGCTTTTCATACATATAAACATAATTTTTGTATACACAAAATCATATAAACAAAATTATAGTTGCTACCTACATACATACATACATACTTATTTAGCATTGTATAAATTTTATATGTATGTTGACCATTATGTAGATACATACATACATACATACCTAATTAGCATATAAATATTTATAGCAACAATGAAAATAAAATGTAAAATACCTACAAGCATATTGTAAGTATTTATGTAAGCATAAATACATATACTATATAAAAATAAAGAACGAAAAGTATGTAAAACAGGATGAGATTAAATATTGAAGCATTAAAAATAAATAAACAATATAAATACAAATAAAAAAAGCAGTTATTTTCCTCATAAAAGCAATAATCTCACAATAAAAGTAAGTATTTTGAATTAGTTTTTATACATTTTTAACAAAATAATTTATTTATATCTAAAATAAAATGCAAACTTTATAATATTTAAATTATAAATTAATTTGATTTTTACTCAAAACATGCATTTTATACGAAAAACACGCATTTTAGCTGCATATCTTGGCGCTACAGTGGTGTGTGTTATCCTGCACAGCTGACGGCGCTGCTTGCGCTCTGCCGGCAGCGGCACAAATTTCTGTTTCTTAAAAATGCCACTTTCCACCAGGCGCGCATAAATGCGCAGCAAGTGGCTGTCGTGAAATATGCGCAAGGTATGTTGCATAATTTTAGGCGCCGCTGCAACAGTGCTGGCCAAATAATTAGCCAATACGTTTTACTTAACAACTGTATAAGGTGTTCAATAAATAAGCGTAACGATTTTTCTTTTCTACTGAAATATTTTTATTAAATTATTGCTCGCACATCTTTTACATGTACATTCATTCATTCATTATGTTAATTGTTTTTTTTTTTATATATATATTCATTTATTTATATTTTATTATTATAATGTATTTTTTCGCACTTTCGTATGAAGTAGTCGCACACATAATTATTCACCTTCTTTTCACTTTGTTTTACAATAATTTTTGAATGTACAATTTATAATCATAATTATGTATGTACTATGCAAAAATTTTTTAGTTTCGTTCTGCAAGTATTTTGTTTTTAATTTTACATAACGCTAATGTTGTGCATTTAAAAGTGAAATTTAAAATTTGGTAATTTATGTTTTTTATTTTTTTAATTTTGCTCATAAAATAATTACGAATAATCGGCAAATGGCATTGAATAGTCAAAATAAATTGTCATATGTATACAGAAATTGGTTTTTTTTTTGTAGGGTTTTTAGTTGCTGCCTGGTAGGCCGCTAGTGGCCGACCAACTCAAAGTGTATTGAATTGGCGCTAATTGTGCTTGGATTGCGCTTATGTTCACTTTTGCTTAAATTTAATTATATTTTGCTTTAATTTTTTTTATTTCTTGCCTTCATTTTTTGTTTTTACTTTCATTTCTTTGTTTTTCCTTTAATTTTACATTTTACTTTGCTTTCTTTGTTTTTGTCTTTTTTGTTTTTTTTTTTTGTGTTTTTTTGGTTTTAATGCTTACTTTTTGACAGTAAATTGGTGCAGGTTTAGGTAGTTATACAAAAGCGTTTGTTCTTAGTCTGATTTTGGTGTTTTTGTTTAAGTTTAATTTTTATCGATTGCTTTCTACTACTATTTCATTACATTTGATAATTAAAAATCGATTTTGAAAGACTTTTTACTCGTAGTTGTTTTCTTTTGCAAATTTCATGTGAGTCTTAGACTTTAACTAGCTTTCTTTTTTTCTTGTTTTTTTTTTTTTACTTATATATTAAAGTAGTTGTAAGCTTAACATATGTAATATAATCTGAATTTATTACAATTTCGTTAAACTTTTGTTTAAAATGTGTGTGTTTTTTTCTCTTCATTTTTACGCACTTTGTTCGCCTGCCCACAAGTGACATGTTATTATTTTTGTTTTGTCATTATAAATATATTTTAGTTTACATAATATGTTGCAGTTTTCTTTTAATGTTAGTTGAGTTTAAGTTTTTGCTTAGTTTTGGTTTTTTTTTAGTATCAACTTATGCAATCATTGTGCTACGAGTGTATAAATTTACATAAAATGGTTGGTTGTAGTTTCACAATCTACTGTTTTTGTTGTTTTTATTACTTTTATTTTTAATTTTTGCTTTTATTTCTTTGTTATGTGATTTATTTACCGTTACACTGTATGTATATGTTTATATGTTGCTGTTGTTGTTGTATGTTAGTAGTTATGTTCGTTTTATCATTGCGCTTCAATGAGTGTTTATCGTATTTTTAGTGTATTTTAAGGGTATTTTGTTGCTGTTTTTGACTTGTTAGTTTTGTTGTTGCATTTAAAATTTCACTTACAGTCTAAATTACAAATATTGTTTTTTCTTTATGTATGTATATATATTATATACTATTGTATATATGTAGCTATTTGCATTTATTGCACATTGCGTAAAATTATAACGCAAGCACGCCGATTAGTATGCTGTCGTAAGCTGTTTTGTTATTTTATTTGTTGTTTAGTGTAAAGCTGTTACAATTGCATTTATTTTTTTTCATAATAATCTTAATTCATTGCTTTCCTCCTACTTATATGAACTTAAAATGCGAAAAATATACACACAAGTGTTTAGAAATTATGTCGTAACAAAATTCATAAATAATGAGAAACTTTTAAAAATATTCAGTTATGAATAAAAAAAAAAATACGCAAGGAATATAACAAATATCAAAATGGTAGACAAAAATGTTCAACACAATATTTAAAAAAAAAATTTTTATCAAACTACGTTTTATAAAAGCTTTTGACTTTAAAATTATGTAAATTTAAAATGAATGAAAAATTATATAAAAGTGCAAAGTAAAAAAAAAAGCTAAGTATTTAAAGCCAGCAGAGATCCCGCTCTGTTGTTGGAAAAGGAATTAAAATAAAATAAATCTTACATGCATTTATATACATATGTGACATATGTATATATGTGTGTATGTATCATTACAGTCAATGCGCATAAAAAATATATTTAAGTAATTCAATTTGCAAAAATCACTTAAGTTATAAGAGTTATACAAAAAATGTTGAGCAAATTTATGCACATATGCTAAACAAGAGACAAATGTTGAATAAATGTTGAAGCAGTTCGAAATGAAATTTGCTGTTTTTGTCAATCTATTTTGTTTTATTTTTTAATCGTTGTTCAACGAATATTAAAAAAAAAATATTTCGTTGCCAGTCAAGTATTTTTTAAACATAATTTCTCGAAACAAAGCACAACAAAAATTCGTTAAATAAAAAAATACATACATACATACGCACATATTTTCAATTTGAAAAAAAAAAATAAAAACAATAAATTTAAACAAGGCGGAAAATGATGCTCAAGTCAAATTTTTGTTCGTAAAAAAAGAATTAATATTATAATGTATTTTAAACGAGACCAACAAATGTTTAAACATTTTCAATATTTTTCGCAACATTACTTTAGCAGCATTTTTTTACAATAATTTCATTACAAAACAATAAATAACTAAAATGTATATTTACAGAATTTATAAAAAAAAAGAGAAATGCAGAATAAAGTTTTTTAACATACATTATACGAAAAACACATATTATTCAATATTTTAATGTCTCAGAACACTAAAATGGTTCATAAATAAATTTTAGACAATATATTTACACAATTATGCAATGTTACTCTTAGTTTGTAAAATTTTTGTGCGTTAAGGTAGAGCTAAAATTTTAAAATATATATGATTTTTTTTAGAAAAACGCAAGTTTTGTTAAAACAAAAAAAACTAAAACTTGCAACCAGCTTAACAAAACAATTTTAATGTTTATAAAATTGGTTTTACCAAAATATTTATACAATTCAATTTAATACCTATAAAATTTATAAAAAAAAAATTTGTAAGTTATAAAACTTCTAAAATTTTAAAAATTAAAAAAAAATTTTATAAAAGTTTTATAAATTAAAAAAAAATATTATAAATTTTATAATATAAATTTTTTAAAATTAATTTTATTTATATTTAAACCAAAAGTAATAACTATAAAATCAATTTTTATAAATTTTATATTTACAAAATTTAATTTAATACAAATAATTTAATTAAATATTTATAAAATCAAATTTAATATTTATAAAATTAATTTTAATATTTATAAAAGTACTGAAATTTAAAATAACAGCAATTCTTTAGAAAACTGCATTTATTTCATTATTTAGGCAGCTGATAATTTTAAAATTGTTTATTGAAATCGGTTATTCGTTTTACAAGCAAGCATATTTTTGTTTAAATATATATATGTATGTTTAAAATTTTTTCAAAAAGCACATATATAAAATGCTTATAAAAATCACAAAAAATATACAATAAAAAAACAAGCAATGCACAATACAAAAAGTGACAAATTTAAGTGGATATCAACACAGCTCGGTAACGAAACAAGCAATAATGCATTATAAAAATGTTCAGTTTTATAAGTATGTATGTATATGTAAGACTTTGCTTTTTTATAAATTACAAAAATTAAAAATAAAAACCTGAAACATTAAGCATTAAATTTATCATTATATTTAGGTTAGTTTTATGTTAAAAAGTTCAAATATATGTGTATATGTATGTATGTATGTATGTATATATTTGAACTTTGCATTTAATAAACTACTCGTACAATTAGACGGTGGTAGTCCCACATTTTCACTAAACTTTAGCACTAATAGATTATATGTATATATGTATATTAAATAATTTTTGTTTTTTTTTTGTTTTTTAACTCTGCTTGTTCTTGTTTACATGTCCTCATTTGCATTTGATTTTTTGTCATTTTGGTATTTCACACTTACATCATTATACATAATTAACCGGCATACGCTTTTACTTAGTTACAGCTGATTGTGGTTGTTGTATATTGTTGCTTGAATTTGCGTTTCCGTCTTTTTATTTTAGCAACGTCGCCAAATCTATTGTTTTTTTCTTGGCGTAATCATTTCTTTTTCTAACTTTCTACAATTCTATATAGATTTCTTGGCGTTTTCTGCTTTGTTTTATCGTTTTGTTTTTGTTGCATTTCCTATAGCGCGCACATTTCATTATCAACTGCTGCCGTGGCCTACTGCAATGCCTGGAACATGTTTAACGCTACAGGCCGATCGAATGCAGTACAAAGTCGAGTTCTTTGTTTGTTGTTACGTCCTCTGATTGTTGTTGTTGTTGCGGTTGTTGTTGTAATTGTGATGGTGGTTCTTGTTGTTGTAGCTGATTAATTGATAAATTGATTGTTGCAGTTGTATGATTTGTATTTGTTGTTGCTGTTGTTGCTGTTGCTGCTGTCACAGTTGTTGTCTTCGCAGTCGCCAACGTCTCGGCCATACCGTCACCAGCCGCTGACACCATCTTATCACTTAGCGTAGACTATGTTAACAAACGGCCACGGCTACCCTTGCCAATCGGTCTTCCCTAGAGTGGATGTAACTTTGTCGTGTGCACCGTTAGCGCGCTGCGCTGTGTAAAACGCTTGTCACAATAGGGGCAGGTGTATGGCTTTTCACCGGTATGTGTGCGTATATGCTTGGTGAGGTAATCCTTGACACTGAAACGTTTCTCACAGTAGATACAATTAAACGGTTTCTCACCTGCATCAGCATTCATATTTGCACATTTGCATATTTTCATATTTGCAGCCGATGTAAGCAAAATAGATACAGATAGAAAAAGGAAAAATGTAAACATTAGCTATATTTATAGATGATAAATATAATATGTATATGCAGTCAGCTGCGTGGCCATAACCAATGATTTGTTGAACTAACAAATAAAACAAACTATAACAAACTATAACAAATAATAATAAATAACAAAATTACGAACAGTTCAACAAATCAAAATTTTAGGCTCTGGCATTAGCAGAAATTTTTAACAAAAAAAAAATTCAACATGATTTTTTTGTTTTTGTAATCATACAATAAATACAATACAATACGTTTGATGAGATGGAGGGAAATGCGAAATTGTTGTGATGTGGGTGGTGGCTTAGTGGCTGCAATAGGCGGACAAATAACTACATATATGTATATACTTATGTTTAATAAGCGAGTGCTTAGAAATGATCACAGGCTGCTAGAATGTGATCACAGCGGCGCTGCTATGATGGACAATTGAAGCTATTATTTATACTAACTTCTATTGCAAAGGTGTGTTTACAAAATAATATATTGAAGGCAATTTATGAAAATCATAGTGCTATTTACATATGTTTTACTTTTTAACTTATTTTTACAATTGCATATTTAAACACTACATTTCACACCAGGATATGGTAATTGCACATTAAGAAAGTATAAAACAATATAAACATAGGGAGTTGTTATGGCTAACAAATATGTCAATTGTAACAAGCATATGTTTGGGAATCATCATCATCATGTAAATATACAAGAGTTAATTCGTAGCGAATTTTAGTAAGCTATTTACATTCGGAATGTTTTGTATTTTTTTATAAACTTTTATACGCTGCTATTGGCCATCATAACAGTTTATCATCATTTTTTTTATTTTTTTTTTTTTTTTGTTTTTTTTTTTTTTTTGATTTTGCAATAAAAATGAGCAAACAATGAGATGGAAATTTATTGTTTGTCGTGAACGTGCGCGCAATAATAATTTGCAATAGCTTTCAAGTTTAAATGAAAATAAATCACATTCAAAATAAATATTTAGATATGGAATTTGAATTTCTAGATAATTGTTTTTTTTTTTTTGTTTTGTTTTTCTTTAGAATAACGTATTCAAAAAATACACTGCATTTAGCTGAGCTGAGAATAGTTTGAATTGTTTTTTGGTTTTGAATTTGTGGTTTGATTTTTAATTGGTTTTGTGGTTTGAGTGGATTTGACTGATTGATTGATTGAATTGAACTGAGTTGAGCTGATTGATTGACTGACTGATTGGTTGATTGATTTTTGCAAAATATACTATATTCTCTCACCCGTGTGAGTTGTTAAATGTTTGTTCAGGTAGTCCTTTACAGTGAATTGCCTGCCACAATATCCACATCTAAAGGGTTTCTCACCTGTATGAATGCGCGTGTGCTGTTTGAGGGTGTTCGATTGGGTGAATGACTTGCCGCAGTAGGAGCACGTGTAGGGACGTTCTTTGGGCGTGACGCTGCGTGGGCGCAAACGACGATTTTTTTTTGTTTTGGTTAACAGATAGAAAACAGAATAAAAATTAGTTAATATATATCACAATTGTCGAAACAAACATTTAGATTAATAATTGAACATTTAAGACATGCAGAATACGTTATGCTCGAAATTTCAAATGGCCGTCTTATGTATTTTTGAAAATACCAACCAATTTTATGTTTTTCATTATGAGAAATTTCGTTCAAAGCGTTTCTACACAAACAAGAATAAATCTATTATATAAAATTAACATATATAATAATATGAATGTGCAATGATTACTCTGCTTCGCCAGTGTGTATTTTGCGGTGCATTGCCAATGTGCCGGGCGTTTTGAAGGTTTTCGGACATTCTGGACATTTATGACGCACTTTGTTTCCTGCTGCTGGGGTAGCTACTGTGGTACTGCCCGCTGCTGGTGTTGTGCCGGTCGCATTTGCTCCGCCGGTAGCAGTTGCAGTGCTAACTACAACGCTGGTAGCTCCAGCCGGTTGCTGGATCGTATACACCGGCACTGAGGCCTGCTCTATATCACCATTGCCATCGCTAATGCCAAGAGGTTCTTCCTTGATTATCACATGTGGATGGCCTTCGGTGTTGCCATTGCTGTTTTTATTTAATTTTACGGTTAAGGGCGGTACTTTCAATTGAGTTGATTGCTGTTGCTGTTGATTTGCCTGTGGCGGCGGTGGTTGTTGTTGCTGTTGTTGCTGCTGCTGCTGCTGCTGTTGTTGCACCTGTTGTTGCTGCTGATCAAGCAAATCAGGTTGTGGCTGTCGCTGGCGTTCAAGCAAATCCGGTTGTTGCTGTTGTTGTCGATGTTGGTGTTGTTGTTGCTGTTGCTGAAGTTGTTGCACCTGTTGTTGCTGCTGCACCTGTTGTTGTCTTTGCTGCTGCTGTTGGTTCTGTCTAGAATTCAATTCTTCCGGTGGTATAGTATTCATTTCCTCAGGCGGTATAGAAGGCATTTCCTCTGGCGTTTGCGGAGGTTCAGGTTGATCCATATACGGTGGTTGCTGTGGCGCAGTCATATTTGATGCTGTGCTCACAGAGCCACAGTGCATACACTTAAACTCATCACCTTCGTGCAGCGTAACCGATGAAATGCCATAAATGCCACAGGCCATACAACGCGCTAAGAACGCCGTTGATTGATGTATTATACGATGGTGTTCGTCCAGTTCTTGCGCTGAACCAAATTTCTCTTCACAACTCATGCAGGGATACTCGATTTTCATGGGGTCAGTGACAGGTGCATTAGGTTGTGGAACACCACCCAACAACAAACCACCTACACCAACACTTGCACCGCCACCACCAATAACACCGCCGCCACCAATCATGCCAGCCGATATACCATGACATAATTGCATATGCTCTTGAGCATGCTGAGGTCTTTCAAATTGTTGTCCACACATCGGGCAGAAGCTAGCCGATGTAATAACTCCGCCGTCCATTGCTAGATTTGGTAGGAATGATGTTTTCAATGTGTCCATGGTACCGGCTGCCGATGTAATTGTTGATTGTGGTACTGTGCTCTCTGGTCGGGACAGCCGCAGTTCCTGTGCATTAGAGGACGATTTCAACATAATTTCATCAAACAAAGCAACGTTTCAACAAATGCGATGAAAATTCTACAGAAATAATGCGTTAAAGCGCGAAAGCACAATTAGTGGTGTTGTTCGTTCACTTGATTGTGACGTAGGCGAGGCAAGGGCGAATGTGGTAAGCAAGCGCGCAACAATATATGACAGCACCTATGTATGTATTTTTTCTCCCCTTTTACCTACAGCAGTAGCATGCAATTGCCGCGCGGCAAAGATTTGCATTTAATGAAAAAGCAAAGTGTTAATTAGCGTAACCGATTTGCAACTTCAACAATGGTATTCCATTCGTTTTTCATTCCACAATGATTTTTTGCATTTTCTGCAATTTTGTCTTTGACTCCTACTCTATATCACTTTTTCTCCCTTGTTCATGCTATCATCCTTCCACGATCTTTTTTCGTTTGTCGTTGTCTGTCGTCGCTACTAATTCCAATTTCGGAATTTCACTTTTTCTTTACTTTCGCATTTTTCGGACGCAATTTTGTCACTGCTCCGCGCTTTTTCTGCTGCTTCTTTTATGGCGACGACTGCTGTTGGTGTCGCTGCTGCTGTATACTCATCCACCGTTTGCCCCCCACAAACGCAGCGGACAAATTTACTACCTCTTTCCACTAGCGCTCCGTTCTACACTGCTCTTTGCAACTGCTGCACAACACTTACATACAGACGGATTCCGTCGTTGATTCGGTGCTTCCACACACTTCCAGCTATTTTTGCGCCTACTCGTCAAAAGATTCGATTTTCATCCTTTTTTGGTAATCACTGACAATATTTTGATGCTTTTGACTTGGATTTTGCCCTTGAGTAACTATAAAGCGCAAATGGTCAACAGAAATTAAATACACCAGAAAGTGAAAATCTCGGTGAACTGATGAAAACTTTTTGGGTTCTTTTTTGTTCTGCCAAAAACTTAGCATTGCCAGAGTAGAATTACGAAACTGATGTTGAAAAATAATACGTCAAATGGAATCCACAGAGATTGGAACCAAATTTAAATGAGTATGGTAATTATTTTACCATGTATATTATGTGCATACATTTACCAAATGTGATAATGCAAAAAAGTCAAATTCGTCGAAACATAAACAAAGAATGCTCGTTTTTAGGCCCCTGAACAACAAGTGATATATTTAATTGACTTCTTCAATAATTTAATGGTTAAAATGTTGTCACATGTATCATCCTTTACTTATGGGAATCGTACATTTTATAAGTAAATTCCAAAAAAGAGGCACCCTTAGAACAATTCGTTGATGTTTAGATTAAACCAAATTCAAGCAGTGTCTTCAATGTTGTAGCAGTGTAAAATGCAACTCTTGCTTAATTATTTATATAAAGTAGGAATGCACATAACATATTAAACTATGCAAATAATCCAATAAAAACACAAATTTTCTATTTTTATAATTTTTTTATTACTTATAAAACCCGTACGTTTGATGGTCACACGTAAATTGGAGAGAACCTAAAATATATAGAGATTCCTATTACAAATTGTCTATTAAATACTGACAAATTTTTTTAATTTCTCAAATACTCAGTTCAGTTATGGTAGAACAAAACTCATTCAGCAAAAGTCTGACGCATTAGCTAACTCGTCACTGTATTTGAGAAACTAATTTAAAAAATGTAAATATTTACCTTAAAATTAAGCTCTCAACAAGCAGACACCACCGGCATTCTTGATTTTGTCCTCAGCCTTCTTTGAGAAATATTTGGCCTTAACAATAATGGGCTGCTTGGGCAAATGTCCACGACCCAACAATTTGTAGTAACCCTTAAGAAAGAATATAATAATAATTTAATCAATTGCACTTAAATATTCCAAAATACATAATGTATTTTAATGAGTAAATTTCTGTTTAATCTGAAAGGCTTTCGCTACATGGGGAGAGCAATTGTACGGTCGCATTCAGTCCGCCCGACGCCTTAGAATGTATCTTCATTTTAAACAGGAATTAAACTGCAATTTATTTTAATATTAAAACAAAAAACTTACGAATTGCACCAAATCAACGACTGGGGCTTTGTTGCTCTTCTCCTTTTGCAATTCCTCTAATTTATCAGCACCGACCAAAGACCACAATTTGTCCAAATTGATTGTTGGGCAGAATTTGTGTTGGCGACGCAAGTGGAAGTTTCTCATACCAACTTTACCGAAGTAGCCAGGATGGTATTTGTCGAAGTTGATACGGTGATGGTGCATACCACCAGCATTACCGCGACCACCAGGATGCTTACGGTGTTTGCCAATACGACCATGACCATGGCTCACATGACCACGCAGCTTTCTGGTCTTCTTCCTTTTGATGTTCGACTACAAATATACATTTTTAATAACTATTTATTTTCAGGGCACACGTGTTTGGTTTGTAATATACATCGACAAAATGTACATTGGCTGTCACAATTTCATTTGGAGGTTAAATGCACAAATCAACATAAAATCTGTTTCGTTTTCATTTTTTACACTATGAATATATATAATATTTTTATTTTTGAACTCTGCTTTTTTGAATGCATCTTTTTTATGGAAAATTTATGTTAATTATGACAGCCAAGCACACTACAACGTCCACTCACCATCTTGAAACTTTACGAAAGAACGAAATAAAGAAATAAGTTAAGTTGGCTGCCCATTTTGGCTGTCACTGTGTCATAGTCCTACAAGTGCGTTATTTGATTTCCGCTTACAGGGTTGATTTTACATCTTTTAACTATTTAGGTAAATATCCAATTTTGAATTTAATTTCATTAAAAATCGGGAATTCGTTTTATTATATTACTAATATATACATAAATACAACTTATTCGGTATACAAAATTTTACTGTGCAAAGTAAGTAAATAAGTAAAAACATTTTTAACTAATGCATATAGTAATAAGATATATAAAATATTATTAATATAATTTTCTAATTGATATCAAAAAAAAAAAATTCATAACATAAGTAAACATTTTCCTATTATAGAGTAGGATATTGGAATAAAATATTTATATTAAAAGAAGTTCTTTAATAAAAAATGTTACTTCTTCATCATCGTTTCTAAATTTGTTTTATTTGTTTTTATTATAACGATATTAATACGAAAAACATAAAGACATCTTTAAACTTCCTCAATTAAACGAAAGCGTTGGTGTTGAGGTTCTGGAATAACATTGAAAAACTTCTTGTATATCGTTTGCCCCTCACGGCCAGCGTAGTTTCTTTGCACCCATGTATGATCCCAATTCGGATCCAACTGCTCACATGTTACGTATACTCGACCGTGCTCCATTGCGTAGAGAGTTCCATTTTTACCAAAACCAACCTGCATAAAAGTTGTTAATATATCTACATACACATAATAAGTTTTTTAAATATAATATACATTCATGCCTGGATGAAAACGAGTTGTTAATTGTGTTGCGAGTAAAGTGCCCTGTGAAACCCAATGTCCGTCTTGGACACGCCAACCACGATGTTTTGGTCTAGCGTGTCCCTTTTTATTACGAGTACTGCCTCCGGTCTTTTTGCTGGCGTTACGTATGGTTGCTGTCATATAAATACAAATAATATGTTAAGCACTTTTAATTTTAGCAAACGAGTTATTTACTTATTAAAGGTTGATCTGCTTTCAAGCTAAGCAATGACAACTTTTGCATTATAGTAAAGGACATTGTGTTCTACTTTATTTAATATATATACAAAGTAAAAAGTAAGCAATGATTCGATAAGAAGTAATCTCCTACAACCACCAGCACAACGTAAAATTATATGTCATTTTCAGCTGATCTACATTTAATAGGGTTGCCCTCATTCAGTTTTATTTGTTTGTTTTTGCATATATGGCATCGGTTTTAATATAGCGGCAAAAAATTATTTTACAAAAAGTAACGGTAACACGTAAATTAATTGTTTAATTTCTGTATTTAAAAAAACTGTTTTTAAAATGGAAGTAGATACTGATGAGTCAAAAACTTCGCAATCTACTGCACAGCCGCCTACAGAGCATATACGCGATAGAAATAGGCAATTTGCTCAACAACATCGGGAAGAGCAGAGCGTCAGGACCACAGACACCGTACGGTTTGGCCTAGGAGAAGTACAGGAAGAAGTGGAAGAGCTAAACGAAATTACGGAACAAGATATCAATGGCTTAATAACGAGAATTACACGTCGGAAACATGCTTCGGCGGAGGAGATGCATAAACTGAGTGAAGCATTTCTTCAGAGTATGAATAATATTAAATTGTTCTTTCAAGCGCCTGGTGCTCTACAAGTTATTGTAAAAGAAATTGCTGGTTGGTTTACTGTTATATAATCGTATATTTAATATTCTCTTATAAATTGCATTGTTAATAGGCATCGATTCGGGGCGTCAAATCGGCGCGCTGGAATGTCTTTGTAACCTATCACTTGGTGAGGCACCGTTGTGTGAAAAAATTATAGACCAGGCCGGTCGCAATTTAGTTCAATGTCTGGATAGTGTTGATGAGCGCTTAAAACGTACATCTCTTTGGATAATTGCCAATACTATTTCTACCAGTTCAAAAGCAGCGCAAACCATAGTACAATTGGACATAGTACCTAAACTCTTTTTTATATATATAGAATCCGGTGATAAGAATATAGCAAATGAATTTAGGGAAGACGCAGCTGTTTGTTTACAAATTTTGGTAATGGGCAAACATCGAGCAGCTCGAAAAGAGGATATAACTTTTATAAAAGACAATATGATAAAAAAATGTCGCATTAGCGTGGCCGCTGAATATCACTTAAAAATTATGTTTCATGCTGATATAGTGAATCCCAAGAGTGAATTAAATATCGAACAAACACATCATTTAATGGATTTTATTTTGGGCAATCTGTGTACAACTCCTGATTTTGTAAGCATAGCTAATCGCCTGCGGATCGTTTATGCTATTCGTGTGTTATCGAATATGGTTCAATGTGTGCCAAAAGCCATCGATACAATGAAGCAACAACTGCGCGGCGTATGGAATACACATTTGGAAGATTTATTGAACAAAGTATTTGATTTTCAAGAGGATCTACTAAGCTTAGAAGTCGTTTATCTAATAAGAAACTTAATCCATGATAAGAGTTCACAACCGTTGCCTTGTCAATTAGATAGACTTCAGGTTCCAAACATTGATTATGAGCAATTATTACCGCAATCATGGAAGTGAAGAGTTATATCAAGATTCTAAGAAACATGCCTTTTGAATAAGTATTTTTATTATTGTGAAATTTTAAGCGTAACATATTGGTTTTATATTATACTTTTGAATTTTATTGTTGTTATTATAACAGAATAAAACCTTTCTCGAATAGTAATGGATATATGTATATTAGGGTGCATTGCGATTAGGTGGGCGTTATACACGTTTTTTAGCATACAACAGAGTTAATATAATTTGACGATACTGCTAGAACACTGCTTTTACTTTACTAACTAAAATTCATAAGTTGTCCATAAGTGGAAGCATAACAAAGTGGATGTAAAATGTAAGTGTTCGGTTAAATAAACTTATAAAATATATATGTATATATACACTATTAACAATTTATACTAATGTAATGTGCTAAATATCTAACTACTAGATGTTGAGCTAGACTGAGCGTATTTAGCGTGACAAGATAAATGTACCACTTCTCCATTGGGATAACGCACAAAAGAGGGTGGATTTGTAAATCGTTTCTTACATTGTGGACACACTGTAAACTCCGTTAGCACAACGTATTTACTCTCCTCGGCGCGTATTTCTTTTCGCACACGTTTAATTTCAGCTTTGAGCAGACCAATCATTACCTCTCTTTCATGTTCTTCGGCGATTTCAGTACGCAATACAATTTCTAGATAATTCCATAAGGACTCTGCTGGCATATCATCAGGCAGCAACTGTTTACAATGAATGCAAAGTAATAGTATGCGCATTTAAAGTTAATAACTTAAATTATTTACCGGTATGATTACATAAGGATCGATTTTTTCCGCATATTTATTTAGCAAATCCAATATGATGTCCTCGTTTGGCCGTAAAAAATCTGGATGTAGTTCAACATCTTCATATGGAGATTGTCGAGCTGGATTTAATAGTGTCTTTAAGAGTGTGACGAAAATGTTTTTGTCGTCTTCATAATTTGCTTCACAATATGCTGCAGCCTTGGGTACATCACCGAGCACTTGCACATATATCGCCAAAACTTTTTCATGCTCTTTCAGGCGTCCTAAGATCAATACACGCTCTTCCAGCAGTTCATTTGTAGGGAAGTCTTTCAGTACAACTTCCGGTGAATAATTCTGCGAGGTCTTCAAAAATTCACACAACTTCTCACGGTATTTCTGCAAATTTTCCAACGCATCACTTGTAAAAATATATAGAAATATTTTATTTAAATTAAACAATTTGTTAACGGTTTAAATAAAGTAAAGCAAACCTTTTTTCTTTCGTTTCATCTTTTTTTACATCTTCGAGCAAGTTGTGCACCTTTTCGCGATATTGTTTTGCTAATACATTGTGCATTAAGGTATTGTTGTCTTTCCATATATTAATTACATGTTCTAGATAAGGGACGACTAAGGCCTTATGGCGGCTAAGTAAGAAATCGAGTACACTAGCACGTGGCAAATTTTCCACTTCAATGAAATTATCCGTAAAAATACGTAAGCCTTCTTCGGGTGCTTCCGTCAACACCCAGTCGCAAAATTCAAAAATTAGTGACAATTGCGGACTGCCTAGCTGTTGTAGATATTTGATTGTACGATCATAACCATAAAGGCTCGATCCTTCAACCGAAGCTTGAGCTTTTAACAGTTCTAAAGCTTTCTTGTGCTTGCCATTCATTTGATATAGTATAATCAACTCCGATATTTTGTCGTGCTTTTTCAATGTTCTCTCCGACTCTTCCAAATGACATTGATTCAAGCGTAGTAAAGGTGCAACTAAAGAATCATTGGTCTGTAACAAAATAAATATTCATGATTTAGGAAAATTTGAATATTTTATTTTAGAAGAACTAGCCTGCAAATAGCATTTCAATAACGTTGTATCGATGATAGATAATAATGATTTGGATGTACTTTTAGTGTCACGCAGTTTCACCACTTCTTTTTGTCGCGCTAATGCCAAAAATTCGATTAAGGCTAACAGCGCATTTTCCATATCTTTTTCTTCTAATTGTGGTGTAGGTGGTGCGGGCACGGCTACTTCAGTCGGCTTGTATGTCTGATCCTGTAGCAAATTTGGAAACAGCCGTATAACATCATATGGATCAGCTGCAGCTTTTTCGAATTCCTTCATTGCATCGCTAAACTGATTGTTACAGAACAGCTCGCGTGCATAACGCATGTGTATTTCGCGTATTGTTGCTGCCTTCATATCATCTGGCTCCTCAGATATATTCTACATATAAATACATATATTTCTTTACTTGTTAATAATTTTGAACGCATTTAAAGAAGCTTAAGTGATTACCGTCAAGCCAATGGCTAATTGAAATTTCTTTTGTTGCAACAAAATCTTACGCTGCGTCGACACTTCTACCATACGTATACACCATAATTCTGAAATGGCTGCTGCAAATATTGTACCTTTACAAGAGCGCACTAAGAATTTGGTTTTATTTAATTCGGGAATTGTTTGAACCAATGTGTCTTTATTAATGCTGCCGGATTCTATACTGCGCACTTCTATGCCACTCGCCACACGACCGATTACATACGGTTCATCCCAAACTTACAAAACATGAAAAAAACAAAGATGTTAATTTTTATACAGAGTTACTGTTATGGTAATAAATACCTATATCAAGTAAATGACTACTCCACATCGTTGGATTGGGCTTGTTCTTAGCTTCAGTGTTCCCAACTGCCGCCTCCAATGCACCCTGTGCCTTTAGTTTTTCATCAGGTGTTTTGACATAGTTACTAGGATCAATTGGTACAAGATATTGGTCTTTAGAGATTCCCAGCATTTTGTGTTTTATAAGACAAATACAAGGATCCATACTGTGTGAGGACGAAGTCACAATCAAATCATGTTTTTCGGGCTTATTTGCGAGCATCTGTGAACATATTATTGTAATGTAAATTTGTAATTAAAAATAGGGTAGGAATTAATCTTCTTTCAAAAAATAAATAAAATATTATATAAATAAATTCATTCTTCTAAAAGTTAAAACCAAAAACAATAACAATTTTAAAACATCATTTGAATACAATACTTTATTTTAGCTTATAGGTAAATACACACTTACATTGTATATGACGTATTCATCCTTGAACCCAATGCAAACAGCGTCGTCTACCCAGCAAAGTGCTTTTGGCACATCTTTTAGCTCGATACTGTAGCTAAACGTATTTAATTTATCCTGTTTCCAATAAAAGAATTGTAGTTGACGTTTTATTGCACAGCATATGCCAATAACAGTTGTCATCTCGCCATTTGGTAATTTTGTAGGCTAAAAAAATATTTTTTTTTTAATATTATAATATTGAGCAAATGCATGTTGCATATTAACGCATATACCAACCTTTACGTCCAAAGCGAAGAGTGTACAGCCTTTAGTGGCCGTGGCACTATGTATAAACGTAAAATTACTGCTCACTTGACTAATATCACAAACATGCACTACATTGTCGGTTAGCACAAAAAGCAGACGTTCCGCTGGTATGACCTGCATCTGTACGATAGCTTTTTTGCTAAAGTTTTTATTAAACATTACCATATCCACAGCACCATCCTCTCCAACGGAGTACATAATAAGTTGACCACTACGTGTTCCAAGAATGACATTGTTATCTGTAACGTATGGAAGATATTAATTCAACATCTATGTACTGCAGATATTGCGCATTTATATTTGTTTACTAACCATAGGCGGCAACTGATTCAATTTGAACACCTTGTTTTAGTATTTTATGTATATTGTAAGCTTGATGCATTATTTATGAATTATATTTAATTTTTGCAAATATTTTCAGATAAAGCAAAATGCAATTATGATTGAAAGATAAATGCGAGCATTAAGAGTTGCCGTTATTACCAAAATTTATTTTTATATATTTAGGAATTGTAAAATAAAAAAATTTAAAGCCTGGTTATATCATTTTAATATATATAAATTATTGTAAAATATGCATACATATATACTCATTGTATTGGTATAATGTCTATAAAAATATCTCATGAACTTTTGATTTTTACACGGTCCTCACGGACAGTACCTCATATCCAAACTAAAATAACGCATACCTTTGTATACAGTGCATACTTTTAGGCAAAATAGATATTTACTTTATTCAAACTCACATTACCAAAATTTGAATTTTCGGTAACCCCACGAATTATAAAACAAACATACATTTGCACACCTTAGATAGCGTCAATACATTCAAGTCAATTTATTTTAAAAATGCTGTGGCGATTATTATGGTACAATACATTTTTATTACAATAATTTTATTTATTTAAAGTAACAACATTTTAAATAAAATTTACAACATAATCACAAATAAATAATTGGAAAATCCTTTGTTTGTCATAATAAAAAGTATTTTTGCATAAAAATTTCCTCAGACTTTAAATCACAAAGTTACACAAATGAAGATGCCTTCACTGTTGATGTACACTTATAAATGAACAAAAAATAGTGGTTTATATCAAACTATTATAAATATGTCAAAAAAAAAAAAAAAAAAATATGCTACGCATAAAATTTAAGCATATCGTAATCGATATTTGTTAATGTTAATGAACAATAATTTGGTGAACTGAACATACAGCATGTTACCATAATTATGACTTAAAAACTAGTTGTCAAGTTTTTAAAAATATAAATAAATATATATTGTATGTTGTATGACATTAGACTGCGCCAGTTTCCAAATCTTCGTCGCTATCATCATCTTCGAATAGTGCGATAATACGCCTACGTTCCGCATCCCTTTCTGGGTCGTCCTGTTGCGTGTTCGTTGTGCTTTTTGTTAGCTTTAGTGGCATATGATTGTGATACATTGCATTGTGTACCTCAAGTGCAGCTAATGTTTCAAAAAGTAAATTGCATGGATTGCAACGAGCACTGAAACTGAGATTCGGATGTAATGCCGTAACAGGAATGGTTTTTGGGGTAGTTGTAACAGGTGAAGCTGTCTGTTGTTCGTTGCTCGTACCTAACGCCGAAGATGTCAAATCTTTGCGCACACTAATCAATGGTGTAGCTGTTGTGTGTTTGGAATTTGAAGAAGTTGGTGTTTGATTGGCTGCCCGTCGTAACTTTTGCAGGAATGTTAATCTTTCGGCGGTATCCCTTGGTATGTCACCGCCACTAGCATTGCTAGCACTACTGTTCAACGTTCTACTATCTGTAGCTGTTGTAGGCGTTGTTATGTTTTTCTCCGCATTCATAACTGCGATAGGTTTAATTATAGATTTCGTTTCCAGATCAATATTGGGTAATATGTTTGATCCTCTGCTTTGAGAACGTTCGATTTCGTACAATATATTGTTACTTATTGTTATAGGCGTCGGAGTTGTACTAAGTAGTGGCTTCTGAGTATTACCTACGCCATTTTCGTGAGCAGATTCAGTTAGTTCAGCAGTTTTTTCGAATGTGTTCGAAAGTGATGTATTTGGTAAATCAGTCATCGTTATTTCTTCTTGTTGTTTTGGCAATTCATAGAATTTAAGCATTTGTTCATTGGCAGAAAGTTTGACATTTGAAATTTTTTGTTCGCATGCAGCAGCCGCACAGTTTTTATATTCTCTCTCCAATGGCTTTTTAGTCTTTTCCTCGGCACCATTCCCGTTTTGCACCAAGTCTGGCAATAAAATGTCGGCACAGTTAGCTAGTTTTAACCATTCGCATATCTTGCGTAAAGCGAAAATCATGCGACGCACGAATTCATGCGGCGACACTACCTTATTTCGTCGTATGTACAGTAGCTTATTCAATTCTTCGATATATGTCAGAAATTTGTATTCAATACATGTACTCATATGTTCATTATGTGAATCTTCAAACATAAATCGCCGGAAACATGCACGACATTTGCGCTCCTTACAGCTTTCTGGTATATTGATAGTAATAGCATCGCCCAGTTCATCTAAATTTATAATATCGTCCTCTTGGAAATTTGTTTCGCTGTATGAAAATATGTTCTGTTGCATAGCGCCTGCTTCGTTTTCATCGCTTGAAATTTCCGTATCGGAATCTTCCTCAGCAAATGGATAATCCCCGCCGCCCTCGGCATTTTCTAAAACAAATTTATTTCCGTCATTTTTGCGTTTATACGTTTGCAGACCGGCATTTGGGTCCTTGTTGAATAGTAAATTTAAGTAACGCAATTGTTGTTCTACGTTTTGTGGACTGGGCGCCTTCGTTTGTACGGTATTATTTAGCAACTGCTTAAACACTTTGTCTTGATCTTGTGAACAGGTATTGTTTAGCAGATTTGTATCTATTTGACGCTCATTTGTAAAATTCAGCTCTTGTGCTGTAATCAGCAGATTGTCTTTATCCACATTTTGTTTGCTGTTTTGCCGTTTTTGGCGCAATAAATCTATAGCTTTCAAGCTCAAACTATTGCTAATACATTGTTCACGAAAAAATACTGCGTGTTTTAAGTATGAAATGCAAAGTGCACATATCTTGTTGGGTAAACCATCATTTTCGGCACACTGCGTTAATATAGTATTTATATTTTTTAAAAAATATGAAGTTATACCAAAAATGATTACTAATATAACAGCACTATTATTACCTTTAGTCCCGTTGTTTCCTCAAGCAGTACATTAATTGGTTTTTGCCAATGCAAAAAATCATTTGAGCTGGCATGTAGGTATGCTGGTATTTTTCCGAAAAATTCATATTCGGCAGGACTTGTACAAACACGACATATATTATTCCAACTAGACATTTTTAAACCAAAAATACTTTAATAATAGTATTGATTATGTGGTGCGATTATTTTGGTAGCCGGGATCACAACATTTGCAAATTTATGACAGAAAAACTATAATACTAGAATACAAATATACCGGAGAATATGCAAAAATCTTTGGTAAACAAACAGCAACAACTTTTTGGATCGATGACAGCTCACCAGCTGGTAGCAGTAACATTAAACCTTGCCATATCCTTTTATTTTGTATTTAACCCCTTAGTGTCATATTTTAGAAGATGTTTCTGCAAAATATATTTTTTTTTGTAAATATCATGCTTAAGAAAACAATTTATAAGTTCTATAATGTTTGGTTGATAATTATAGTTCAATGTGAATTCCAATTTAAGCTAATAAGTAAAATGGTAAAAATTTACGTAAACATAACCATTTTAACAGTCTGGCAGTCCTATGGTTCTGGCGGTTAATGTATTTGTGTTTTTGAAGTTTCAAAGCGAAAACTTTTGCCAAAGTTGTGAATTTTGCATTTTTTGTTTTAATATGTGATAAATATTTAAAGTGATGAAATGTTATAATTGTGATAAAATATTATAGTGAAAGAAGTGTATTTATGCAGAAAGGATCCAACGGAACGTGTTTATAAAGTAAATATGTCTATAATATTGTCACCAATTGGAAAATTTGCAATACCTGTTAACTTTATACTATATGTTTCTTTATTTAAAATGGTTGCATTGCAAAATAATTACAAGTTAATCAGAGTCTATAGTATAGCATAAAGTGTATATACATATGTACATATATGGGAAACTGTTACCAGAAAATGCTAATGAATGATAAATATACATTTCACTATGATAATATTATATGATATGTACTCACGTTGAGTATACGCCACGGTAGCAATGAATATTGAACTTTTTTGAAAAAGGACTTGGGTCTTGTCGTACTTATATGATATAATAGGCAAAAACAAAATTATTTTCGTTATTATGAATACTGTATATGTATTTTCGGAATTTTTGAAATATGTACGCATGTAATTTAAACACTAGTTCACATTGAATAACGTTAAATGTATGTAAGCCTTTTGAGATTTTCATTTTGTGCAGACAATTGCGTGGTGCACTTTATATTAATTTCTAATAATTAACGATAGGTTGAACTTTATTTAAATAGCTTATTCTCAATATAAAACCATATGATCTGTGCAGACGCGCATACATAATATATATTTAAACTAAAAAAGACAAACAACGCACTCTAAGGATCACAACATATACAGGAGTTTTCCATAAAATACAAATATTGCAAGTAGTCAATGTGATGGCTTTAACAGCTATATACACAATTACATGAAACTGAGTACTAATTGAGCCGTTTATAAATACAGAGGACATTACTAGGAAGTGTTTCAGCAGCATATTTAATATGTTCAACATTTATTATTTCCTGCTCCCGCTGCTGTCGAGGTGCTGGCTGTAGAGGCTGGTGGCAAATGTGTGTCGTCTTCTTCTTGATGACTCTTCTCCTCATAAGCCAATTCAACTTGCTCACGCTGCAGATGCATTGGATTGTAGCCTGCCTTGTTGCCGATATTAAAATGATTTATAGGAGCATTGGGATCCAAGGTATCTTTTGGCTTATAAATGCCCGATAACTCCTGTGCGAGCATATATTGTTCCTGTTCGGGGAAGTCGTGCTCACAGTGATGTTCGCCACATATACGACACTCGTAGATGTTCGGGCGTAGCGTATTCTTCAAGCGCTGTGAAATATAATTTGACAGTGATTAGAATTAAATGTAAAATGATATTTGCTTTGCCATCTCACCTCCATGAATGTACGACCATCTGCGCGTAATAAATTAATTATGGCATAACCGGGTATACATATAAGCGAGAATGATGCGAACATCCAACCAATGCCGTACGCCCAATCTGGGTATTTATAGCGGCCATTATGATAGCTTGGCTCTTCATAGTTAATTAAACTAAGCACCCAAATAGCCTGTTAAGTATACGTGTTCATTGAAAGTAAAGCGTCTTATTAAATTATAGCTTACAAATAGCAGACAAGGTCCCAACAGTAGCCAACATGTTTTGATATATAATGTGGGCGCTTTGCCGGTCATCTGTTTCACATTCTTTGACAGACGACCTGTACCGTAAAACCAAGCTACAGCGATAAGCTGACAGAATGCAAGGAACATAATCGATATGGAAGCGGCGTAATGATCCATTAATTGGAAGTAATAGATGCCACCCTAAAATAAATTTAAGAAATATGTTTAAAACATATATTTCTATAGTAAAACGAAATTAGCATACCTGCATTAGATTTGGTAGACCAAAAAGAAATGAGATAACACATACAAATAGCACAACAATCTCGTGATAACCCAAATGACGTTTAATCCAATTTGGAAAACCATCTTGTATCGAAGTTACCACCACTTCAACAATAGCGAACTGTAAAATTAAAAATTAAAATACGTTATATACTGCACCACCGCAGCTATAATACCCATCACAAATAAAAAAGTTTCCATACAAGGTCATGTATGGTATATGCTGTAGTGGTCCAGATCTGAATAATTAATTTGGAGATTGCACCGTTACCTTGAACCATTATCCATGCCAAATTTCGTAAAGATATCTTTTCAAATAAAAAAGTTTTCAATACAAGAACTTAACTCGAATTGTTCAGTTGTATGACAGCTATATGCTTTAGTGGTCCGGATCTGAACAATTTGTTCGGAAATTGTACCGTTGCCTTGAAAAATAATCCATGCCAAATTTTGTGAAGATATCGTGTCAAATAAAAAAATTTACATAAAAGAACTTAACTCGGACCATGCAGTTTGTGTGACAGCTATATTATTTAGTGGCCCGATGACGTGTGCAAAATTTCATATCGATATCTCAAAAACTGAGGGACTAATTCGGGTATATAAAGGCAGACGGGCCAACGGACATGGTTTACATCGATTCAGCTAGTCACGCTGATCATTTATATATACATTTTATAGGGTTAGCATATAATTAACTAGTTCATTGCTTAATTTCTGCTTTGCGAAGCATGCTCACCTGTGAATTGAGACCCAAGCAGAGCAGCATAAAGAAAAACATTACGGCCCATAATTGCGCATAAGGCATTTTCGCCATCGCCTGTGGATACACCACAAATATCAAACCGGGTCCATCGCTTATCACATCGCGTACATTCGTATTCTGTTCCAATGCCAAATTACCCAAGGTCGCAAAGGCAAATACACCCACTAGTAGGCTAGTTAGCATATTTACAACGCTTACAGCGACTGTATCGCGTACAATGTTGTTATTGTATTTGTTATAGCTCGCAAATGAGATCATCGAACCGAAAGTAATGCCTAAGGAATTGAAATTCTGCGATGCAGCGTTTATCCACACATTTGCATTTTTCAATTCCGACCAATTCGGTCGAAAGAAATAGCGCAGACCCTCATCGGCACCTTCGAGCGTAACCGCACGACCCATAAGTATGATGATTAGTATGAAGGGAAATGTGGCGGTGAAATAGCGTACCTTCAAGAGATAGAAAATTCAAATTCGCTACTAATTCGCAGTTAGTGAAAGTGTTTTACTAGCTATTTACTTTTGCTGATGATTTGATTGATTTCCATGTCGCAAAGTATACCATCAGCCAGGCGCAGATAAGGCAGACAAACAATTCCCAACGCATTGCACCGGGATATTCAATGCCGGGACTGATTTGCAGCAGTTTATTTCTGAAATTAAATATTAAAAGCTAGTAAAACATTTTGTTACAACAGAAACTTGGTTTATGCTGCTGGGATATGTATGTGGAAACCTAAAAGTATGCAACTGTTAAAAGCGTTCGTTGCATTTTTTATGTTTCGAAAACCTACTCGAAAAACTCTTCTGATGGCGTTCGTGATGTGTTCGGCGCTATAACACCTTGTGTGCGCTGAGGTACCCAGCAGTCCGGCGTATTCCACCTAGAAAGATGTTTCGTAATATAGTATTGGAATAACTATAATAAAATCTATCTCTCGATATAAAATGGCGGGAATTAATGAAGAACATAAAAAATTTAAAAAACGAAAATATATATTTTTATGCTAAAAAACTTATCCTAATACTTATAATTTAGTTTTTAACACATAGCTTGAAATTTACCGGTTATTACAATCGATCCATGGCATATCTGGCCGAAATGATGTGAAAAAGTAGTAAATTGAATAACCTATGATGACACTATAGTAAGTGGACATTAGGAAGGACACAACCACACTAGCAAGCCCAGCGCCTAGAAATATGCAAAAAAGAAAGTATAACAAATAAAAAGAAATTCATTTAAAGTGAAATTTAATTATATATATGAGTAAATAACACTTAACAAGAAGTAGTCCGATTTCAAAGCATGCCTCAGCTAATTCCGATTCGTTCTTTTTATACAAATCCGACTGTTATGGAACCCGTTGTTCAGCCTATAAAAACTCGGTCTGTCGGAGAATAATATTTTACCTCTTTAGCTTCATTATTAGACAATTTTTGTATTAGCAGGACCGATTTGTGGTAGCAGCCAATAAGTAACTAGTGGATCAACTGATTTAAATCTACTACTGTTTCTCGATAGCATAATGAACTTTGCAATTTAGAAGTTTAAGCGTGTCCTTTTGATCTGACCTCATTTCTCCCTCAGAACTTTGCTAATTATTTCAATACTTTATTTAGGAGTTTTTATACCCTGAACAACACCTAAAACGAAGTGTCGGAAGTCCTTTAAAGCTTATAAGTATGTTAGTGATTTGCGAATTAGTCGCTCACTTTAAGAGATATCGATCTAAAATTTTGCTCACGTCCTTTTCTCTCCATGAAGCTGCTCATTTGTCAGCACTGCGGATATTGCACCAATATATGATATAGTTATCATACAAACTGTTCGGCCATGTCCTTTTATGGAAAACTTTTTATTTGGTAAGATATCTTTATGAAATTTGGCATGGGTTATTGTGCAAAACACTTTTATTTATATATATTTTTTTTCTGAACATATTGCTCGGATCGGACTATTATATCATGTAGCTCCCACACAAACGCTTCGGTGCAGCTGAAGTTAAAATTTTTTCTTTTTTTTTTTTTTTAATCTTATATAAGCGAGTTTAAATTAATCAAAATCAGCGACCATAAATTTAATGTGTTAAGGTAATGTAGTAACTAAAAAGGCTTGCCATATTTTCTAAAAAAAAAAAATATTAAAATAGTCGTATTTATTTCAGTGTGGGTGTGAATGAAATTGATTTATTACAATTAACGATAACTTAACTACACATTTGTTCAGTGTGGCCTTTTTATATAGATATGTAGATATTTGTATGTACATATGTCTCATTTTTGCATCATTTTTAATTTGTACTTCGATTCTCGAGTCTAGACATTTAATCTATCAAAATTGTAACCACTGTGCAAAAGTGTTTGTAATTACTAATTTTAGTGTGAGTTTTGAATTATTAATGAGGATAATGGCGTTGCGAATATTTAAGTGGGCTATTGTGGTTTATGGATTTTTATAATCTACATACAAATATTACATATTTTCTGGCACATTTACATACATTACATTGTTGATATCAGTCATGCAATTTATAATATGGTTTGCTTAAACGGCGTAGCGAAGTTGCTTGAGTACGTTGACACTACGCGGTAGTGCTGGAGTTCGAATATTGGTTGTAGAAAAAAGATAAATATATGCAATTTTGAAATCTTACAATTTTGCCACTTAGCGCGAAATTCTCATGCTCATATTTATAGCAACCAAATTAGTAGGAGCCTAGATACAGGGTAGCATCAAGATCGCATAGGTAGAATTGTAGAAATTCGGCCACCCATATAGTTTACTAGACAAAATATTATATTGACTTGTTAAAAACATATTTCTGAGCATACAAAACTATTATGTATATATTTATATATGGCATACTGTAATGCCATCAACAACAATGTACTGTGCAGCCTTGTCCATGACCAACAGCCCGACACGAGTTTGGTAATAGGTAATTGGCGCTTGTTTTTCCGCATAGCTGTTTTGTTTAACAATCACTTCGCAAGTTCAATTCATAGCACTGTTCTAATTTTAGCACTAAAGCACACAAACACATACACACTTTTAGTTATCCCAGTAGAAATTTTACGGAACGATATGCAAATAAAAACGCTTCGCTAATAGAATATTTTCCGATTTTTTATCCAGAATTATTTGTTGCAAATATTTTACGCGGCCAAAAACCCCAAATTTCAAGCTTAATGTAGCTAAGGAAAGGATTTTCGAAGCTTCTTTGTAAAATTCAGCCCTCCAAAACAATTTTTATATAATCTACCGATTAGTGGGGCTCGAAACTTAACATATACTTGTAGGAGTACGAAAAGCACGGCGAATAAAAAAAGTTTTAAAAAGGTTTCTTCGGATTGATGTTCATTGCAACCGAAGGCATTGTTGAAAATAATCTTGGTATTCAAATTAGCTTCTCTAAGTTATAAGTTATGGGTCAGCGAACAAATTAAGTAGTCACTGTATTAAAAAGACAACTTATATCGCTATAAATCTTCTAAATATCACAAAAAATATTAGCGGTTATGTAATGCCTTTACATTTCTTTGAAGAGATTATTGCAAAAACATCTGATCGACAGATGAGAGTAAACGTTTTTCTCGACTAGAAAACATATCAGTACTAATGCTTAGGCACTTGTAAATTTGCCACGTTCTCTCGTTCTAACTGAGAAGTGATCCAGTTTTTTTTTTTTTTTTTTTTAATTCTCACGACTGCCCATAACAGCAAAGCTCATTAGAGAATTACTAGCGTATAGCTGTGTGTGTTAGAAATGCTACAGCCAATGCATATGATAATTAGCTAAGAATTCAGAGTTAACGATATTTGACAAGGTGTGAAAAGTTTAAGTAGATTTTTAACGAGCAAACAATGAAAAATAAGACAGTTAATACTAGCCAGATATGACTGGATACAAAAGGTTTACTTGAAATTATATTATATAATAAAAAAAATTGAAAAGTATATATAAGAAATATATATAATAAATATAATATACTTGTATAAAACTTTTTTTAGAAATAATAAAGACTATTTTTTGTAAATAATAATAATCATACCTTTAAATAACGGGCATAGCTGACCTAACGCTCCAATTGGTCCGCGCCCGGTGTATTGACCAATTGACAGCTCCATAAACAACAAAGGAATGCTGCAGATAAATAAAATAATGCAATAAGGCACTAAGAACACACCTGCAACGAAACAAAAAGTAAAATCAAATGAATAGAAATTATTAAAATAAATTCAAAATAATTTATAAAAAATTTAAATTATAAAAACTATATAGCTGGAATTTTAAAAAATATTTAAGGAAATCAATTAAGTAATTGTACTTCAAAATCAAATAATCATCACTAAAAAACATATAGAATTTGATTACTAATCTACAACAACAACAAAATCACAAAATCATAACAGCTACAGTTATGTTGTCACAAACTCAACAAGTTTAAAACGCACCGGAAAATAATTCCAAAGCCGTTTCAAACTAATAAAAATATGTACATTATAGCCTTACAATGCTCAAAGACAAACAACAAAAAATATTGTACAGTTTAGTATAGTAGCACTAAAATCTGTCGACGAGCGATACATGAGACCTGCCACTCAGCGGTCATTATATATTTGCTTTATTGTTGTACTTTTAATATTATTTTTTGCCGTAAGAATTACTTAGATAATACGTACGAAGATCTTGATGCTACTCATAGCTTACATAGAAGTATATTTATTAGTTTACTTGAGTTTTTTTTATTATTTCTATGTAAACACTGGTTTATTTGCCAGTAGCTGTTCAACTCATGACACAATTTCGCTTGCATTTAAGGCCAGTATTTACATATATGGTTTATTTTTGACATTATGAGAGTGTGTTTTTTTGTTTTTGCGGTGATAACGTTTTGTTTTGTGTCAAAGCTGTCAACTGCTAGCTCTCAGTTTGGCTGCTGCTTTGAAGGAAGTTTCAGAGGCTTGACTTTTAAATCTCGCATTTCTACTTGATTATAGAGGGGGTTGGCGGTACATTTACGCCTTTTTTTGGATTTGGAAAAATGTTAAATTCATATTTCTACAAATTACATTTACAAAAATACAAAAAAAATATATTTGTATATTTCAATAGTACTTTTATCATCAAAAATTTGTTCTATTCTTGTGCGTGAAAAATGAAATCAAATAGAACAAACAACTGGCTAAACATTAAGAAATATTTGTTTAGGCACAAACGTTATTATTTATGTTCGCGAGTGTCAAAATTTCACGCTTTTTTTTTATTCTTCTTCTTCACTTGCTCACATGATAAGCCTGAGCAATGCCGAAACAAATTAAGCTTCACATTTTAAGTAATATTTATGACCATTCATGAGATATGAGTGGAGATTTGTGTCAACATTTGTTTTTTATTACTAAAATGCTCGTCAATTAGACTTAAAGACTTCCTTCCATCGCCAAAACAAATTGCCGGATGAGTTGTGTGAAAAAAGAAAACAATTTAGTAAAACTAATCAAATATTATTGGCAGAAGCAAACTAGTAAGCGTAGTTCTGCTGCAGATGCGACTTTTCATTAAACTTTTTAATAACTTCTGAGATTTTCTATGAATTGTAGTTTGCAAAAAAATTAAAAAAGTTTTATGTATTGTCTTTGCTGCGGAGCCCAAAGCGCTTAAACTAATGGAAATGAATTTCAACTTACCACCACCGCTTTTGTAGCACATGTAGGGAAAACGCCAGACATTGCCCAGCCCTACTGAGTATCCTATGCAGGCTAATACGAACTGCATTTTGTTGGCCCAATGTTGTTGACGTGGCTTCAAATTGGCCGCATCATCAGAGGGATCCAGAAAGCTATCGTTATCATCGTCATCCACGCCGGGCAGACTATAAGTAATAAGCAGAGAGTAAATAATATTACATATAGATGCTGTAAAATAATGAATGCTGGGAAATATAGAGGATTTACAATTTGAAAGAACAAAGTAGAAGAGAAGCTCTGAGTTTTCAAGATATAGCTTGTTGTTGTAGATTGAGAAAAATTTGAACACAAGTCTCTTATCTCATCTCTTTGTCTCGTCTGAACGAAGATGGTTTATAATAATGAACTGAGATGGTGTTCTTAAACTAATAGCTAAGGTAAAACCAATCAGAGTGATATGTAAAACTAGAAAGGTTTCACTGTTCTCTATTTGAACACCCTGTATTGGCATCTACTGAGCCAAAAAAAAAAACTTATGAAACATATGACTCGCAGCATTTAGTGCCTTATAATCTCTAAATTCACAAAAAGAACCTCTAAATTAAAGTAAAAAAAAATTAGAAGCATTAAAAATTGTTACTGAGGTTATAAGCTATCGAGCTAATTTGGCCACACCAATTGGAGCTCTAAATAATACATACTCATGTAAAGTTTATACCGCTGCACATAAGTTTCTTTGTTGTTTATTGCATTGTTTATCTACCCCATTCACCTGCAGGCATCGAAGCACAACTAGTTATTGTCAATGAAAATTTAATAATATACAAAAAAATCCAGCCAAAAACGGTAAATATAATTGGCATGTGTGCGCATGCGTAATAGTAATTTCAAATAATGAAAGTGTGTATATTAAAAATTTCCAAGTTTAGTGCCACCTAGTTTTCGAAAGTATACTTTCACATAATGTAATTTAATTTAGAATCACACAAGTACTAATATAACTCATCTCAAATTTATACTCGTATTTACAATTCATATATGAATCGGAATTTAAACACGAAGCGTTAGAGCTTTATGAGGTGATCGTTCTTTTTTTATATGTGTCATATTTTTGAGAAGCTTTCGGTGTTTCGTCTACCTCAGAAAAGATGCTGCCGACAGCTAAAAGTAAAGGCAATAGCGATTTCTGTACTAGAAATACCAAAATTTCGAGTACATGAAAGCGTTTTCATAAAAGCTTCTCACCGTATTCATTAGTTGTTCATGTTTGCCAAAGGACAAAATCGGTACAGCTATATGAAACTTTATAGTTCCTTACAATCAAGTGCTTAGCATTTCCTATTCCTAAATTTTTATCACCGAATGTTGTGATTGTTGGAGCTGCCAAAGCTTTGAGCTATTCTTTAGAGGTGACAAATGTTTCGAGGTTGACCAATGTGAGCAAATTCTCTGGTCTTCAAGTAAAATGAATACTTGACTATGTACCGCAGGGTTGCCTTAGTAACACTAGATCTGATCGCTATCTAATCTTCAATTAAAGAAATTATTAACTACATACCCTAAGGCTGCCTTAGAAACACTGAAGAATATTTTTCAAAGCAAGCCCGACTGTCCAGTGTTTATTTTCTATGACTTTAAATACTTCAATGCAAATTAAAAGAACCAACAACGTTTGTTTTGCTCTGCTTTACAGTCGCTGCTAATAATTTAAGCAAACACTCTTCGATTTTAGAGACTTGCAACAAACATTATTAAGGTTTTTCACACTTTATGATTAATGGGTAAACACATGGCTGCCAGCGTTGAATCAAATACAATAAATGCATCAGAATTTTGTGATGTAATGTGTTGCTGGTGAAAAACATTATATCACGTGATGAAAGAGAGTAGGAGATCTCAATTATACTTATTAAATTGTAAAATTAATTAGTTTTAGTTTTAAAAGTTATCAATACTCAACAGAGTATGTCTACACAACTAGTGCATGGATTTATTGCAATAACTGATCCTTGGGAAGGTTCAGGCCAAGCAGCGCGTCACAAATGCTATGATATAAGCTATTTTATATAAACTTTACCGGTATTTTAATGAGAAATACATAACTTACACCTTGGCAATGCGATTAAATCGAAAATAGTTATATTCCGTATGTTTCGTCGACGTAGTTTCTATGTCATTGGTGCCACGTGGTGTCATTGCTCTGAACGATTCAGTGGTAGACAAACATGTAATAAACTGTGCAAAGCACACAAAATCACTGTTAATCGACGGGCGCTGTTTTTGATGGTGTTCTGCTTTTTAATAGATAAACTTTTTCAAGCACAGCAAACTTTTAACGTATTCAAAATATTTTTCTTTTGTAAAAATTTGTTTGTAAAAATTTTCTTCCTTCAAATATGCTATTTATTTGCTATCATTTATTTTTTGCCATTTTTGCCACTTTCAGCTTAGCGCTTCGGGTTTTTTCGATTGGTTTGATTTGGTTTTAGCTGTCTGTATCTGGCGCCGGAGCCGTTGATACTGTAATTTTGAAAATCTTCCGACACCCTGAAAGCCTCTAGAAGGTGCTATTTTCAATTCAATCGATTCAAAATTGCATATGTATGAGTAAGTGTGCACGAAAACATATTTATAATCTCATTTCTCATATTTAAGCTGTTAATTGATAGCTCAAATAAAGTTTTATTATATGAAAATTATCTGCGATATTAATTGCAGTTTAGGCGCGTTTAATTTTAGCACATACTGTGTAAATCCATTAAAAATAGTTTGTATAATTAATTTGGGAATATATTATGCATATATATATATATATATATATATATATGGTGTTCTATATAGTATATATGTACATATATGATTTCCTTTTTTAACTAAAGTTTTCGCTGGGTAAACGAATTTCCTTCTCGTCCGACACTGTATGGACTTTTAGTACGCTGATTCAATCAATTTCTTTTATCGCACAATGTTTTGGTCAATTTCTATAACTCTTTCACAGAAGCTTTCACGAGAACGCCTTAAGAGCCCTTTCTATTGTTTACACTCGATTGGTTCTCGACTCGATGTTGGACGTTGCCAGGAGATCGCTTATATCATGAATAACATTTCTACACCAATTTTCTCATTGCCATCTGGATAATTTTTTTTTAGCGTCGCGACCCGTTGACTCTCAATGAGGTGTTAAAGTTATGCTTTTGGCATCACAAATATTTGTGCATAAATCTTTATTATTGAAGATTCATTAGCTTAATTTAGTATTTGATGGCATAAATAAACTTTCTCACATCAATAACATGGCACGAAGCGCACGCGCGCAAGTTGTTTTGCGTTAGATCCATAAAAAATATGTTTGTGTTAAAAATTTGCCAGATAACGATAAAAGTTTAAGCAGAACCAACAGATGATAAGAGAAGGAATTCACACATGCTCATATACTATGCGATTTCAAGCAGTGAGACTTTTTAGAGATCTATCGGCTTTTTGGTTGAGCTTCGGTGGGTTAAGAAGATATAAACGATATATACATAATCGTCCTTATATTTGCTTAGTAGCTCCGTAATCGTTGGACTTGCTCTACCTAGCTTCACCGGAATTTTACAATACTTTATCACATAGTGTATCTCTCAACTTCGTTTAAATATTTTCTTCGATATCTTCTTGAGATTGTTTGGGCTTAAAGACCTTATTAGCCAAGCTTTAGGATATTAAGCTTCAATAAAATATTCTTGGTTCAACTTTTGTTCAGAGTATACGAGTAGATCGTAAGAGATTCTAAATCACCTCTTTTAGACACATATGTTAGAAAACACTTCTGGTTTTATAAAATGCCAGTCTACGACCGTGAATAATTTGATATCAGTCGTTATTTCGTATATACCTATCTATACTGTTGTCTAGTTATTCCTGGTAACCAGGGCTCTACAGTATCAGCAATTGTTTCTAAAAAGACAATAAGTTAGAGAGACAATAAGTCGATCTCATCTTTAGGTTAGATTTTGTTCGATGGCTGATCCTCAAGATGGGAATCGCACTTGGACTACTACATGTATGTAGTCCTTTGTGAAGACATAAAAATAGAACTTCGTTCTGATAAGACGACAAAGTGCCATGAGGCTAATACAAATCTGCTTAGGCGCTTAATTTTTATGTCCAAGTGTTTAAGCTTTGTTCTTGCAAAGGCGGAACAATCAAGAAGGAAGTTTTGGGATGTTTCCACCTCGTCTTTTGCTATACAATTTCTACAGCTGGCATTCGGTAAGATGCTTAACCTTTAATAACGAGTTTGGGCTTTCCTTAATTAGCATTGAACTCACAGTTAGTGAGCCCATCGATTTCATCTTAACTCTCGAATCTAGAAGGAAACAATTTCAATTGGAGTTTCAAAACTTTGCACCAGTTATACGGTGACAGCAACTACTACTTCGTAAAGTACTCGGCAAGATTACTGCTATAACAATATTAACAAAGAGTGACTAAATATTTAAGCGCATTTCATTATGTAACATTTAATAGATGCATGTATATGTATATAGTATGTATATAGGTATAACATAGCGCTAATTATCACAAATAGAAGTAATTATCGTGCATACCCGTGCACACCAATCTATAACTGTACACAACAACAGCGCAGAGTATATATAGCAAGAAGCTCGAACAACAAATATGATATATGTATATACCTATAGATTTGCATGCGCTTTTCTAAGTTCGACTACTCATACTTACGGCGGTGTCGGTGGATGCACCATGTTGAATAGTTCATGCGGTGTATGCGGCACACGTCTTATCACCAATCTACGTCCATCCGTCGAACCGATGCCAATCGATGCTAATGAGCGGACCGACGTCACATCCGTATAAATTTGATTGGCAACGTGATCGCCATAGATGAATGAGGAACTCGCACTTAAATCTTTACCCGAATGGCTGGGTCGTAAATAATGTTGCTGCTGTTGTTGTTGCTGCTCAAGCAGTTCGTACTGTGCCAGCGCTTCGGCAAGGTGATCCTGTGAACCCGGTATATAAGCTAAAATATAAAAGAACTTGTCAGAAAGGTGAAATATTAAAAATAAATGAAGTAGCTTTGAACTCCAAAGAGATCGAAAATAAGCGGTTTAATAATCCGTAGATAATACGAAATTACAACAAATACTTTCGGTCACATTTTCGAAGGGTTGATATCAAGAGTGGAAATTCGGGTGCGGCAGAGACATCAATAAGAGCTGACAGATAAAGCTTAAGGGTATTTCCGTAGTTGAGACGAAATTTATTTTTTGATTACTTTAAATAGGTTTCAAGTACTCAATGAAAAAACCAGGTTCGGTATGGAAGGCCAGCAAACGAGAGAGAGAGCAATTGGGCACGGCCTAAGACGACCAATGGCTTTAGAGAAGTACAAGAACTTTACTTGAGTATTACTGGTTCTATTTGTTCGTTCCGACCGAATGGTCCAGTGATAACTCAATTATATAATATCGAATTTGTCTAAACAACATACTCTCATAATTCGTATTGATTGCTTACCTGACACCACAGATCTCATGCTGCTTCTCTCACTTCGCCCACGCGAAAATCCCTGCAGATATGGAGCGGTTTCACTGTTTGCCAATGCGCTACGATAAAAGGGATGCACAGCTGTTGCTGAGTGTGCTGTCGATGCTGTAACTAGCCCTGCAGTCGATGTAGATAGTGGCGTTTGTGCGCCGGCTATTGTGTATGAAGGCGCGAGTTTCGACGCGGATTTAATAGAACTGATTGCGGTTGATCCCTTATCGGGATGAAGTGTTGCATCGTAGACAGGCATACCATTGCCGTCACTGAAATCGCCACTATACCGGTCATCATAATCGCCACAACCCTCCGATTCGCAATCCTCAATTGTGAATGTCACGCCAGCTGAATTATCGTTAAGCAACGCTGCTATTGTTGCTGGTGTTTTAGTATTAGTCGGCTGATGAACTACATCCGATTGTGATTGTGCTGCTGAACGAGTTAATGATGGTGGAGGTGTTGAATGAGTCGCAGAGTGCGGTGCTGGTTTTGACTGATTAACTGTGTTCGGAACCCCGCTCAGCAGGGGAGGCGGTGCAGCTGCAGCCGCTGTGGCAGCTGCGGACAACTGACGTGCCACTGAACGAGGCCGTTGTAGTGATTGCTGTTTTTGTTGTTGACTCGAAGCAGGCGTCTTCTGTAGTGCAGCGGCCAGTGTCGACAATGAGCTCGCAGAGATGGTTGGTCGAAATGGGAGTGTTGCTGCTTCCTTTGCACTACCGCTGGGTGTTAGTGGTGTGGCGGGTATGATAATGAATTTATGCGAACGTGAGGAGGGTGAGCGTATAAGACGCGTCTGTTCGTCACCGCTCTCCGCACCGCTATCCGAGATTTGACTGAGGCGAAAGTTATGCGATGTCTGTTTGCCAATTTGCGCGAGGGTAGGTGTCGTCGTTGTTGTTGTTGTGCGATCTTTCGCCGCTGTTACGGTGGCAGTATTGTTAGTGCTGGATTTGTTTGTGGCAGAATTGATTTTAATTTGCTTTTTGGCACTTGAAGAAGTGCTCGGCTGTTCAGTGGTTGTGGCATCCATATTGCTAATGTAGTTACTTTTTTGACTGCTATTGGAATTGCTTGGTTTCTGCGTACTGTCTCTGACCCTGCATTTGGCTTAATACTTTCACAAATTGCGCACTTTCACTTTTTTCTCACATGAAATTTTTTATAAAACTGCAGTAGCCATTCCGTTACACAATGGTTTTCATTTAAATTTGCTTAATTCTTGCACGAAACATATCGCTACAAGTATAAACGTAAAATTTATTATCTTAGTTGATTATGCAGCGTGATAAATTTTAGGTCACAGTTTTGCACAAAAAAACAATACATACTGATATAGTGTAGTGTAAGAATTTATAATTTTTACTCGACATACTTCTTTTAAAATATCTTGTGATAAAAAATAAATAATAACGGTTTATCTTATTCCGTTTGACGGCCACTTTCTTATCGTCACTTAATTCGTTTAAGATTAAGTTGGCAATCATACACACAGTATACCTACAGTTGGTCAAAAAAGTACCAACAACGTCAAAGCGCGCTTATGTATACGTGAGTTGAGTATTTATTTATTTTGCAATTCTGTATCTTAAATTGTGCGAATTACGTTAAAGTTTTTATAATATTTCACTAAATCTTCTATAAAGAAATGTCTTATCGTCTCACAGAGATAGCTGTATCTCGGCATGGTGACCGATTTTACGATTGGCGAATATTCAAAATAAGTACAGTAATGTGGATCTGTCTAAACAAATGATTTGTTTGTGAATAAGAAAATTAATTCTTCAGTTCTGAAATCTGCAACGAAAGGCGTCAGCAGTGGTTTGCCGAAGCGTATGATGAACTTGAATCATTAATGTTACTTATGTTTTAGCCGAATAAATCAGACCTTAGACCTTGTTTATCTAGCATTAACAAGAATTTCAGCATTATGGAGTTCACGACACGACTTTCAACACAAAGCTCAACCTTTTGATATATCTAATTTAAATCAATGTTCGAGAAATTAGTGCAATCATCTATAATTATCACCACTTTACTCAGTTTTACAAAATCATATAATACAAATGCTGCAGTAACTGTACCAAACATTTCGACATCATTGGTCTGAGTAAGCTTGTATTTCGTCAGCAGTAGGTTTCGGTCGGTATAACTACTGATTATTCATTAAGCTCTGACATTTATAGTTTCTCATAGACTGACCCTACAGCATATATTCTGAGTTGTCCCTATCGATCTTGGAAAATTCTTCAGATATGATATGTGGGCTTAAGTTTTCTTCGAGTCAGCACCTTATCTGTCACTAATATTATTTGTTACTAAAATGTTTCTAACCTCATTATATGTAGGTTTCTCCATAATGCTTAATACCATTAGCTCAATATCACTGCTTATCTCGTAAAACTTATTAAAATTAAGTGTCTTCAACATTAATATAAAGTTGGATTTCGGAATTTCAAAAAAAAAAAAAAACAGGTGTGGTCCAAAGCTGACAAATTCCTCTGACTTTTGCCCAAGATAGCATCTATATTTTAAGCAACTGCATGCATTTTTTACAAACTGTTGTGCTGCATCTAAGCAAAAAAATGTTTGGAGTGTCGAAGTTTACAGATATATTTGCTGCCTTAAAGCTAGCTCTTCAAAATAATACCCATCTAAATACATATATACTTATGCTTGAAGCTCTTTTGTTTCTCCGAATGACGTTGAGCTCGCTCGTTTGTACGATTGCCGTTATAATTGGTAAACAATGTTAATTTTTTGTTTACACTTGTTTTGTTTAATTACTTTTTGAACTTTCCTATGTCTTAGCTGTGTGACTAACAATTGGCACATAATGTCAATAATTTTCAGTTACGTCATAAAATTACTAACACAAAAAATGTGAGGAGAGACTTCAGTAGATGACGCACTGGTGTCAATCGTGTCAAACAATTGCTTAAACGAACGGCACTCATGCTCGAATGATATAAGTATGTATGTATGGAGGCATACGTATGCATATAAAGAATGGTCCATGGATTGGGTTATAGCTATGTGAATCGGAAAACGACAATATGATCTAGAAAGCATTGCATCTTCAGAGAGTGACATTTTATTTGGGATTTTAAAGCGACAAACTTCAAGAATATGCACTTCTAAAGAATATTTACGGTAAAGTTAGCGTAGAGAATACATTTCTTCGTTGTCTATGCTTGTATTGATAGGTTCATACTAGTATTAGTTTTCCTTATGAAGGTAGCAGGACTTAGTTATTTAATTGAGAAAAGAACATGACATAGAGCTTTGGCATAGCTACATAAAGGATTTTGAATAATCGTTTAGTAGACTTCGTCAAAGTTTTCTGCGAAATATACTCGTACATTCACTGCTTCCTCACTTGGTTTGTGCCATAGTCAAATCTACGTAAACAAGCCGATCCGAACTATTCTATGCACATAGTAGGTATATTTGTATGCACAGTAACATTCTCTAAAAAATGCTACAACAAGAACTTAGGAATTTGTATTTTGCACTTCGCACTTTTTCGTACTTTGCGATCATATGCAATATTTTTCAGTTTTCATTTCAAGCCCACGCAATTTGATCTCCTTCGCTTGGAGGTCATTTAGTAGGAGTTCAAATTTATTAATTCACTTGCCGGATGGCAGCATATCACCGCGAAATGTCGTAAATTACACAGTCACTTAAAAAACACATTTAATAAACTACTTAATAGAATAATTGATATTTTGAGCGCTTTTATGCAAATTCATTAAACGCTTAAACACTATGCAACCAAATCGAACTCTACGGTTGGCTGAATTTTGAATTTTAAAGAGAGCTGCGATATTTGTGGTTTAATGTTCAATGTACATGTACCAAGTGTCAGAAAAAGTTATTTGTTTTTACACTGTAGTGGTGTCCTTGGCATTGGCACTAATTATTTTTAAGTAATCTAATATTCTCGCAGGTTACTGATGGTCAAGTACAGATAAACTTTTTGAGTCCAATAAGTAAATGTTTGCTAACCCTTGATGAACACCTTTTGATATAAGCAAATGTAGCTTACAAGAGATATTGATCACTGATCACTAAATTAGGTTGTCAAAGAACTTTATACAAGAAATTTTCAAGTAAAAAATCTTTTATTTTTATTTATCTTTAGAGTACATTATGACAATATTGATTAACTCGATATAAGCCTGCTATAGTTTCAAGAAATCCTTCTCTATGAAAAAATGTCTTTGGTCCTCCTTACAGAAGCTTGTTGCTATCCGCTATCACTCAAAAACAGTTTTATTAACTTATCTGATTTTCAAGTAGCTTAAAAGAAATTTTTGTTTGAAGTTCTTACAAAGTCGTTGAAAACCCTTCGATGGGTTTGTAATAATTTCTTCCCAAGCACTGTCCACAAGTAGTCATCATTGACCTAAGCAATCCAGGAGTTCTAATTGGCGGTTTTATGAAGGATTTAACCTTTTTCTTATTATATCATCAGAAAACTTGCATATCGCCATATTTTGAAAGAGTTAAAAATAACAAAAACAAAAATGAATTAGTCCAGTTGTGAATCGCGTTTCTTAATTTATTTAACATAAAAAAAAACTTGAAATTCGGCTGCACTGAAGCTTAACCATTACAGGTGCATTTCCTATAGCCAAAAGGATATAAAATTATCTATATTATATTATAATATTTATTTTGATCGGTCAGTTTGTATGGCAGCCATATGCTATAGTGGTCTGATCTGAACAATATGTTCGGAGATTTTAGCCTTACCTTTGACAATAACCCATTGCTAACTTTTGTGAAGATATTTTGTCAAATAAAAAAGTTTTCCATACAACGACTTAATTTTCATTTAGTCGTTGATTTTCGTTCAGCTTGTATCGCAGCTATATCCTATAGTGAACCGATATCGGCGTTTTCGATTAATGTGAAGCTTTTTGGGGAGAATGGGGTGTGTTAAATTTCAAAGCGATATCTCAAAAACTGAGAGACTGGTTCGTGTATATACAGACAAACGGACATAGCTAAATCGACTGAGCTTATCATTCTAATCATTCATATAAATATTTTATAAAGTCTCTGACGTTTCCTTTTGGGGGTTGCAAACTTCGCAGCAAACTTAATATAACCTGATCAGAGTCTAAAAAGTACAAATTTGCTGCCCGAACAGCAATGCCCTCGTTTGTTATTAAAATAATAATTTAAGCACCCAAATAATTAATTGCTGTTACGCAAAAGCTGTGTTTGTTCTAATCATAATTCATATTTTGTCACTGCTGAAAATAAATCTCTACTTGAACATGTTAATAAACTTACTAACTAACTGTTATTTATCTAAGTTTTTATATAGTTTTTATTTTCAAAATCTCTCTGTGTGTAAATATGTAATTTTCAATAATTACAATAACAATAATTGCAAAGCTTGTTTGTGAAAAACGTGATACTTTAACGATTAATATCGTTTAATGAATTAATAAATAGCTTGTAAATAAATAATACACATAACAACTACACTTACAGTGTAAGGTGGGCTATGCTACGCTCCTTCAATGAATTTTTATTTTTTTTTTTTGTAAATAGCAAGATATTATTGTAATCTACTTATAATTCATTTGAATAAAGAATAGCTATTTATTTGTAAGCTTGAATTGCTTGAAGTGCTTATTTTATGAGTGATTAGCTACAACAGGCTTCTTAATGGTTTCTGTGATTAATCATTCATAAGTCAGTTGTGCATTTTTAAATTGAGCTGTAAATTAAAAGTACGTAAATATGCTGTTATTGTTGTTGCTTAATACATTAAGCGATTTTAAATACATTTTAGCTGCGAAATTCGCGCGTAAGTAAAGTAGAGCTTAGCAGCATTTTGGTATTTTTTACGCTTAAATTATAAGCTTTTTTTGAAATATTAGTCAGCTAAGAGTTTTATATGCTCTAGCGCATATAATATTGGCTAAGAATTAAATTTTTTTAAAAGAGACGGGCAAATTTCTATTCATGTAGTTAAAAAAATTTGTTCTTTATGACAAAATTTCTCGTTTTTGAGTTTTTAAACTAAAATTTTTGTAATAAGAAAACAAAAACTGGAAAAGTTCTACTATCGGAAAATTTATGCCATCCGATCAAATTTGACACGGACTGGGCCATTTAAACGGCGCTCGCAAACCGAATTGATAATTTTTTTTCCTACATCGATATTTTATGTTTGTTAAGTTATGTTTGTTAAGTTAAAAACTAAAACTTAAAAACTATAGATTTCGTCATTGATTAAATTTTCAGAGAACGTAAATGGACGAGAAGGTGCAAATTGAATTTTGTATGATGCTCGATTTGACGGCTAACAGATCTGAAAAATTCCGAACAGGGAGTTTACCATTAAAAAAAAAATAATAGTTCAATAAAAGGGAATATACCTATTTCAAATGGCATATCAATAATCCCAGTTTGGCATACATATTATATAATATCTTCAATAAATCTGTACAATTATTTTGTAATGAGAAATATAGTAGGAAAGTTACACTATCGAGAAATGTATGTTTCGTATATGTGTCAGACGCGCTATCAGAAATTAAAAGTCAATACTATAGGTCATAAGGCTGTTTTCATCATTGCAATCCGCGGTTTGATATTGCTGTATAAAAGTTGTCGTAAAAAATGTTCCATCAATGTTTTGGTTTTACTACGGTATTTTGTGTGGCATAAGGAAATACTTCATACTTGTATACATAAGTACATATGACAACGATGTTGCGATTTTTTCTCTACTTTGATACAACTTATAGAGATATTCATTATTATAATTATTGAAAAAATAAAAGTTTTGGGGAGTTAACTTCACTAAGAACTTTCCTCATGCATAAGAAAGAGTCACTCTGCACGAGATTATATTTTATTCGCCAGATTTGAAGCCATGTGATCTTCCAGTGAGCAAAGAATGAGCTAGATAAGGCCATCAAAATTAACTCGTTGAAGAATGAATGTTTCAAAGAGGGCAAATTTTGCGCAGGTATGACGGATTTATATAAAAACGATTTTTGTTTTAATTATTAGATTAACGAGATTATAAATATTAGCATATATAATATATATTCAAATTAATATTAGGCTTACTTAAAGCAAACGGAAAATAAGGAAAAAGAACAGTTGTTGTTGTACAAAAATAATAAAAAAATACAACACTAAAATCTTGAAATATTATATATATTTTTTTTATAAAAAATCCTCATATAACAATCAAACAGAGACTGCAAAAAATTAAGCCAAAAAATTAACTTGAGAAGAGTCATGGTTTTGACGCCGCATATATGCATGTACATATGTATGTATGTATGTACTATTCGTGTTTATTTCAGCTGCAATTGATACTTTTATGCTTTTACGATTTAATTAGTTCCACTTTTACAGATTTTTTCAATACGTATTATGCATGTGTATGTTTGCAAAAAGTTTTTATTAAATTTGCCACACTTATACATTTGCATAAATTTCCGTTTATTTTTAACGGTTTCTCATGTAATCGTTATTTTAAAACTCAATTTTAATTTATTGATTTTAACAAGCAATTGCTGTTATTACGAAAATTCGATGCGCACACTGCAATTTTTTCGCACGACATATACTTGTAATTAAATTATTTGCATTTCCACCAATTTGCATAAATTGGCCGCGCTTTTCATTGCCACAAATGCATAAATGATACAAACAGAAATACAAAGAATTGTTAAATATAGAGTGTCACACGAATGCATTACAAAAACCACAACGGTGTATGATGATATTTGATTAAATTAGCTGCACCGGCACTGCTTATAGATTACCGCAACAACAATGCGCACGATCACTTTGCATTTAATATGCAGAATTGTGTAGTTCTAGTTATTATACACTTTGAATTGGTTAGTAATAGCACAATTGTGCTTACATTTATACATATGTGTAAATATTTAAACGAGCTGGGCGTGTTAACGGTACGGCAAAGCGCACGTGCCGTGTTCACTGAACTGAATGCGGGTGGTCTTTTACAGCAGTTAACTACATGTTTTTAATCAAATATTTTCATAAAATATTTAGTTGAAAGTTATTTATAAAAAAAATGGCGTTTTATTGTTTGTTTGGTTTTGTTATTATTTGCTTTGCCATTTCGCACTATCGGCACACACTTTCTTTTTCCGCAAATGTCGTGCAATTGCCAAGCGTCTTGCTTTTGAGGAATTTGTATTTAACTAAATTTGAATGAATGAATTTATTAATATAATATTACTTTTCTTCTTTTCAACAAAACACTTGCGCTACTCGCCGTCGCTGCCGTTTGCTTTAGAGTGCAACCGTCACGTTAAAAGCTTCAACGTACCGCTCACAAGCGCTGTCAAATGTCAACTGATTCGTTGTCGCTGTTCCTACGACTTTTTTGCCTATGTCGTTTATAGCATATAGTAAAAAGCCAACAACAATAACATATAAAGTGGTATCTAGATAGTATAATGCATACATACAAAGATAACCACAAACTTTATCGCGGAGCGTAACACTCGTTGAAGCGTGTTTTTTTTACTATAGACCTACATATTTATGCCTATATCTAGATACTCGTATTTGTTGTACATCTCTACAGCAGCGGATTTATTCACTTTACTGGAGTCCTATAGGATTAAAAAATCGTTAACCATGGGTTCAGTGCCACGTGATATACCCAAATTATTATAAAAGGCATTTCTTCAAGTCTGTCAAGCATCATAATCTCTCATAATCCGCAAGTTAATTGTATAATGAGAAAGTAATTTTATAATTTGGTGGTCGAAATTCCTTCTATATCTATGTATACAAGATGGAAAAAATGTATTCTGTAGAGACTCACTGTGAAGCCAGTAAGAATGTACCAGCGATCTATAGCGGGGGATGACAAAAAATCATCTTCTCAGAAGAGACCCATTTCTGGCCTAATGGCCTCGTCATCAAACAAAATTGACGCTATTGGGTTGAGTCAAATCCTCGTGTGGTTCAGGAAACGCAATTGCATCCCCAAAAATTGAATGTTTGGTGCGGATTGTGGTATGGTGGCATCATCGGGCCTTATTTCTTTCGAAATTAGGCAGGAAATGCCGTTACTCTCACTCAGTACCATCAATAGCTAGCGTTACAACACGATGCCGATCGACTTTTGTTTTTTGTTTTTGATGAAATCGACGCGGCCGATTTCTGTTTCCAACACGACGATGCGCCGCCTTCTGTTTCACGTCAAAGTTACCATCATTGCTCGAGAATATTTTCTCTATGTATTATACATATATATTTACGATTTCGAGCCCCAAACCACCAAATAGCAGTCACACACTCAAACTACTCGGCTACCACGATCCATACATATGTATAGATAGTAAATTGTGGCTACTTACCTCTATGCCTGTATTAATTTTTGGTTTGTTTCATTATACTACTCATCTCCACATACTCGAAAGCCCCTCAGCCGGTGTTCGTACTTACATTTATGGTTATATGTATCGGATCTTGACACGTTTGCGCCGCCGTATGACGGGCGCGGGAGTCGAGTCGCCCAGCACACAAGTGATCTGCAATTGTTCATATACATTTTCCTAATTCGCATTGACATTCGCTTTGTATGTAGGTGTTGTGACAAGTGTCAGTAATCGTACGTTTCATTTTCCAACCCTCTTCACTGCATTCCATTCATCAAAACTTTGCATACACACAAACACATACACGCACATACATGTATATTTATATTTGTTGTTGTTGACTTATTGTTTGTTTATTAGACATCATGTGTTGTTGTACTGCATATGTACAGCCATACACACAAACCTCTTCTCTGTCAGATCTTTTTTGTTGTTATTAAGACATTTTCTGAAGACTGTAATCATTTCCAAAGCACTCTGACAATTGAATGCGGCGCCACAACCCTCCATACCTTAACTAACTGTATATAGACGACTTATTATCTTTTACTCTCTTCGAACTCTTCAAAGCTCATTTTTTGCTGTAGTAATAGCGCCAGACGATCGCCGTTGACTTTTGGTGACATTTTTTGTATTACTCTCCTACATATAAAAATCATTTGTTTGGTCTTTGTTATATGTCTCTATATATTTGTGTTCGTTAGCTTTTTGTCACTCAGTCAAATCGAAATTTTAGTCTTTAGTTTCTAATGGCGCTCTCGCTCTATTTGCTGCATTTTCTCTCCCTACTTCATTACTTGCGTACACATTTGTACCTCATTTGTTGGGTTCAAATCTCCTATTTTCTTTCCTATTGCTCTGTTATTCTCTTCACGCCTGATAAAATTACCTCTTTGCAACACTTTCCTTTTTATCAATAAAGAATTCCGTGCTTTCTTCAATAGTTCAGACTTTTAAATCTAAATCGAAAGACCATAAAACTTCGATGAATGAATTTCTCTGTTGGTATGCGGTTTCGCTTGTCATTTCCGAGAATCTTTAGTGACTGTAACAATTTAGATATCTAATTAGAAAGCTCTAAGCTCTAACTTTTGTTCGATCTATAAGTTTTCATTCAGTCCAATCTTTCATAAAGTCACAGTATTCGAATTATCGTTGGAATTTTACTTACGATCTCAAAAACCTTATTTTTAAGTGTGTTAGCATTTTAGAAATAAAATCTTTCATGGACCGATAACCGCTTGTAAAAATCCTCTCGTTATGACCGTTCAAACAGCCTGTCTCTTGTGAAGCGCTTGAGAGACAGCTCTGTGAAGCATTTCTGATGTTATAGTGCAAATAAGGTCTGAATACCGCCGACTCTGAGAAAACAACCAGAAGCAGCTCCATAGTAGTGTCGTTAAATATAGTGGAAAAGATATTAAAGGGCACGCCTAGAAAAACGATTGGGTTATACCTTTAAAATAACATCTAAAATTTTAAATCGATATCTCAAATAGCTTTTAAGTTACCACCTTCTAAAGTGTAACGGTTCAGTTCAACCAGCTCCATTAGTTTATTTTTGAACGCATTTTTTCTCAAAACGTGATTATTCAAATTTACTTGTGTGATTACGAGTATATGCTGACAAATGATCCGATCACTATCAAATTTTTTCTCCAAGTTCTGTATACAGTTCTCCATACAATAACCAAAGATGACCAAAATTTGCGATAAAATGCAAAATTTTTTTTTAAAGCGCCGTCCGTAGATCTCTGTACGAACTATATCTTCTAGTAAAGATTTTTTTTTTGGTTTCATCCAGAACATTCATTAAATTGGTATCAGAGCGGTTATAAGTTGGCATGTTGTGCTCGCGTTCGCCTTCCACAGTACAACTACTCCTTCAAACTTCTAACGGCACCGCTTGATAACGCAACTCTATTGCACCCACACTTGAGTTAATTTTTTTGATTTTTTCTTTTAATCTAATATTGAGCGCAACCGGATGATTTCATTTTAATTACATTAATATAAGGGCTTCTTTTAATAAATGTAGGCTCTTATTGAAATATCGCGTGGTTGTTCTTATCTCAACGTAAATAAAGTAGAATCGTTTGATAAGATCAAGTGGTCAATTATACCTGACGGTGTATTGTGATTTATAAGCGATTCAAACAAAGTTGAAATCGACTTTCTCCAATAACAGCTGGTATTATTAAATCAATCATAAACAATCGACGGTAATATACATGTAATCTACGTTCTGATATTTCTTTACCAGCGTTAGTAAGGATTTAGTTGTCAAAAGCTGTTATATCTTGTTGAGAATTAATGCTTTTAAATATATTTATAAATTTGTTAGCAAGCGAAAATAAGGTTGTAATTGTTATTAGCAGCGTCGGGTATTCTGTAATGTCACTTTAAAAGTCACAGAGCTATATAAACGTCCGGATGACGTACAATATTCATATATCGCGAATAATATAATTGCAGATTTTGATGGTAGTGGTTATTTAATTTGGAAATTAATTACGAGTCGTTCTTATTTAAAGCACAATTAAAATTTCTGTCGATCTATGCCCTGTAATTTTCTGTATATTGCTTTTTCTTGGATTTACATCAGCCAGTAAGGTTGCATGGGTTTCACGGCTTCAAAAAATATTTTTTTTTTTTTATTGTCTTATTTGATTCTATAACATCTCCAGAATATGGTACTAAATTCTTAAGTTGATCCGAGTAATGCTTAGTTTTGGCGATGCAGCCTTAAAAAGTTGCACGCTCGAGGTCAGCTATACAAGTACATTCACTTAAAACTTTAAACGCGTTTTTCTCGAAAATGTGTATTCAAAGTCGGTTATTAAGATTTCTCATGAACTACTCTACCGATCTTAATGAAATTTTACACAGGTCTTCAATATATAATTTACAAGCTATTGAAGTTGGTATTTTTTGTTCAATCACAATTATTAAATAAAAACGTCGAGAAATTTTCACCAAAATTTGCATGTTTTTGTAAAAACGTCTGCCAAAAATATTTTTTTATTTTTACTTTTGATGATCCTGTAAGAAGTTCTGCTGTCAACGCGGAGGGAACTTTTTTTCGAGAGCTGCCGGAAATGACGTCATAAGGGCCGAGTTTTGCATATTTTCCTTCGAAAATTTCACAAAATTTTTGTAAAAAATTCATCTTTGAAATACAATAATAAAAAGTTTGAATAAATTTTTTAATTTTTTATATAAAAAAAATATTGAAAATAGGAAATGTTCTCGAGGAAACCCACCTAAGCCCTTAAAATCTCCATACATGTATTGAAATCACGGCGTATACCCATACAATGAGTAGAAAGAGAAGCTCAAACAATTTTTGATAAAAATGAAATAAAATACTAAGTACATTTTTATCTGAAATTAAGGGAATATATTAGTCCGCTAATTAAAAAATACGCATGTACTCAATATGAAAGGAAACCGATATAACTACACTATTTTAGTGTTATTTTAAGTTATATGTGTGTTGCTATTTCTTACTTCAGCTACATAGGTACTGTTATATGTAATGTTGAATCATACCCTTTATTTTGTTCTTCAGTGCGAAATTACTCAGTAACCTCATAATAATAACCTTTATTCTGTTCGTCAGTGCGAAATTACTCAGTAAGGTCAGGTGACATGGTCATGTGACAAGCATCCTTAACATTTGACGTGATGGGTTTGCAATGAAAAAAGAGTGCGCCTATTAAATTTCTTTTAAATAGCAATTAGCATTCAACAGGAGATTTTTTGTGGATTGCTGCAAAAACCAATTTGAGAAAATACGACCCTGATATGATGGTGAACGACATCTGTACAAATAATCATCAGTTTCTCTGTATTTGTATATAGTCACAAGCGTTTGAAAAAATTCGTAAAAAAAGCAAAATTCGACGGATGACCCTTTACAATCTTGGCTCTATAGTAACGGTACTGGCAAAATAGTTTTAAAATCACCAAAATTTCGAATTGTTGAGACGTGCGCCATTTAGTCTTAATTTTAGAGCAAATCACAGCTTTTTCTCCCCTATATACAAAACTTACAACGTGGTATATGATTTGCGACGCCAAAAGAAGCGGTTGATGACTTCAAAATTTAAAAATTGGTCCATTGTTATAAAAGTAACACGTTTAAAACAGATTTGTTATATTGTTAATATTACCCTCTACGAATATGAACTGGTATTACATAGTATCCTTCTCCAACATTTTTACGTAGATGATTCTTGATTTTTATACGCTGAATAGCCACGTCCATCTGCCTGTATATACGCGAACTAGTCCCTCAGTTTTTGAGCTATCGTTTGGCCACGTCCTTTTCTCCATAATCAACTGCTCATTGGTCGGAATAGCCGATATCGAACCATTGTTTCATATATCGGTCATACCAACTGATCATTCGAAATCAAGTCATTGTATGGAAAACTTCTTTATTTGACAAGATATCTTCACGAAATTTGGTGCAGATTATTATCCAAGGCAACGAAATGTACCTGGGAAGTGTATTATGGCTTCGGTCTGACCGAAGTTAACGTTGTTTTCCTATTTTGATAAATTATCTAAGGATACTAAAGCTACTTTCCAGAAATTTCATAGTTTGTTCCCTCCTTTGCTAAGCATCTAAGTAATATAAAATTTCAATTATTTTATTTTTATTTTTATTTTATTCATATTTATTTTTATTATTAGTTTACAGTAAGCAATACAATATTAATATGGTTTGTTTTACTTTCAAACATTTTTTAATACAATTCGTTTTTAATAATTATAATTTAACTATTGTTTTTAACAATTTACATACAAACATTATTATTGTCAATCGTTTTTCTATATTTGCTGCCAGTGCAAAAAGTTATCTTTATGTGTAAGCGGCAAAATCTTGCCATTTTTATAATTCTATAAATTATTTGAGACGTAAAGAAAAATAAAAGTTGCTACTATTTTTTTAAAAATTTGTAAATATGGCGGTCAAAATTTTTGAATTTTTTAAACTTAAAAACAAAAAAAAAATTATGAAAAAAACTATTTTTCGGCTAACAGCCGTTTATGGTGTCTGTTAACGGTTGCTTGAACTAATTTTGCCTGGCAATGGCGTTGTGAACGAACAAAAAAAAATAATACAAATTTAACGAAAAATCCTATACAATGCGTGACAACTATTTACAGTTTTCTTAAATTATTTTTTATTTGCTCTCGTTTGCTGTTTAAAGCAGTGTGTTTTGTTTTTTCTTTCACTTTGTGTCTTTCGGTGTGTGTGTGTGTGTAATTTGTTCTTGTTTTTTAATAAAATTATTTTAAAGTTGAAAGTAAAAATTTAACTTAAAGTAGTGACTATACATTTCGATTTTTTTTGTATGCTTCGTTTATATTTTTCTATATATAAAGTTTTTCTTTTTATTCAAATTAATGCAACGCAAGCTTTTCAAAAGTCACACGCTCACCACGGCTGTGCGAATTCGCCGCAAAAGCGCATAACCAAAATTTCGCTGCAAAGTTGTGCGCGCTTGCGGTGAGTGGCTCAGTGTTGCCAGCGTGTGTTTTAAGTTTAGGCGCGCATATATATTTTTAAATTTTTTATTTATTTATTTTTTTTTTTAATGTTTTTAGCTGTGTTTTAGTATACTTTTCATATATAGTACATATGTATATCGCGATTTTTTTTTATTCAATTATTTTAACTTAAAGTTTGCTTCTCACTGCTTACGCATTTTGCAATCACAACAAGCATACAAAATATTATAAATTATTAAAAACGATAAAAAAAACTAAAAATTTAAATAAAAAATATAATAATTATTATTACTTTAACGCACTTGACTAACACGCTTTTGTTAATTTAAATATGTTAATTAGTTATTTAATACAAAAAAGTTAATAATACGCATTAAATATATAATCGTTTATATATAATAATAATATTAAAATTATTTAAGCAAATCCTCCATTAGTCGCTTTTTGGGGAGTAGGAAGATATATTAAATAGCAAAAAATATATATGTTTATTTAAAATGAATTGTTTTCTTCTCTTAGGCAGCTATATGGTTGTTGCTTTTTATCTTACGCCTCAAAATTTAGATGTAAATTGTTTACATCGAAAATTACGTGGCAAAGGCAGTGCAGGTGCATCTTCTTCTCTATTTTTACAAACGCTATTCGCGCACTTTCTCCAGTTTCATGAATTTTTACTAATTGTGTGTGTTAGCACAAAGTACAGTTTGTTTGATTTATTTGTGAAATAAAAATAAATAAACATTTTTAATGCTTGATTTGTGTTTGAAGTTTCGATTTTCGTTTTAAATTTTAAATTTCGTAAATTTTGTCGAAGAGTTGCCACCTGTTTATTTGTTATTATTTTGTAAGCGTCTTCTCTGCACACTGCCTTGCTGCCTGTGCAATGGAGTATTTTTGTTTTTTACAAATTCTCTGCTTATTTCGTCTCTAAGGGCAGTTTCTTGTTTACTTCATTTAAAATTATAGGAAAGGCGTTTATATATGGTACCTACATACATAATCATATATGTAACTATTTACTTAGTTTGAGTGCAGTTGTTTTTTTTCTATAATACATGTGCATAATATAGAGCTTTAGTGTCGAAGTACCCCACCACCTACACAGTTCTTCTATATATATGTAACTACTTTCGTTTCGTTTTATAGGAAGACAAATCTCTCACTTAATTGCTAATATATAGGTAGTTTGTATAGGTAAGTGGCAGCGCAATTGCATTATTGCGTGTGTGTGTGTGTATTATATGTGTGTTGGTGTGTAGTTCGACTAATGAAGAAGTTGTATTGTTAGACGAGAATTCTTTCGTAGCTTCGCTAAATCTGTAAATGCTGTGGCATTCGGCCTATTTCTTGTTGAACTGTCTTTCTTTCCAAATATCTCTTCCTTTTTGCAATTATGCGTAAATGCCTTTTTGCTTTTCTTTGATATGTTTATCCTTTAAACATAAGCAGTGTTATAGCTTTGGCAGTTGTTCAATGTTATTTTGTTTTTGTTTCTAGCTACATTTTCATAAAATTGGCTTTTACTAAGAGTACTTAAAAAAAAAATATAAAAAAATTGTTGTTTAAATTAAATCTGTACAAAATTACTCAAATAAAAAATATTCTCCTTTTTCTTGCATTTTTCGCATACTCAGTGTTGCCACAAATTTCCAAAAGCTACTTGAAATTCTCATATTAGTTATAATACGAGCGCGTAGAAGGACGTCTAACTAACCTAGGCTACGCTCTTTAGGAATGTCATGGTGAGTTGAGAAGTAGTATCCTATATATTACATTTATTTTCAGGTTTTTAGCAAATTTTGACCATTTAGTTTTCATTTGATTTTTGTTGATTTTCAGCAATTATGCTGCTTTCTTACACTTTTGTTTTTCTTTGCACGTTTTCAAATATTTTCAGCAAATAGCTGCTCTCATTATATAATATGCTTAAGTATTTCTCTCAACTTTTTGCACATGTTTCTCAAATATTATTTACTCTTCAATTTCTATACATTGTTTGTTTTTGCTTTACTAAATTCTAATTTCCTTTCATTTATTTAATTTCTTAACTAAACTATATACTATTTGCATACTTGTATTTACCCGTTTATCATTGCTTATGATAGATAATCGGGTGTAGGTTCTGGCACAGCTTCGGGATTCGCGAATAGCGGATTCGGGAACTCTGGCGGATGTGGTAGTGGCGCTAATGTTTTGGGTCGTCGACGGTAGGCCATCAGCCAACAGGAGACGGCTACGGCGACCGCTACCAACGCTAGCAAAGCGGTTATGACGAGCGCTATTATGAGACCCACCATGGAGACGCAAATGTCTTCGACGCGCTGTGCCGCAGGTTTGACTACAGAGAAAGAAAGAACCGAAAATTAGTATACCACCTACTTTTTGCTCTCTTTCGTGCGCATTCACTTACTGTTCGCATCACTGATGCCCGGCCCGCTGCGCTTTTCGAATGTCAAGATGGCATTCGATGAAATGGTTATTTCCTCGCGCAATTGACCCTCCATGCCGGTGTCGGTTGCCACCGCTGTTGTGTCGGTGGAATTATCGGCAATAGCACGACGTCTTCTACGTCCGAATGCATTGTAGCCACGACAGTTAACCGGTTGACATTTACCGAAGCAGACACGTATATTACATTGGAAGCGTATATTATCGCTCGAGGGGAATTTGAAGGCATTGAAGTTAGCCATAAGGCTGTTGGTATCGGCATTGTATTCCCATTCGCCAAAGATTGACGCATCTGTAGCGCAACCATTCTCATCGGTGACAATATACTCGTTCTCAATGTTATCCTCCATTGTTTTGGCAATGCAGGAACGTGCGAAGCCACCGTAGATTGCTGTAGAGAATTTTAGTTTATTAGTTTTGAAATTTAAATTTAACTTTTTTAAATACTCACTTGCTGGTTCCACGTCAACTTGCAGTTTCAGATTATCACCAATTTCCGCAGAATTGATCTCTTCACCTTCGTGCGTTATGATGCGCATCTGACAGATTGGCGGCGGGCCAGTGTTGGCAATTGTGCCCGCAGTGGTTAGCATGGACACATTGAAACCCAATGTGACATTCTTTTCGCCGGTCTGGTAGACACATTTGATGTTATAAGCTTGCGCCTTATATGTAACTAATTTCGGATGTTTCTGTATGACTAGCACGAAGCTAGCAATATCCTTAACCGCCTGCATGCCGCAGCTGCCGAAGTGTACACGGAAGATTTCCGTACGTGGCACACTTTCACCAGCTAAATTCACCACGCGACGACATTCCTCATCCTTGCTATGACCCTTCACGTAGAGCACACCATTGAAACCGGGTTCGGTAATATGAATTTCAACTTGTACACCATCAGCCAGACAGCTGACTAACATATCGGGACGTGGGAAGTCTGTACGGAAGTTGGTGTGATTGCAGAAAAGCTCTGGATTGCCGGTGTAGCCGGTGATGCATTGACATTGTGCACGATGATTGATGGCATTACAGAAGGCATTTACGCCGCAAACCTTTTGCAGACAAGGATCCTCACAGGTCTTCGTACGTGTGTTGCAGAAGCGATTGTCTGCACAGTCTTCGTTCGTTTCACAGCCAGGTTGATCTTCTGCTATGCATTCGCCAGCGGGTGTGAGTCGATATCCATGATCTGTCGGACAGATACAGCGTCCACGCTCATCGATGACCATGCCACGCTCCAACGCACATACACAGCGCCCATTCTCGTCGATCTTGAAGCCTTGTTGTGGCAGGCATGGCGCGCAATATTCGTATATGTCCAAAGCAGTGCCTGGCGGGCAGACACATTGACCGTCGACATCGCGTACGAAGCCTTTCTCAATCACACACAATGAGCGTTTGTCACACTGTACGGCCGCATTGCCGGTGTAGCCTTCCAAACATTCGCAAATCATTGTACGTACTGGTACAGTATCTAAGACACGACAGTCGGCGTTAACTCCACAAGGATGTGTTGCATTGCATGGATTGACGCATTCGCCACGTATACAGGCAGTTTGGCTGGGACAGTCGCCATCGTAGCGGCAAATAGGTATGTCACGTTGCGGTTCACAGCCGTTGCGACGCGCAATAGTACCTGGTGGACAGGCACATTCCGGTTGGTGATTGTAGACCTTGCAAATTTCGTCATATGCACAGATAGCCTTCGTATCGCATGGGTTCTCACATTTGCCATTGACACACGCCTTGTCTGATGGACATTCACCGTCGGTGCGACAGCCAAGTGGTGTACAGGCGATGCGGGCATTGCCACGGAAGCCGGGCACACATTCACATATAGCGCGGTGATCAACTGCTAAACATTCGGCATTTGTGCCGCATTGCTCACCTTGGCAAACGGGCACACAGAGTTGATTGCGACAGGCGTGCGTAGATGGACAGTCCGAATTTATAGCGCATTCAATTTTGGAACATTCGAATTCAGGGTTACCGTCGTAACCTTGACGACAAGTACATACCGGTTTATGGTCTTTAATGCGACACTCAGCGTTCAAGCCACAATTGCAGGGATCGCGACAGATGCCATTTACACAGGACTTATCAGTGGCACAGTCTGAATCCGCAATACATCCGCCAACCTCGACAATTGTCTTTGTTGGTTTGCAGGTACCACTGCCGCTGCTTATGTAGCCATCGGGGCAGATGCAGATCATAGTACGTACAGGCGACGTTGGTGTCACTTCACATTGTGCAGGTCGGTTGCATGGTTCTAGAGTAAGGCAGGGATCGACACACTCATCGTTGATACATGCCAAGCGCGCTGGGCAATCTGTGTCTACTTTGCACATAGGTTGTGGTTCTGGACGGCAGTCTACGTATGGATTGCCCAGGAAGCCAGCGGGACAGCGACAGACCGCCAAATGGTTTTGCGCGCGGCACTCGGCGCGTTGTGAGCAAGTATTGTGATAAATACAAGGATTGACGCACTGTTCATTTTGACACATCTTGTCAGAGGGGCAATCATTATTAGTTAGACAACCAATGACGCGACAACGCTCGTAAGCATTACCACGATATCCACTCTTGCAGCGACACATAGCCGTATTAGATTGCACATAGCATTCGGCGTTGATACCACAAGGATCATTGACTAAGCAGGGATTAATACAGTTTCCATTAATACAGGCCTTACCAGAATCACATTCACTATCTATGCGACAGCCAATGGTGCGACATAATGCATAGGGATTGCCTTCGTAACCGTCTTGGCAAGAGCATGTGGCGCGATGATTTTGTACTTGACAAATAGCGTTGGTGCCACAGTTGCATGGATTTCGGCACTGACGATTGATACACGCCTCTTGATCGGGACAGTCGGCATCACTACTGCATCCTGGTGGACTCTGTAGTACGATCGGTTTGCACTCACCGCGCGCATCTGGTACATATGATTCTGGGCATTCGCATACCATAGTTCGCACGGGTACACTATCCAGTACACTGCATTTTGCGGAGCTTGCGCATGGTGAGAGTATGGTGCATGGGTTCTGACATTTACTGTCAATGCAAGCCAAGCGACTTGGACAATCGCCATCGTCACGGCAAACTGGCTCTACAGGACGACGTTCACAATAAGCATAAGGGTTACCGAGCGGCATGGTCTCGGGGCAGCGGCAAACGGCGCGATGTTGTAATGCTTGACAAATGGCATTTTGTGCGCATGGGCTATCCTGACAGGGGTTCACACATTGATTTCGTACACATGCTTGATTTGTAGCGCAATCATAGTCTGAGTGACATTCGACGCGTACGCAACGTTGGAACGGATCACCTTCCAAGCCGGCAGGACAGCGACAAGTTGCGCGATGATTACGACCAAAGCATTCAGCATTGAGGGCACACGGATCACTGATCAAACAAGGATTCACACATTCACGATTCACGCATTGTTGGTCCGATGAACATTCATCGTCCGATTGGCAGCCAATTTGCACGCAACCGAATTGTGCATTACCAGAGTAGCCAGGTTGACAGTAACAAACCGGGTGGTGATTACGCACAATGCACTCGGCATTCGGGCCGCAATTGCAAGGGTTAATACAACGTTCATTGACACATGATTCACTAAGAGAGCAATCGGAATTGGATTTGCAACCAATTGTAGAGACATCTGGCGCTGTGATATGCAGAAAAGGTAAGCAAAAAAAGTTCATAAGTGCTTGCGGTGGAAAGGAATCGTAAAAAATATACTTACGTGGTACACAAGCAACACGTGCATCGCCGGTGAAACCGCTTGGGCAACGGCATACTGGTTCTCTATTTTGTACATGACAATAGGCACCGCGTCCGCAAGAATCTTCCACACAAGGATTTACACAGCGTTCATTTCTACAAGTCTTATCATAGGGACAGTCATCGTTCTTCGTGCATTCTGCGTTTGGTGTTTTCGGCTGTTCGTGTACGATCAATTGACACTCAACACGTGGATTGCCTTCGTAGCCGCGTGCGCATGTGCATTCGGCATAGTGATCACGTGAGCGACATTGTGCATTTACACCGCAGCGTTCCAAGCGGCAAGCGTCGATACACACACCACGTTGGCAGACTTCGTTGTTACCACATTCATCGTTGCTCTGGCAACCGCTAACTACTTCATGTTTAATTGGTACGCAATTACCCGAATTATCGGTGATCGTATCGCTGGGGCATTTGCAGATCATGGTACGCAAAGGCAGCGTATCCAATACGTGACAGGTCTGTTGTGGCGTGCAAACATGTGGTGTGGCGCAAGGATTGGCGCAACGCTGATTAATACAAGCTAATTGAGATGGACAATCAGCATCTTGTTTACATTCGGGTTCCACTTTAGTGGGTGGCTCGCGGGGTACATCGCACTGCACGAACGGGTTGCCTCTATAGCCGGGTCGGCATTCACATTGTGGCTGATGGCGTCTGCCAGTGCAAATGGCGTTCAGCGCGCAGGTGTCCTCATCACAAACCGGACGACAAACGCGATTCAAGCGATCGCAAGCCTCATGATCGGCGCAATCCTCATTGTATTGGCAGTGACCGGTGATGCACGAGACAAACGGATTGCCTTGTGTGCCCGGCGGACATATGCAGACAGCTTGGTGATTTTGTGGTGTGCACTGAGCGCCAGTACCGCAACGTACCTCACCATAACTGCAAGGATTCACACAATTCTCACTGATACAAGCCTTATCGTAGGGACAGTCCGCATTTATCTTGCATTCCGCTGTAATGTGTAAAGGAAAGTCGATTTAATTTATAGTAAGGAATTTGATGTCACTCCAGCTGGATACTTACGTTTGTAGCATTGTAATTGCGGATCACCACCCCAACCGGCGGGGCAAGAGCATATTGGACGCGAGTTGCGTACACGACATTCCGCGTTGCCAGCACATGGATTCGCTTCAGCGCAGGGATCTTGACAGCGTTGATTGATGCAGGCCGTTGTTGACTGGCACTCCGAATCGTGTTTACAGCCCGCAGTGATTTCAGCTGTGGGTACAACCGTGGATTGTTAATTTTGATGTAAAGCAAAGTGTAATTTAACGTTTAACTCGGTAATGTATGAACTTACGTGGTTGATAACAGTTTGTGAATGGATCACCCTGTGTGCCCTGTGGACAACTGCAGACGGCGCGATGACGCTGAGCCAAGCATTCGGCTGTGCGGGCGCAAGGTGAGGCATCAATACAAGGATTTACGCAGACGCCATTACGGCAGGCTTCCGTATCTTGGCATTCGTTATTCGATTGGCAACCATGATCACGTGCGGGTTCTAATGCGAAAAAAACGGATTAGTGTACTGAAGTGAAGAGATATTTGTGTCGAAAACGAAATATAACGGGAAATTATAGTTTGCGTGTGCTTGCAAAATTGCGAGGAACTGTACAAGAACGTTGAGAAGTAAAGTTCAACATAAACACAGTAAATATATACAATATAAAATAAATATTTGCACTTAAGAATAACGAAAATTAATTTGTAAAATACAAAAATGAAGCTGCAATGAAAAATAGACTCAAAAAGACAAGCATTTAAAGTATTTTCAAATTCCACTAATGACTTCGTTGACAACCTACCTTTGCGACAACCCACATCCGCATCACCCACATAACCGGGTTCGCATTGACAGATCATAGTACGCAACGGCAGCGTATCCACTACGGAACAAATAGCATTTGCGCCACATGGTTGCGTTACCGCGCACGGATTCTTACATTCGCCATTGAAACAGGCCAACTTGCTGGTACAGTCCGCGTCCATAGTACATTGTGGTGCCACTTTAGGTTCTTCGAGTACACAGCTAACCAGCGGATTGCCACTATAGCCAGGTGGACAGCGGCATTGTGCGCGATGATTGTCCACACGACACTGTGCGCCCACACCACAATTACATGGATCTTCGCAACGTTCATTCCTACAGGCCAAATTAAAGGCGCATTCATCGTCGCGTGTGCATTCGGGTCGTTCACAACGCACCAACGGATTGCCGCGATAACCGTCTGGGCAGTGACAGCGTGCCTTGTGATTGTAGTCGGCGCGACAGATGGCGTTCGTGCCGCACTGTGTGTACGGACAAGGATCGGTACATTGTTTGTTGATGCACGCTTCAGTGGCGGGGCATTCTTCGTCTGAGCGACAACCGATGACATGGCAATAACTGAAAGCGTTGCCGGTGTAACCTATGGGTGGAATAGAATTAGTATTGTAATTGTTAGTTAGGTCTTTTTAGAAATAATTATTTAATAAAATTTTAGCAAACAGAAATATTAATTTAAACTTTCTCTCTTTTCAGAATTTACGTTACACTTTGGTCTCGCAAGGTAGGAATATTATTAAGAAGTATTAACATAAGCAATGTCCATTTACTCTTTTGGGAAGTTATTATACTGAATTAATTATATCTTCTATGACTGTAGTTGTTGCTCGATAATATTATTAAGAATAGTCAAAGAAGCGCGTTTGCTAGATTTTCGTTTTATATTGTGATCTTTTTAAGTACAATAATTAGCTCCAACTTCAACATTCACGTACTCACCTTCATTACAGACACAGAGTGGTCTGTGCAATTGCACGTGACAGCGTGCGTTTGTGCCACAAATATTTGAGAGTTCACATGGATTCTGACAAGCTTGATTGACGCATGCCTTGTCGTTCGAGCATTCAGCGTCGGTGGTACATTCCGGACGTGGTGCTGGTATTTCTTCCATTTGTCGAAGACATTGGTTAAACGGTGAGCCATAGTAACCGGTTGGACAGGTACATACCGCCTTATGGTTGATGGCATTACAGATCGCATTGACACCGCAAGCATTAATACATGGATCGCGACATTTCTGATTGATACAAGCACGATTACGTGAACAGTCCTCATTGGTTACACATTCTGGATACGTGCAAGTGGCAGCATCATTGATAACTTGGCATATGCCATTGCTGCGGCATGGGGATGGATTGCATGGATCTATCGGTTGCGGTGGCACATGACATTCAACAAACGGATTGCCAACCATTGGACTGGGGCAACTGCATATTGGATTGTGATTGGCGGTCTGGCACTGTGCGCCATAACCGCAGACGCCGGGACATGGATCGACACATTTAGCATTGACACAAGCCTTATTTTTGGCACAGTCTGAGCTGAGTGTACATTCCGGACGACAACCCTGACCTTGTGGATTGCCAAAAAAGCCAGGCAGACATTCACAAACAGCCTGATCTCGTTGTACTTTGCAGACCGTATTAATGCCACACGGTGTTGGGTAGCATGGATCACGACGTTCCTGTGGTATGTGTTCTATTACAATAGGTGAGCATTGGACGAAAGCATTGCCACTGTAGCCAGTAGGGCATGAGCAAATTGGTATGTGGTTGTGGATGGTGCAGAGCGCCTCAACACCACAAGTGCCTGGGCAAGGATCGGCGCATTTGTTGCGTATGCAAGCACGATTCGAGGAACACTCAGAATTACCAATACATTCGGGACGGCAACCTTCATACGGATTACCAATGTAGTCATTGATACATGAGCAGGTGTAGCTATCGCCACGTCCACGACATTCGCTGTTCGGGCCGCATGGTGATGGGCGGCAAGGATCACGTGGTTCCTGTTTCGGTGGTGGTGGTAATACTGAAAGATAATGAAGTAAATATAAAGTTATAGAAAAGCCGCTCTATATATGAATATAACTGTGGTCAACTTGCTAACGCCTTACTTTTTGGAGCCTCATAACAGACGCGGAAGGGGTCGCCGGTCATGCCAACTGGGCAATGACAATTGGGTATATGTAAAGTTACAAGACAATTGGCATTAAAACCACATGAACCGGGACATGGGTCACGACATTTGCGGTTGATGCAAGCCAAGTTGTTAGGACAATCATCATTACTAGAGCATTCTGGACGACAATTTGGTGGTGTACCAATAAAATCGGCTAGACAAGAGCAACGCGGCTGTCCTTTTTCGTCGCTACATTGAGCATTAGGACCGCAAGGAGATGGTATACAAGGGTTCTGTATTGCAGGTGGTTCTTGTCGTATTTCTAAACAAAAATATATGAATATTGATCAGTTTGCGTCTTGGGGGCAATTCTGTCAGTTGAAAGTTACCTGGTCTCGTACAAAGTGAATATGGATTACCGGTATAACCGCGTATACATTCGCAGTGTGCGCGATGCTGCACCGCCTGACACTCAGCATTCAGACCACACTGACCTGGACAAGGATCAACACATTTGTTATTAATACACGCGTGTATTTGTGCACAATCTGAACTGCTATAACACTCGAGGCGACAATTTGGTGGATTACCGAAGTAACCAGTAATGCAAGAGCAAATAGCATTGCCACCTCGTTCAATACACTGTGAATTGGGGCCGCAAGGCGATGGCTGGCATGGATTCTTCAACTCCACTTCAGGAACTGGATCACATGCGACAAACGCGTTACCAGTCATTCGTTCTGGACACCGACACATTGGTATATGGTTGATGACGTCGCAGAGCGCGCGTTGGCCGCATGTACCTGGACATGGGTCCACACATTTATTACGCACGCAAGCGCGGTCACGTGGACAATCCGCATTAATCACACATTCTGGTCGACAACCGATAATAGGATCGCCATGATATTCCGGTATGCAGGAACATTGTCCGTTATTGCAGACAGTATTTGCGCCACATGGTGAAGGGATGCATGGATCCACAGGTTCCGCTGGTTCTGTAAGGTGTGTGTAAAATAAATAACTGATTTTGACTACGAATTCGGGCTCGTCGTATTTACTTGGTGCTGGTGGTGGAGGTGGTAATGGACGACAGCTGGTAAATGGATCGCCAGTATAGCCAACAGGACAAGAACAGCTGGGTGTATGATATATTACATTACAAAGCGCTGAAAAGCCACACGAACCGGGACATGGATCGCGACAACGCTCATTTATACAGGCCATATTGCTGGCACATTCCGCATTAATTGTACATTCCGGTCGGCAGTTGGGCGGTGCGCCAATGTAGTTCGTCAAACAGCTGCATGTAGCGGCACCGTTAACTTCACGACATTGTGCGTATGGGCCGCAAGGTGAAGGTATGCATGGATTGACATCTGCTTGTGGCGGTACTGGGGTACGAGGTGCTAAGTCCATTAGAGCAAGGGTAAAACGGTGAATTAAGCGAATAAAATGCGTAAATTAAAGCTATTGTGAGAAAGTGGAATTGTCGTTGCTTACGTGGTATGGGCTGACAGCTGGTAAATGCCTCACCGGTATAACCGGCCTTACAAGCACATAACGGACTATGATTATGTACATGACACTCGGCGTTTAAGCCGCAAGCGCCTGGACAGGGATCTTTACATTTCTGGTTGATGCATGCTTTGTCGGATGGACACTCTGAGCTGACGACACATTCCGGACGACAACTGGGTGGGGTGCCAACGAACTCCGGTAGACAGGAGCAAACGGCTTGACCATTTGTTTCGCGACATTGTGCATTGGCGCCACATGGAGATGGTTGGCAGGGACTCACTTTGACGGGTGGTTCAGCTGTTTCGAATTACACAACAAATTAGTGTCGAGTAGAGGTTAAGCGAGCGGTGGGTTAAAATATACTCAAACCAATATTTTTAGCTTAACTAGAGCTGTGTTGCTTCGAAGCGAATTACGTATGTTATTTTTGCGCTTAACCTATGTTATTTCTTAAATTATGTTAAGTTATGTTAAGTGTGCACATGATAGTTACAAGTGCTACGGTTTTTATGCTAATGATCAGTTCTTAATATTATATATGCTTATGATTATATTTTTTGGCTTTTTTTAGTGTAGTTATTACTGCTAAGTAGTCGTGTAAGAATTGCAAAGTGGAACCTTTATATTGCTTGCAGACAGGGATATTAGATAGCGGGTTACAAAAGGGCTTGTAGCGGTTTCAAAGGTTAAGGCTGTACCTAACGCATTGGTTCCTCAATTTATGTTAGCCAGCTTCGGCAGGCATTAGACAAAATTTAGTGATTTTAGGGTGGTAGTTCTGCGTTGTTGGCAACTTTGGGAAGCTTGTTGTTAAGAGTAAAGTATACACATTAAAAATTTCTTACGTTCTGCCTGCACTATTTCACAATGCGTATATGGATCGCCGCGATAGCCTGGCAGGCAGGCGCAGTTCGGTATATGATTGACGACTTGACAAGTGGCTTGCGAACCACAAGTGCCGGGACATGGATCACGGCACTTGTGGTTTCGACAAGCTTTGTCTGCTGAACAATCCGAGTTCCTAACGCATTCTGGACGACAAGCTTCATAAGGATTACCGAAATAGTCTGGTAAACATTGGCAAACGCTAATGCCATTACGTGGTTGGCAAATTGCGTTTGGACCACAAGGGCTAGGACTGCAAGGTAGAGCCACCTCCGTTGGTGGTTCCTGTTGTTTTACGCATGTAGAGAATGGATCGCCAGTATATCCGCTTGGACAATAACACATTGCGCTGTGTGCCAATACACGACACTCGGCTGCAACACCACACGAACCTGGACAGGGATCGGCACATTTGCGATTAAGGCACGCCCTGTCCGAAGCACACTCAGCACTGGTTACGCATTCGGGACGGCAGTGCGGTGCAGTGCCAACGAAATCACGTAAGCAAGTACATTGTGCGCCATTCGCAGTGGCAGTACATTCTGAGTTCGGTCCGCAAGGTGATGGATGGCATGGCTTTGTATGCGTTACGTCGCTTATCGGTGTCGGTTTTGGTATAACTGTAATAGGTTTGAAGATGTTTAATTGAAAATTTGTGAGTGTGAAGTGCGAGCGCTTAGTACTTATTGGCTGGCAGGAAATAAACGGATCACCGGTGTAGCGTGGAGGACAAGCACATATCGGGCTATGATTTTGAACATGACAGACGGCACGCAAACCGCAAGTACCGGCGCACGGATCTTGGCAACGCTGATTCAAACAGTACTTATCCAAAGCACACTCGGAATTAGAAACACATTCGGGACGACAGGATGGTGGTGCGCCAATATAACCTGGTAGGCAAGAGCAGATGGCTTGTTGATTAGAGGCGCGACACTGTGCATTAGAACCACAAGGAGAAGGTTGACAGGGGTTTATGGGCGGTGGCGGTTCGACGACTGAAATTGGAAGAATGTGAGTTTGCATAGATCGGTTGAAAGCGTTGATTTCTTTGTTACTTGGTATGCTATCGCAATAAACAAACGCATTGCCGGTCATGCCCGCTGGACACGAACACATTGGGACGTGGTTTATAACATTGCAGAGCGCAAGCGAGCCACAAGTACCCGGGCATGGGTCTTTACATTTTTGATTGATACAAGCACGGTCACGGGCGCAATCGCTGTTTAGTACGCATTCTGGACGGCAACCACTGTACGGATCTCCATGATATTCGGTAATACATGTACACACGCCTTCTCCACTACAAGCGGCATTCGCACCACAAGGTGATGGTACACAAGGATCCTGTTTGATGGGTTCACGTTGCACCGGTCGGGGCGGCTCTGGTTGACAGTTACTGAATGGATCACCTACATAACCAGTTGGACAGACGCAGTTGGGTACATGGTTGAGTACATTACAAATTGCGTTGAAACCACATGAACCGGGGCATGGATCACGACACTTCTCGTTGATACAGGCCCGATTCGAGGGACAATCGGAATTTACAACGCATTCGGGGCGACAATTCGGAGGACTACCTATGTAGCTAGGCAGACATGAGCAAACTGCGCCGCCGTTGCGATTATGACATTGCGCGTATTGGCCACAAGGTGAAGGATTGCAGGGATTACTCGGTGGTTGTGGTGTTACATCTGCAATTGGCTGCGGTATTGGATAACAACGTGTAAAAGCATCTCCCGTATAGCTAACTTTGCACGAACAAATCGGATTGTGGTTGTAAACGCGACAATCTGCATTTTGACCACAGGTGCTAGGGCAAGGATCTGCGCATTTACGATTTATGCAAGCCTGTGTAAGTGGGCATTCCGAATTAACGGTACATTCTGGACGACAAGCAGGAGGTGAGCCAATAAATTCAGGCAAGCACGAACAAACAGCTTGTTGGTTGACCTCATGGCACTGTGCATTCGGACCGCACGGCGAAGGTTGACAGGGATTAACATAAACGGGCTCCACTAGTGACAAAAAAACATGTAAAATTTTAACCTCTGATGCTTAAGAAAAATTTCTAATTATGCTTACATTGTTTTATTGCCGAGCATAAGCTAAACGGATTGCCTGTATAGCCGCTCCAGCAATGGCAAACGGGTAGGTGATTAATAACCTGGCATTCGGCATTGCGACCGCAAGTGCCAGGACATGGATCTTGACATTTACGTTGTACGCAGGCTTTATTTGACGGACAATCACTATTTAGCACACACTCAGGTCGACAACCTTGATAAGGGTTTCCGAAATATTCAGGTAGACAGACACATGATCCCACATTTTTATGATGACGACATTCCGCATTATCTCCACAAGGGTTCGGTACACATGGGTCTATAAAATCGGGTACTGGAGCTGGTGGTGGCGGTAATGGCAAGCGGCAAACCGTAAATGGATCTCCAACGTAACCTTGTTCACAAACACAATTTGGTATGTGATTCAAAGTATGACACTGTGCATTGGCACCACATAAACCGGGACATGGATCACGACACTTCTGATTAATGCAAGCCTTATCGGATGGACATTCTGAATTAGATACACATTCTGGCCGACAATTTGGTGGTAGGCCAATAAACTCAGAGAGACAAGTACAGGAAGGTGCACTATTGATGTTGCTGCATTGAGCATTGGCGCCGCATGGTGATGGACGACAGGGATCGCGTGGTTCTTCATAAGTTGGAGGAGCTGTCGAAAAATTAGTTGATATGGGGGATTTGAAATTAGGTTTATGGACGCCGATGAGTAGAAAATACGTACTGATGATGGGTTGACAAGCTACGAATGGACTTCCGGTATAACCCGTTGGACACGAGCAAATTGGGTTATGATTCACAATGTTACAAAGTGCATTATGGCCGCAAGCGCCTGGACATGGGTCTTTGCATTTCTGATTGATGCAAGCGCGATTCATTGGGCACTCGGAATTGCTGATACATTCGGGGCGACAAGCGGGTGGTGTACCAATCATATCTGCCACACACGAACAAATAGCTATACCATTTCTATCTTGACATTGTGAGTTTGGACCGCATGGTGATGGTTGACATGGCTGCGCAGGTTCTGGTGGCCGCTCCGGAAGTGGTTGGCATAGGACAAATGCATTGCCTTGCATTCCCGCTGGACAGTGACACATGGGTACATGATTGTGTACTTCACAGATCGCGTTCGAAGCACAGGTGCCAGGACAAGGATCTTGACATTTCTGGTTGATACAAGCTTTATTGCGCGAGCATTCGCTATTAAGAAGGCATTCGGGACGGCAACCAGTGTAAGGATCGCCTTGATATTCGCCGATGCAAGTGCAAATGCCATCGCTGCATTGAGCGTTAGTGCCACACGGTGTTGGTATGCAAGGATCGTCAGCAGGAGTTACTAATTTCAAAAATAAATATGGCTCGTTTAAAATTTGGGTACGAAGGATTGAAAGGTTCAGATTTATATTACGTGGTGGTGGTGGGGCTGGTTGCGCGTGGCAATTCGTGAAAGGATCACCGGTATAGCCGACCGGGCACGTACACACTGGCGTATGATTTCGAACATTGCAAACGGCATATACTCCACAAGATCCAGGGCAAGGATCGCGACACTTTTCGTTTATGCAGGCGTGATTGCTGGCACAGTCCGAGTTTATAACACATTCTGGGCGGCAATTTGGCGGTGAACCGTTATACGAAGGTAGACAAGAACACGTGGGCTGTTCGTTCACAACACGACAAACAGCATATTGACCACATGGTGAAGGAACACATGGATCGCGGAATGGTTCACGCGCTGGCGGTGGTGGTGGTGGTATAGGATTACAACGGACAAATGCGTCACCAGTATAACCTGGACGACAACTACAATACGGGCTATGTGAACGTACGCGACACTCAGCGTTCGAGCCGCAAGTACCCGGGCAAGGGTTTTGACATTTTTTGTTGATGCATGCTCTATCAGTGGGACATTCAGAATTCGATGTGCATTCGGGACGACAAGAGGGTGGACTGCCAATAAATTCTGGCAGACATGAGCATACGGCTTGTTCGTTTACCTCGCGACATTGAGAATTCGGGCCACAAGGTGATGGTATGCATGGATTTACATATTCTCTAATAGCTATTTATAAATGCAAAATGAGATAATAATAATAAAGTGCAATGAGTCAAAATTGTGCTGTGATTCGAACTTTCTTTGCTAAATGAAAAAGTAGTGGGTAAACAAATATAATGCTTACGTTCTTTCAAAACATTACAGAAGCTATACGGATCACCGGTGTAACCCAACAGACAGCTGCAGGTGGGCAAATGATTAATCGCGTCACATTGCGCATTTTGTCCACAAACGCCGGGGCAAGGATCCTGACACTTTTGATTTCTACAAGCCTTATTCGACGGACAATCAGAATTTGCGACACACTCGGGACGGCAACCTTCATATGGATTACCGAAATAGTCTGGTAGACACTTACAAGCGCCGGCATTGTTTTGTGTGGTACACATAGCGTTGCTGCCACATGGACTAGGCACACACGGGTTAATCTGCTCAAGCTCAACAATCGGTTCGGGATAACATTGCGTGAACGGATCACCCACATAACCGGCGATGCAGACACAAGATGGTGTGTGACTAACCACATGACAAGTAGCTGATGTGCCACAAACACCGGGACATGGATCGCGACACTTCATGTTGATACATGCTTTATTGCTAGCACATTCCGAGGAAGATAAACATTCTGGTCGACAATTTGGTGGAGCACCTATATAATCTGGTAAGCAGCTGCATGATGGGGAACCGTTTCTGTCAGCGCATTGCGAGTTGGGACCGCATGGTGAAGGTAAGCAGGGATTTGTAGGTTCCTGTTGAGGTGTCGGTGGTGGTAATAGTTGACATAGAGTATGTGCATTGCCAGTGTAGCCGCTCGGGCAACTACAGAATGGCGTGTGATTAATGACTGAGCACACAGCACGTATGCCACAGCTTCCGGGACAAGGATCTCGACATTTCTGGTTAACGCAAGCCAAGTTTGGTGGACAGTCCGAGTTTATGGTACATTCAGGTCGGCAGTTAGGTGGTGAGCCGAAATAGTTAGGCAAGCAAGCGCAAACTGCTTGTTGATTAACTTCATGACATTGTGCATTGGGGCCGCACGGCGATGGTTTACACACGTTCGTGACAGTTGGTGGAGCTAAGGAGCAAATATATGAATTGTGAATTGGGGATCTGAAGCAACGTCAATTTTGAAACCTACTTTGTTGTACAGAGCATTGAATGAAAGCGTTGCCCAACATACCATCAGGACAACGACACATTGGTATATGATTAAAGACATCACAGATGGCTCCGACACCACATGTGCCAGGGCAAGGGTCAACGCATTTGTTTCTTATACAAGCTTTGTCACGTGCGCACTCAGTATTGAGTACACATTCTGGTCGACAACCCGAATAAGCGTTTCCTTGGTACTCAGGCAAGCACGAGCATACGCCATCATTACAGATGGCATTACTACCGCAAGGTGATGGATTACATGGGTCTTGTAAAGGCACTAAGAAAAGGAAAATTAATATTTTAACGATAACAAAAAATACTGATCACATACGTTGGGGCTCGGGTGGCTTAGGCATACAGCTAGTGAACGGATCGCCTGTGTAATCAGCTGGGCAGGTACATATTGGCGTATGATTAATGACACTACAAATCGCAGAGAAACCACAAGATCCCGGACAGGGGTCGCGACATTTTTCATTTATGCACGCCAAGTTTGGTGAGCACTCGGCATTGATTGAACACTCGGGTCGACAGTTGGGTGGTGCACCTAAGTAGTTGGGCAGACAAGAACATGAGGCCTGGCCATTGACGTTACGACATAAAGCATTAACACCGCAAGGTGATGGTACACATGGATCGCGGTATTCCTCTCTAATTACTGGTACTGGCGGTGGCGCTATAAAAATAAGGTTCTGCTTGACAAATATGTTTTTTTTCGACAACTACGTGCTTCTTACGTGGTATTGGATAGCATCTGGTAAAGGCATCGCCGGTGTAACGGTTACGACAAGTGCAAAGTGGGTTATGACTGCGCACGTGGCATTCGGCGTTAAGACCACATACGCCGGGGCACGGATCGACGCATTTCTGATTGACACATGCCTTATCGAGCGCACATTCGCTGGAGATGGTACATTCAGGGCGGCAGTCTGGTGGTGTGCCGATGAATGTTGGTAGACACGAGCAGACTGCTTGTTGCTTGACTTCCTTGCATTGTGAATTTGGTCCACATGGTGAAGGCTGACATGGATTTACCACGTCTAATTTAGCTAAATTTACGCAAAAATATGTATTTTAAGACACTGTTCCAAAAGCAATAGACTCTTTTTAATGCTTACGTTCTGTCAATACCGTACAGTAGCTGTAAGGATCACCTGTATAACCAGTTAAACAGTTGCAGGTTGGCAAATGATTGCGTACAAAACAGAGTGCATTCTGTCCGCAAGTACCTGGGCACGGATCGTTACATTTGTTCTGTAGACACGCTTTGTTCGTTGGACAATCAGAGTTTACAACACATTCTGGACGACAACCCTCATAGGGGTTGCCTTGATATTCAGGTAGACATTGACAAGCGCCTGCGTCGTTACGTACAATACATTCTGTATTGGGTCCGCAAGGACTTGGTTGACAAGGGTTGAGTACTTCTTGCGGTACATCGCGTACGACATCGCAATAGCTGAATGGATCTCCAGTATAACCGCTTGTACATACACACATTGGTGTATGATTAATGACATGACAATCGGCGTTTGAGCCACAAACACCTGGGCAGGGATCTTGGCAACGCTGATTGATGCAAGCTTGTGACAGTGGGCACTCGGAATTTGTTACGCATTCAGGACGGCAGTTTGGTGGTGCACCAACAAAGTTTTTCAGACATGAACATGATGGACTTTCGCCTACAGCACGACACTCAGCATTCGGTCCGCAAGGTGAGGGACGACAAGGATCTTTAGGTACAACATCCAATTGGGGGACAACTGTAAAATGATGTATTTGATAAGAAACCTGATTGGTTGAAATATTTAAATGTGTTTTACTTCGAATAGGACTGCATGCAACGAACGGATTGCCAGTGTATGAATTGGTACAGCGACAAATCGGCGAGTGATTTATGACCGTACACTCGGCATTGACGCCGCATACGCCTGGACAAGGATCGCGACATTTCTGCTGCAAACAAGCGCGGTTAAGGGCGCATTCTGCATTGCTAGTACATTCCGGACGACAAGATGGTGGCGCACCAATAAATTCAGGTAAACAAGAACACACAGCTTGTTGATTTATAACGCGACATTGAGAGTTTGGACCACATGGCGACGGTTGACATGGATTTGTCTGCACTGGCGTAGGTATGGGTTGACACAGAGCGAATGCATTACCGGTCATACCTTCTGGGCAATGACACATGGGTATGTGGTTGTGTACCTCACAAATGGCGTTCGAAGCACAAGTGCCCGGACAAGGATCTGTGCATTTTTGACGTATACATGCCTTGTCCGAAGAACAGTCTGTGTTCAAAACACATTCTGGACGACAACCAATTAGTGGATTACCTTGATACTCCGGTATACATTCGCATTGACCATCGCGACATATAGTATTTGAACCACAAGGTGAGGGATTACATGGGTCCTCTGCCAGTTTAGGAGGTGGCGGTGGTGGTGATTGGCAAGAGACAAAGGGATCTCCAATCAAGCCTGACGCGCACTGACAAATCGGTGTATGATTAATTACATGACAGTTTGCATTAAAACCGCACGCGCCCGGGCAAGGATCGCGACATTTTTGATTTATACAAGCTTGTGTGCTGGCGCAATCAGAATTTCTGGTACATTCCGGTCGACAATTAGGTGGACTACCTATATAAGTAGGTAGACATGAACAAGACGGACTTCCGTTGATATCACGACATTCAGCAAACTGTCCACAAGGTGATGGCACGCATGGATTTCGGGCAGGTTCAGGTGGTGTTGCAGCTGGAGGCGGTGCTACAGAATTAAATGTATTATGATTTTGAGAAGCGCGTTCATGTGAAATGAGCTTACGTGGTATTGGGTGACAGCGTGTGAAGGCATTTCCTGTATATCCATTCAAACAAGTACAGAACGGTGAATGGTTGCGTACGTCACACTCCGCATTGGAACCGCATGTGCCCGGGCAAGGATCCTGACATTTCTGGTTGATACACGCCTTATCTAAGGCACATTCAGCGCTTGTAGTACACTCGGGTCGACATGCTGGTGGTGTGCCGACAAAAGTAGGCAGACATGAACAAACCGCTTGATTGTTCACTTCACGACATTGTGAGTTAGGTCCGCAGGGCGATGGTTGACAGGGATTAACGTATTCTTTCATAATTGCTGTAATAATTACAATGCTACTATGACTTGCTGTCTTGTGATAAGAAATGGTTAACTCACGTTTCAAAGGTAATTGACAATAATTATACGGATCACCTATGAAGCCATCAAGACAATTACAAGATGGTAAGTGATTTATTACGCGACAAATGGCATTTAGGGCGCAGACACCCGGACAGGGGTCACGGCATTTCTGATTCTGACATGATTTATCAAGCGGACAGTCCGAGTTCGTGACACATTCTGGACGACAGCCATCATAAGGGTTGCCAAAGTATTCAGGCAAACACTGACAAGAACCGGCGTTGTTCACTTGACGACACTCTGCGTTAACACCACATGGATTTGGTTCACAGGGCGATATGAACTCATCTTGTTTCACTGGCTCTGGTAGGCAGGCCGTGAAGGGATCGCCTGTAAAACCAGGCGCACAAAGGCACATCGCTGTATGACTGATTACACGACATTGAGCATTCTGTCCGCATAAGCCAGGGCAAGGATCAACACATTTTTGATTAATGCATGTCTTGTCTTGGCTGCATTCACTATTCGTAACACACTCCGGTCGACAGTTAGGTGGTGAGCCCGTAAATTGTGGCAAACAGGAGCAGGACGGAGCATCACCAACAGCGCGGCATTGCGAATTCGGACCGCAAGGTGATGGGTAGCAAGGATCCTTTAGTTCTTGTAAACGTATCGGGGGTTCAACTAAAGAAAAATCGTGGAGTATTTAAAACTAAAGCTAAGTTTTGAGCAAGATAAAATATTTACTTATGGGTTGGCAGGTAACAAATGGATTTCCAGTATAACGCGCCGGACATGTACAGATAGGCGCATGATTTGTCACTTTGCAAATAGCATTAAAACCACAAGCTCCAGGACAAGGATCAACACATTTTTGGTTCTGACAGGCCATTTGTGGACCACAATCAGAATTACGAACACACTCTGGACGACATGTAGGTGGATTCCCGATGAAACTTTCGATGCAAGAGCAGACAGCGTTTTGGTTGACAACACGACAGCGGCTATTAGGACCACACGGTGATGGTTCACATGGATTGGAGACAAGTTTTGCTTTAGAGAGAAGGAATGAGGAGAAAAACTTAGCCGTTGAAAAATTATTTCGGTGACAAAGTAATATTTACGTGGTATGGGATCACATTGGTAGAATGCATTTCCGGACATGCCATCTGGACAACGGCACATGGGCACATGATTGAGCACTTCGCAAATAGCATTAACACCACAAGTACCCGGACATGGACCAACACATTTATTTCTAATACAAGCCTTATCGTGTGGACATTCAGAATTCAACACACACTCCGGACGACAGCCAATGAAGGGGTCGCCTTGATATTCAGGTATACAGGTGCATTGACCATCGTTACAGACGGCGTTAGGGCCACAAGGTGATGGATTACAGGGATCATCTTTCACAGGTGGTTGAGCTGTTGGCACAATTGACAGAGTCATGAAAGGTATGAAATTTATTATAACTAGAGTTTTCATGATCTTACGTGGTGGCGCCGGCTGACAACTAACAAATGGATCGCCTACGTAATCCTTTGGACAAGAACATATGGGTATGTGATTTATCACGCTGCATTGAGCATTGTACGCGCAGGAACCCGGACAAGGGTCAGTGCAACGATTATTAATGCATGCCAAGTTGGATGAACACTCCGAGTTGGTGGCGCACTCTGGACGACAATTTGGTGGTGCGCCAAAGAAATTGGGTAAACAGGAGCATGAGGCTTGATTGTTGACATTTCTGCATTGTGAATTAGGGCCACAAGGTGAAGGCAAGCAGGGATCTCGTATTGGTTCGGCGACAGCGGTCGGTGGTGGCGCTGTGCAAGTAACATGACGATTATAAAAAGAAAACATATCGATTGTAAAACAAACTCACGACGTATGGGATAACAACGGGTAAACGGATCACCAGTGTAACCAAGTTGACAAGAACACAGTGGTGCGTGGTTGCGCACTTGACACTGAGCTCCCGTACCACAAACGCCTGGGCATGGATCGGCACATTTTTGATTGATACAGGCTTTATCGAAGTTACATTCAGTGCTTATGGTACATTCGGGCCTACACGCCGGTGGAGTACCAATAAATTCTGGTAGACAAGAGCACACGGCTTGACTATTCACTTCGCGACACTGACTATTTGGACCGCATGGCGATGGTTGACAAGGATTGACATACTCTTGTACTATGGCTAAAAAATTGGTGAATATTTTCAAATTGTGAATTTGAAATATTTTTGGTCATAAAAAAATTGTGCTTACGTTTCTCTTCAACGGCGCAATAACGGTATGGATCACCTACAAAACCGTATAAGCAAGAACAGGTAGGTAGATGATTTCTGGTGTAACACTCAGCATTCAAACCACATGTACCCGGGCAAGGATCGCGACATTTCTGATTGATACACGCCTTGTTGGATGGACAATCGGTGTTCAACACACATTCAGGGCGGCACCCTTCGTAAGGGTTTCCGAAATATTCCTCAAGACATTTACATGATCCTACACCATTTTGTTGTAAGCATTCGGCGAATGAACCGCATGGATTCGGATTACAAGGATCGACAACTTCAGTTGGTGCACGTACAATCAAGGTACACTGTACAAATGGATCACCGGTATATTCGTTCTCACAGTAACACATTGCTGTGTGACTTATTACACGACAAAGTGCATTATTGCCACAAAGTCCAGGACATGGGTCCACGCAGCGATTATTTCGACAAACATTGCTTGACGAACATTCCGAGTTTGTCACACATTCGGGACGACAATTTGGTGGTTGACCGTAGAAGTTTTCAAGGCAAGAGCACGATGGCGATTCGCCCACAGGTTGGCAGCGACTATTCGGCCCACATGGTGATGGTTGACATGGGTTGATTGGTGTAATATCACGAACAGGTTCAACTACGGTTTAGGAAAAGGACAAAACTCAGAAACTGAAGATAATTTAAAACAGGTATAGAACTCACTTATAGGACGACATTGTACAAATGGATTGCCTGTGTAGCGTTCATTGCACGAGCAGAAAGGATTGTGATTGACAACCGCGCATTTCGCATACAAACCACATGTACCAGGACATGGATCTACGCAGCGTTGATTTTGACAAGCACGGTTTGGTGGGCAATCAGAATTGCTGGTACACTCTGGGCGGCATGATGGTGGGCTACCTAGATAGTCTGGCAGACAACTACACACAGCTTGTGAGTTCACTTCGCGACACTGTGAATTCGGACCACAAGGCGATGGTTGACAAGGATTACGGTAAATATCAGCTATGATTAAAATATTAAAACGATTTAGAACGGCCCTTAAATATTTTTGAAAAGTTAACATACTTTGAACCGGTACACACTGTACAAATGCATTGCCGGTCATACGTTCCGGGCAACGGCACATCGGCACATGATTAAAGACTTCACATATGGCCTCTGAGCCACATGTACCTGGACAAGGATCAACACATTTCTGTTTTATACAGGCGCGATCACGAGCACACTCGGTATTGAGTATACATTCCGGTTTGCATGCGACGTAAGGGTCACCCAGATAGTCAGCTATACACGAACATTGCCCATCACCTGAGCAGACAGCGTTGGGTCCACATGGGCTAGGATTGCAGGGATCAATAGGTTCTTGTTGTGGTGGTGCTAAAAATAAGTTGACATTAGCAACGTTGCTGTTTCCTTAAAGAGGATTCGATCTTACGAGGTGGTGGTGCTGGATGACAAGCAATGAATGCATCGCCTATATAACCGGGCTGGCATGCACAATTCGGTGTGTGGTTTATGACACTGCACAGTGTATTGACACCGCATGCACCCGGACATGGATCGCGACACCGTTCATTTATACATGCCTGACTACTGGTACAATCGGAGTTAACTGTACACTCGGGACGACAATTGGGGGGTGCGCCTATATAATTTAGTTGACACGTACAAGATGGCACATTATTTTGGTTGCGACAAGTGGCATACGGACCACATGGTGATGGCACGCAAGGATCACGATATACATCGGTGGGTTTAGGAGGTGTTGGCGCTAGGGGAAAATATTGATCACGATATATTACATTTCAAGCAATAACTTCACTTTGCTTACGTGGTAAGGGATAACAACGCACGAATGGATCACCGGTTAGGCCATTACGGCAGGAACAAATTGGACTATGATTGCGCACTTGACATAGCGCACTTTGACCGCAAACACCAGGACAAGGGTCGACGCATTTTCGATTTATACACGCCTTATCACTTGTACACTCTGAACTAGATGTACATTCGGGTCTACAAGAAGGTGGTACGCCTATAAACTCACTTAGACATGAGCACACTGCTTGACTGTTTACTTCACGACATTGAGAATTCGGTCCACATGGACTAGGTTGGCATGGGTTTACGTACTCTTGTACTATGGCTATTTGTTATTTGTGTGGTTACATGTAAATAAATTAAAAATGAACCAATTAGAGCGTTAGTAGCTACAAAAACGAACAACTAACTACATGCACATATAAAAGCTGAAAACAATTCTCGAAAAACCGCACCACTAGAGCTAAAGTGCGGAAGCACACATTAGCTCTACGATACTCTTTTTCTTAAAAAACTGTTCCCTTACAATTCACTGTGCAATTTTGTTACGAGTAAACTCAAAGTTTATGGCTTACGTTCTGCTGGTCTTGTACAATAACGATATGGATCCCCGGTATAACCCACGAAGCAATTACAAGTTGGTATATGGTTGACGACATTACATTCAGCATTCTGTGCACAAGTACCGGGGCAAGGATCCCGACATTTTTGATTCTGGCAAGCCTTGTTCGACGGACAGTCCGAATTGAGAACACATTCCGGTCGGCAACCTTCGTATGGATTGCCAAAGTATTCCGGCAAACATTGACACGCGCCGGCACCATTACGTTCGAGGCAATTTGCGTTGGCACCGCAAGGCGATGGTGAGCATGGGTTCAGCACTTCAATCGGCGCGGATTCACGAATTGGCTGGCAAATTGTAAATGGATCGCCAGTAAAACCAGACAAACAGTTGCAACGCGGTGTGTGTGATACTACATGACATTCGGCACTAATGCCACATAGTCCTGGGCAGGGATCTTTGCATTTTTGATTAATGCATGCCTGTGTCGATGGGCATTCCGAATTGGAAACGCATTCCGGCTTGCAGTAAGGTGGGGAACCAATGAAATTTACAAGACACGTGCAAGATGGCGTGTTGCCGATTGCACGACATTCCGAGTTGGGACCGCATGGCGAGGGACGGCAAGGATCAGCTGGTGTGACATCCAATTGAGGTTGTTCTATGATACGTTGGCAAGCGACAAATGGATTTCCAGTGTAATGTGGAATACAGGTGCAGAAAGGATTGTGATTCACGGTACTGCACTGGGCATTCCGTCCACAAGTACCAGGGCAAGGATCGACGCATTTCTGATTAATGCACGCCAAATTGGCTGGACATTCCTGATTGGCAGTGCACTCCGGTCGACATGTTGGTGGTGCGCCAATGAAGCCTGGTATACAAGAGCAAACTGCTTGCTCATTTACTTCGCGACACTGTGAATTGGGACCACAAGGTGAGGGTTGACAAGGATTAACTTTAACGGGCGCTGAAAGTTGAAAATATTTAAGTTTGAAGAACATTTGTGTAACCGGTTGTGAAGACATTGATATTTACGTGGTAACGGAGAACACTGTATAAAAGCGTTGCCAGACATTCCGTTCGGACATGAACAAATAGGTATGTGATTGATGACGCTACACAAAGCATTTGATGCACAAGTACCGGGACAAGGATCAACACATTTATTTCGTATGCAAGCGCGATCGCGTGGACAGTCTGTATTAAGTACACATTCAGGTCGACAACCGGTATACGGATCGCCCTGGTATTCTGGTATACATGTACAAATACCATCATTACATTGAGCATTCGAACCGCAGGGTGAAGGATTGCAGGGATCATCTTTGACAACAGCTAAGATAAGTATAAGAGTAGAAATTAGGAGAGTACCATTTAAGGTAATTTCGCGCATAAATCTTACGTTTCGGTGGTGGTTCTGGTAGACAGTAGGTGAAAGGATCTCCAGTATATCCAGTAGGGCAAACACAGCTTGGAGTATGATTGATAACATTACAGATAGCGCCCAAACCACACGAGCCGGGACAAGGATCGCGACATTTTTCATTGATACACGCCTGACTGCTTGGACATTCAGCATTAATGGTGCATTCTGGACGACAATTAGGTGGAGTGCCAATATAATTAGGTAAACAAGAACATGAAGGCGATTCTCCAATGCGCCGGCACTGTGAATTCGGACCACATGGTGAAGGAACACAAGGATCGACGGGTTGGCGTTGTACGGGTGCAGGTGGTGTAGCTACAATGATAAATACGTTGGTAACATTTTTCCGCGCTACTCAAATAGGTCTAAGCTTACGTGGTATAGCGAAACAACGTGAAAAAGCATCTCCTGTAAAACCTGCACGACAGGAACAGATTGGGCTATGATTATGTACGCGACAATTGGCATTCTGTCCGCATGTGCCCGGGCAAGGGTCTGCGCATTTCTGATTGATACAGGCTTTGTCGAACGCACACTCGGTCGAGATGGTGCACTCGGGACGGCACAGTGGTGGACTGCCAATGTATTCGGGTAAACAAGAGCACACAGCTTGCTCGTTTATTTCTCGACACTGCGAGTTGGGACCACAAGGTGATGGCTGACACGGATTGACATATTCCTTGATAGCTGTTTTAGAGATATTTTGTAAAATTAACTATATTCGCACATTTGATATTTGGCTTACGTTGTTTGTCCACTTGACAAGAACGATATGGATCGCCGCTATAGCCAGGTACACAATTACAGGTTGGCACATGATTTAGTACTGAACAAATGGCATTCTGTCCACAGGTGCCCGGACAAGGATCACGACACTTCATATTTTGACAGGCCCTATCGGAAGCACAATCGGAATTCAACAAACATTCGGGTCTACAGCCTTCGTAAGGATTTCCAAAGTATTCCGGAAGGCATTGGCAGGAACCTGCGTCATTACGTTGTATGCAACGTGCATTTGCACCGCATGGACTTGGATTGCAAGGATCGATGTTATCCAATTGTGGTATCTTGCTTTCCACACATTGTACAAATGGATCTCCTTCAAAGCCGATTGGACAATAACAGCTTGGAGTGTGTGAAAGCACACGACACAAAGCGCTATTGCCACATAAACCTGGGCAAGGATCTTTGCATTTTTGATTAATACACGCTAAATTGGTGTTGCATTCTGAGCTGGTTACGCATTCTGGTCGGCAATTTGGAGGCGCACCGATATAGTCAGGTAAGCAAGTACACGAAGGTGTGTCACCAATAGCGCGGCATTCCGAGAATGGACCACATGGCGATGGAACACAAGGTTGACTCGGTGGACGTGGTTCGGGTGTATCTAAAATCGGTTGGCAACTAACAAACGGGTTACCGGAATATCTGTCTGGGCAACGGCAGAACGGAATATGATTGGCAACATGACAAAGAGCATTGTTGCCACAAACGCCAGGACACGGATCGGAACATTTTTGATTGAGACAAGCTTGATTAAGCGGACACTCCGAATTGATTGTGCATTCCGGCCTACAAAATGGTGGACTACCGACATAGGATGCGATGCAAGAGCAGACGGCTTGTTGATTTACCTCACGGCACTGACTATTTGGACCGCAAGGTGTTGGCTGGCATGGATTTTGTGGTACATCCAATTCTATAAAATTATGAACATGAAGGAATATTGAAACGACGCAAAATTTTCTAATCTTACTCGGTATGGGTGAGCATTGTACGAAAGCGTTGCCTTCCATGCCATCGGGACAGCGGCAAATTGGTATGTGATTCATAACTTCGCAAATGGCATTAGAAGCGCACGTTCCTGGACAAGGATCAACACATTTGTGTTGTACACAGGAGCGATCTCTAGCGCAATCTGTATGCAATACACATTCTGGCCTACAGCCTGTGTAAGGATCTCCATGATATTCGGGTATACATGTACACTGACCATTGTTACATTTTGCGTTAGGTCCGCATGGTGAGGGTATACATGGATCGTCTTGAGGCACAACTTCAGCTATATAAAAAATTAGGGTTTTACTAACGGCACCTTTTAATCTAAGTACTGACTTACTTTTTGGTGGTGGTAACGGATTGCAGACAGTGAACGGATTACCAGTGTAACCGATTTGGCATGTACAAATTGGTGTGTGGCTAATCACATTACACAATGCGCTAATGCCACAAGAACCCGGACATGGGTCTCGACATTTCTGATTTATACAGGCTTGATGGCTTGGACACTCCGAGTTCAGACTACATTCCGGGCGGCAAGTGGGTGGTGCACCAAGGAAATTTGGTAGGCAGGAGCATGATGGTGAGCCATGTATATCGCGGCACTCTGAGTTTGGTCCACACGGTGATGGCATGCAAGGATCTTGTGGCTGACGTTGTGGCGGTGGTATTGATACCGGTGCTGGTGAAGAAAAATTCGATGACGTGAAAACATTTTCACTGCTGAAGGGTTAAAATGCTGTGATCTTACTTATGATTCGGAAGCAACGCACGAAAGCGTCGCCGTTGAATCCATTGTTACAAGTGCAGATAGGGCTGTGGTTTCTCACGCGACACTCTGCATTCTGCCCACAGACGCCGGGGCAGGGATCTACACATTTCCGATTGATACATGCTTTATCAGTAGCACATTCTGAGCTGGATGTACATTCAGGTCGACATGCTGGTGGACTACCGACATACTCTGGCAAACAAGAACATACTCCTTGACCATTTACTTCGCGGCATTTTGAGTTTGGACCACAAGGCGACGGTTGACAGGGATTAACGTATACTTTGGGAGCTATAAATATGAATTTTATTTGTAGAGACACTGTTTCGGCAATCAACTTCAAAAAATGCTTACGTTCTTCTTGTACTACTTGACATAGGCGATAAGGATCACCATTGTAGCCGGGATAGCATTCACAAGAAGGTAAATGATTTATTACTTGACATATTGCATTTGTGCCACAAGTGCCGGGACAAGGATCGACGCATTTTTGATTTTGACAAGCTTTATTCGATGAACAATCTGAGTTCAGGACACATTCAGGACGGCAACCTTCGTATGGGTTACCGAAGTACTCTGGCAAGCATTGACAAGAACCTGCGTTGTCGCGTTCTTCGCATTTAGCATTGATACCGCATGGACTGGGACTGCATGGTCTCACTACCTCGATCGGTTCTGCTCGTACTGGGTTGCATTGTGAAAATGGATCTCCAGTAAAGCCTTCTTGACAGAGACACATGGGTGTGTGACTGAAGACACGACAATTGGCATTTAAGCCACACAATCCAGGACAGGGATCTTTGCATTTTTGATTTATACATGCTTGTGTGGATGGACATTCTGAATTTGAGGCACATTCAGGACGACAATTTGGTGGTGATCCTGTAAAATCTGGCAAACATGAACATGACGGGGAGTCACCTGAAACACGACATTCGGAATTAGGACCGCAAGGCGAGGGCACACAAGGATTGGCGGGTGTGGCATCACGTATGGGAGCAACTATTTTTTAAAAACCATCAAATTATGAAAATAATTACATTTGAGAATTTCAAGCTCAGCTTACTTATTTCCTGGCAACGCACAAATGGATTTCCTGTCAATTGAGCACGACAAGTACAGAATGGATTATGATTGACAACGTTGCATACTGCGTTGAAGCCACATGTTCCAGGACAAGGATCGCGACACTTAGAGTTCTGACATGCCTGATCCGGTGGACAATCAGAGTTTGTTGTACATTCCGGTCTACATTGCGGCGGACTACCAATAAAGTCTGGTAAACAGGAGCACACGCCCACATTTTGCAATTCGCGGCATTGGCTGTTAGGGCCACATGGTGATGGTTGACAAGGATTTCTTAGGACCGGTTCTAAAGAGCGAGTAGAACAGTTGAGAAAATGTACGGGAAAAGAGATAAATAAATTAAATTTACTTTCAATCAGGCGACACTCAAAGAAGGCGTTGCCCGACATATTGTCCGGACAGTGACACATGGGCACATGGTTATTAACAATACAAATAGCATTGGTTCCGCAAGTACCGGGACAAGGGTCGATGCATTTATTGCGCACACAAGCGCGGTCACGAGCACAATCTGAGTTAAGTACACATTCTGGACGACAGCCTACGTAGGGATCGCCCTGGTATTCAGGAATACAAGTGCATTGTCCATTGTTACATTGCGCATTGGGTCCACATGGTGATGGAACACATGGATCATCACGTACTGGTGGTTGAGTTGCTGTTGTGAAAGCATATAAGTATTTGTATAAGTCACTATGGGGTTCGCAGCAAATATATATTTCTATCAATTCTTACGTTCTGGTGGCTTAGGGTTGCAGTTGATGAATGGATTTCCAACATATCCGTCTATGCACAGACATGTCGGCGTATGGTTGATTACACGACAAACTGTATTTAGACCACAAGCACCCGGACAGGGATCGCGACATTTCTGATTGATGCACGCCTGTTGACTAGGACATTCCGAGTTGATCGTACACTCTGGACGGCAGTTGGGTGGCTGACCAATAAAAGTGGCTAAACAAGAACATGATGGCACCCCGTTTACATTGCGACATTCTGCATTAGGGCCACAGGGGGATGGAAGGCAGGGATCACGAATCTCTTCGCGTTCAATTTCAATAGGTGGCGCTAAAATAGATATACACATTCGCTCAGTGTGAATAAGTTCAGGTTGTGACATGTCGAATAGCTCACGTGGTATGGGATAACATCTGGTGAATGCATCGCCTGTAAATCCATTATTGCAAGTACAAATTGGACTATGGTTCCTAACGCGACATTGAGCATTGCTGCCACATGGATCAGCAGCGCATGGATCTACGCACTTCTGATTGACGCATGCTCTATCTGTGGCGCACTCTGATGAAATAGTGCATTCGGGACGACAAGCGGGTGGTGTGCCAATAAATTCTGGTAGACAAGAGCACACAGCCAGATCATTTGATTCGCGACATTGAGAGTTTGGTCCGCATGGCGATGGTTGACATGGATTTACGTATTCCGTACGCATGGCTATATTACCACGAAGGCAAATAAAATAGTTAGAATTGTTACACAACAAATACTTATACAGTAAACGAAAGGGTCTTACGTTCAACAGGTCGCGTGCAAATTCGATATGGGTCACCGGTGTAGCCCGTTATGCATGTACAAGAAGGCAAATGATTGACCACTTGGCAATCGGCATTCTGACCGCAAGTACCCGGACAAGGATCTTGACACTTCTGCTGTTGGCATGCCTTATTCGATGGACAATCGGAATTCATTACGCATTCGGGCCGACAACCCTCGTAGGGATTACCGAAATATTCAGGCAAACAAGTGCATGAACCAGCGCCATTACGTTCGCGACAGACTGCATTCGGGCCACACGGACTTGGACTGCAGGGTGTGCGTACCTCGACCACGTCTCGTTCGGGTGGTAGATTGCATTCCACAAATGGATCGCCAGTATAGCCGACCACACAACTACATTGTACTGCATGGCTAACCACACGGCATTCCGCATTGACGCCACAACGTCCCGGACATGGATCAACACATTTCTGATTTATACAAGCCAAGCTGCTGGCACAATCAGAGCTCGTAACACATTCTGGACGACAATTGGGTGGACGACCTATATAAGATGCAAGACATGAGCACGATGGCGCTTCGCCAATGGGGCGACACTGCGCATATGGTCCGCATGGTGATGGACGACAAGGATCTGTTGGCACAACGTCGCGTGGTGGTTCAACTATACAGAAATATAAACGGAAATTGTAACTTCTCGGAACACGATGTTTTTACGATGAATTTCTTACTTATCGGTTGACAGCGTATGAACGGATTGCCACTGAAACGAGGTGGACACGTGCAGAATGGGCTGTGGTTGACAACAGTGCACTTGGCACCGATACCGCAAGTACCGGGGCATGGATCACCACATTTTTGATTAAGGCAAGCCTGTGTAGGTGTACAATCGGAATTCGAAACACACTCGGGACGGCAAGTTGGTGGACTACCTATAAAGTTTGGCAGACATGAACAAACGGCTTGTTGGTTAACCTCACGACATTGTGAGTTAGGTCCACACGGTGAAGGATGGCACGGGTTTGTATTTACGATTGCTAGCAAAAAACAATTACAGTTAATATCGCGAAAAAAATAAACACTCGTGTTTTGAGAGCTTACTTGGCGCCGGACTACAACGGATGAAAGCACTACCGACAGTACCATCGGGACATCGGCACATAGGTATGTGGTTTATAACATCACAAATGGCGTTTTCGCCACAAGTGCCGGGACATGGATTAGCGCATTTGCTGCGTAAGCATGCCTTATCACGTGGACAGTCCGTATTCAAGACACATTCGGGACGACAGCCTGTGTACGGATCACCATGATATTCTGGCAAACAAGTACAAATGCCATTGTTGCATTGAGCATTTGCGCCACATGGCGATGGATGACATGGATCGACAGCTTCATCTAAGAAAATATACAGTAGTTTGTAAAGCGAATGTTGTAAGAACTGCACTGCAAAAACATGCTTACTGATGATCGGTTCTGGTGGTAAGGGACGGCAGTTGCTGAACGGATCGCCTGTATAACCATTGGGACATGTGCATATCGGTGTGTGATTGACAACACTACACTCTGCGGAAAATCCACAAGAGCCTGGGCAAGGATCGATACAATGTTCACGTATGCAAGCCTTATTCGAAGGACATTCAGCACTGATGGTACACTCCGGATGACAGTTTGGTGGCGCGCCAATATAACTTTGTAGACAGGAACAGGATGGTACGGCGTTGATGTTGCGACACTCACTATGCGGCCCACAGGGCGAGGGTACACAAGGATCGCGTTCGACGTGTGAAATAGCTGGAGGTGCAGCTAATGTAAAGAAAACAAAAATCAGTGGAATCATTCATCTGGCAGAAGATTGCTTAAACGCTTACGTGGTATGGGATAACAACGTGTGAAAGCATCACCGGTAAAACCGTTGCGGCACTGACACAACGGGCTATGATTGCGCACGCGGCATTCTGCATTCGTGCCACAAGTGCCCGGACAAGGATCCTGACAACGTTGATTTATGCATGCCTTGTCATAGGGGCATTCAGTGCTAAGCACACATTCCGGACGACAATTTGGTGGTACGCCGATATAACGCTCAAGACATGAACATACCGCCTGACCATTAAGTTCGCGGCATTGTGAGTTTGGACCGCAAGGTGAAGGTTGACAAGGATTTGTAGGTGGCTCTTGACGTATCGCTATTTCAACGGTAGTTAGAATACAGCAAGGAAAACCCAAAAACAAAGGAGAAGAAAAGTAAATGAGTAAATTGTTCGTTGGGTACGTAGCGTGCATTATGTTGCTTACGTGCTGGCGGCTCCACATGACAATAACGATACGGATCGCCCGTATAACCGATGCGGCACATGCATGTCGGCACATGGTTTGCGACGCTGCATTCAGCGTTGGTGCCGCATGTGCCCGGACAGGGATCGCGACATTTTTGCTGAGTGCACGCTTGCTGTGTCGGACAATCTGAATTGCGTACACATTCGGGTCGACACGATTGATACGGATCGCCAAAGTAGTCGGGTAGACATTGACACGAGCCAATGCCGTTACGATCGCGACAAATTGCATTCGAGCCGCAAGGATTCGGCTCGCACGGTGTAACTTGTTCGTGTACGATACGTTCTGTGTTGGAGAGAAAGAGAGAGTTGAAGAGAAAAAGAGAGTCGAAAAAGTTGAATTAGCAAAGTTTGACATGTGTGCTTTGTAAGATATGTCATTAGTAAAGTCAACACACCTTTTGCGTGAGAGTTGAGCAACATTTTGTGCTATTGCCGATTTTTACTTTATTTTTTTCCATTTCCACATCCAAAATTTTGTGTTTTTGTTTTTATTAGTTTTATTAACTTTTGCTTGCGTTCAACGACAGCGGTGAGATTAGAGCACGTTAGATAAATTTGCATAATTGCCAGCACACACATACAATACTACAACAATAACAACAAATTGCATGTGTTGGGCGTTAATACTGTTACACTGTTACGATTACATTTGCGGTGATTACGTTTAATGGTTAACTTAGTTGCTAAGGTTACAACAATGTACGACTGTTAGAGAACGTTTGGCGGTGCGCTTGCACATGCATGCATACAGTTGCATGTGCGTTTAACGGTTAAACTTAACGAAATAACAGTTATGCGTGTATGTGTGGGTGCAACACTGCGGCTGCGTGCAGTTTTAAAATTTGTTTCTTTTGTTTTTGTTAAAATATTTTCTTTTGGTTAAATTATTACTATTATTTGTGTTTGGTTTTTGTTAAAAATGCGTACGTGTGTAAGTGCGTATGATTGTGCGCGTGTACTTTAGCGGCGTGTAATGAAAATTTCAAGTCGAAATTCTCTTGTTTACTTCATAAATATGTTTATAAATATATTTTAATTAATTTTTTTCTCTTTTGCAATAAAAACGCATTTAGGTTTAGTTTCCAATTTCGGATATATTTTTATTAAAAAAATCGCTTGTTTAAATAATTTTGTTTGCATATTAGATAAAGCTTTACATACTTATACTAGCTTATACAGTTAGATTTGTTATAAAAGTTTGTTAGAAATGCAGTTATCCAGCGTTGAGTAAAAGCGACGCTGAGCAGACAACAACAAATTTTGGGGCCGTTGAGTGTTTGCAACAATAAAAAATATTATCGCTGTAGGTTAGCTTGAGTTAGGGTGGCAGGCAAAACAAAAAAAAAAACACAACAACAATGTTGCACAAATAATGCAGAATTCGACGGCGTTGACAGACTTAGTATTGCGTGGGTATTCTATTTCATATATTGCAAGTGTATCAAGTGTGTGTGGATATTAGGGTCAGCCAAGTGTGTATAGCTTACGTTTTAGTTTTGGGTTATAATAAGCACTTTGTATTTCTTAGTTCGCAGCAAAATTTGGTGTTTCAACTTGTTTGGTTGTTTTTTATTTGATCAGTTTTGGGGTTTTGCAATTCAGGGGCGACTACTTAGCAGTTATGTTTTTCTTGTTTGTTTTTATTGATATTAAAATATGTTTTTAAAAAGCATTTCATTAATTGGTTTTCGCTTGGCAACATTCTTCCAGCAATAAAAACAATATATAATTGCAACAACAAAGCATATAAATAATTCAAATGGGCTTAAAAACTAAATAAGGCAGAGTTAGGGCATATAATGGTAAGCAAGTGGCAAATTATATGAGGCAAGGCGTGATTTTGGTTTTTTTTTCGTTTTTTTTTTAGGCGAGTAAGGCGTTTAGCAAGTTGGTAACGTGGATAAATAAGCAATAATATTAAAGGCATTTTTTATTCATTTATAATAGCATTTTATTAATAATTGTATAATAAAAATTTTAATAATTATAAAAACAATGTCTTTTACAGCTGTCACACACTTTCAAAGGCGAAACAAATTCGGACAGTTCGTACGAGATTTGCGCCTGTTGAAATCTGCATTTTGCCGCTGCGGTGCTGGCGAGTGTGGTGAGTACATAGTAACATGTGACACATAAACATATATTTGAATGTATTTATATTTTGTTTGCATTGCAATGCAACGTGTTTGACAGTGTAAAAAACATGATTTTTATTTGTTGGTGTAAAAAAGTGGTACAAATCAGAACAGTTGTTGTGCGCGCGCGTTTATTGAACATTAAACATTTGCGGTGCTCAAATAACAAATGAAAACATTAAGTAACTACATTAAAAACGTATAAATTGCTGTGCGTAACATAAATACATATAAACAGACACAAAAGTGTGCGAGACGAATTTTTGCAATAATTAAAAAAGAAAAAGTTTTATTAATTAATTCAGAAAGTTATATATATTTTTCCTACACATTTTTTTTCCATTAGTTTTTTACGGAGATACCCGTTAGCAGCATTTTTAACTTTTAACCGAAACTAAATATGGGGAGACTAACCGAATTTGGCTTAGGTGGCAACACTTAATCAAATCCTATCAGTTTAACGCCACGGTCTTCTTTATTGTCCAACAAAACAAATACCTAAGCGGTTTGTGAATATCGCCCATATCATTAATTATACCATAACCTCAAACTCAATCTAAAACAAGCTGACTCGTCCATATGAGACAAAAATGCTATTTCTAGTTGAGTAATGATGTTATTCTTGTAATAATGGATGGAAGGCTCGAAATAGACCTTGTCTGGGTATAAATCCAGGTCCACTGTCTTGACAACGGTGTACTAGGAAAAGATGGGCCTAGAGTCGCTTGGCTACTAATTTTGATATTATATCAAGACTGTTTATATATTAAGCCTATTTCCCTAGGTATTTAGTATCTCATATTATTTCTATGCCGAACCTACTGCTGAGAAGATTCGATTAAAAGTATGTTCTTGCTGTGGTCAAAATCCCTCAACTTAACATATCCATGATTATTGCAAACAAAATTTTCTACAATATGAGGATATATCGAAATCCTAGACTTTTGAAAACTTATAGAGGTTGAACGACTCTTTCGGAGACCAGCTAAAGTCGAGTAGTAACTCAGATATAGAAGTGTATAATAAGCCCTAAATCAGAGTCCTATGAGTCTGTATACGTGCTTAATATCATGAGAGAAACTCATCGTTAAAAACTTTTACTGTGGCCTTTTTGTTTAATGTGCGACAAGGCTCACAATTTCGGTAATCTAAATTTGCCTTATTTCATGGACTGTCTGTTTGGCCATCTAAACCCTGCTTGGATAAGTGAGTATCAAATTAATATTGTAGCAATTAGTTGTGTGATATAAAGCTCTAGTAAGCGAACTTTTCGGATGTTGCGAATTAGAGGATTCGTAAACGTTTTTAAACCATATCTCGTCTCTCTGACTTGATGAAAGATTTCCTAACGGAAAATTTCCTGAAGTAAAAGTATTGCTAAAACTAAAAGCATCTCCCTTTTATAATGTTCATATATAGCGCACCATGCTAAAGTTAAGAAACTTCCTTTGTTCTTGACGAAATCGCCAAAATTGAAGAAAGTAGCATGGTTTCTCATGAAATAAGTGATACATTTAGCGAACTGCAATTTGAGAATAGGTCTGTACTGCTCTTAGGACTGAGAGAACACATTGAGAGAATGCTTTACTCTTTTTTAAAAATAGTATATCAACTCTTGTTGATACCCTTGTCGTTTTTCCAAACTGCAAACGATTAACTTCGCCAATATTTTAAAACAATTAAATTTTTTTTATAATTATTATGACTATTTCAAAACAGAAAAAAAAATAAAACTCTTTGGTGGAAGTGAGATCAGCGATATAATTTTAAATAAATTTTCTCCGTGTAATTGCTAACGGTGCAAGTACACACATATACGTACATACATATAAAAAAGTTCTGTTCTAATTCGTGTAAGTAATATGGATGGGTAATTCTGAGTGAGGGACTTTCGAAAACCCAAAAGTCATTTTTGAATCGGAATTAAAAATTTATAAAACTTTATTTATTAATAAAATCGCTATTTTGAAAAATGTTTACGAACTTTTTTTTGCTAATTTGAAATTATTTAAAATGAATTCTCTTTTTTATTAAGCGAAAGTCCCAGAAACAGAATTCTCCATTCAGGTAGCAACCGTTATTTTGCGCGTGGATATAGTAGTAAAACAGTTTTTTTTTAATAAAAGCGCCCATTTCTGCAAATTAGATGGCATAATTGTTTGGCTTGTGCTTTAAAAATATAGCAATAACAATGTTAATAAAATTGAACGGTTGCGCCTGTCGTACTGACATATAAATGAATGAAACAAAAGTGGTCCTACCTTGTACAGGCTGGCAGCCGGTGAACGGATCACCAGTATATCCCACTTCACAAGTGCAAATGGGCATATGATTGGCCACATTGCAACGCGCGTTGAAGCCGCACGAACCCACGCATGGGTCTTCACATTTCTGGCGTATACATGCCTTCGAAGGCGAACATTCCGGATTGATGGTACATTCCGGCCGACAATTAGGTGGTTTTCCCAAAAAGCTGACCGCACATGAGCAGGCGGGACTATCGCCAACAATTTTACATTCCGAGTTCGGGCCACATGGTGATGGTACACAAGGATTGATAGGTGGCGCAACGACACGTTCCTCTTCGTAACAACGTGTAAACGGATCGCCTGTATAGCCAGAGTTGCAAGTGCAAATCGGATTGTGATTGATTACTTGACATCTAGCGAATTGACCGCATGCGCCTGGACACGGGTCGACACATTTCTTTTGTATGCATGCAGTTTGCAGTGAACACTCGGAGCTGACTATACATTCTGGCTTGCAGGTGGGTGGTGAGCCCAACATACCTGGCTGACAGGCGCAGACAGCGCCTTGTGCGGTTGTTTGACAAATACTATTCGGACCGCAAGGATTTGGTTGACATGGATCTTGAGGTGTTGGTTCACGTATCTCGGGATGACAGTTGATGAACGGATCGCCGGTGTAATCCTTTGGACAACTGCATATTGGTATATGATTGCTAACGTCACATTGAGCATTCTGACCACAAGTACCCGGGCAAGGATCTACACATTTCTTATTGAGACAAGCACGATTAGGCGAACAGTCGGTGCTGAGCGTACATTCGGGGCGACATCCGACGTACGGGTCACCTTGATAGTCACGTATGCAAGTGCAGATGCCATTGTCACATTCAGCGTTGGCGCCACACGGTTGCAAATCGCAGGGATCGGTTGAAACGGTGGGCGGTGTCTTGACTTCGATGATTTCTACGCATTGTGAGAATGGATCACCGGTGTAGCTAGTGCGGCAAGTGCAAATGGCTAAATGATTTTGTATACGGCATTCGGAATTGATGCCACACGTGCCTTCGCATGGATTACGGCATTTCTCTGCTATGCAAGACTTGTCTGATGGGCAATCTGTATTGACGACACATTCGGGTCGGCAATTTGGTGGCACACCAATGTAATTTGATAGGCATGAACAGGATGGTTGATCGCCAATGGCTCGACATTCGGCGTATAAACCACACGGTGATGGGAAGCATGGATTCTTTGGTTTCTTAGGCTCGTCTTTTGGTGCGGGTAGTGGTGCTGGATAACAACGCGAGAATGGATCGCCAGTCATATCTAGCGGACAACTGCAAATCGGGTTGTGATTAATCACTTCACATTTTGCATCCACGCCGCATGTGCCAGCACAAGGGTTAGCGCATCTAAAGTTATGACATGCCTTATTTTGTGGACATTCTGTGTTGACTGTGCACTCTGGTTTACAATTTGGTGGTGCACCAATAAATGTATCCAAACAAGAGCAAACAGCGAGGCTGTTCGATACGCGACATTTGCTGTTAGGTCCGCAAGGTGATGGTTGACATGGATTGCCTTGTGGTGGTGGCTGTATTGGCGTAACTTGGCGTTGACAATTGGAGAACGGATCGCCAGTGTAACCCTCATTACAAACACAGTTCGGCACATGATTAACAGCATAGCATTGAGCATTCGAGCCGCATATGCCAGGACAAGGATCCTTACATTTGTTGCGTATGCAAGCCTTATCTGTTGGGCAGTCGGAGCTGAGAACACATTCGGGTCGACAACCATCGTAAGGATTGCCTTGATAATCATCAATACATTTGCACGAGGCTGCTCCGTTTCGTTCAATACATTCGGCATTAGGACCACATGGCGAGGGTTCGCATGGTTTGACTGGCTCTTCAATAGCTGGAATGCATTGTACGAAAGCATTACCCGCAAAGCCGGTGGGACATGAGCAGGACACAGTATGACTAATAACGCGACATTCAGCATTGGTACCGCAAGAACCTGGACATGGATCACGGCATTTATTGTTGATACATGCTTGGCTGGATGGACAGTCTGGGTTGATAATGCACTCCGGTCGACAATTTGGTGGTGAGCCGAAGAACTCTGGCAAGCACTGGCATGAAGGTCCGCTAACGCTAGCCTTGCAAATGGAATTAGGGCCGCATGGAGATGGTACGCAAGGATCGCGTGGTGTGCCTGGATCACGTTCCCTCGGTGGTTCAGGTGGTGGTAAATCTAGACAACGTTTGAATGGATCACCAGTTTTGCCCGGCGGGCAACCACAAATAGGACTATGATTGATGACTTCACAACGCGCGTCAATACCGCAAGAGCCTGCGCATGGGTCAGTACACTTCTTGTTGACACAAGCTTGTAGTGCCGAACACTCACTAGACACTACACATTCAGGACGACATTGTGGTGGGCTGCCGATATATCCTTCTAAGCAAGAGCACACAGCATGACCGTTGATATCACGACACTGACTGTTGGCGCCGCATGGTGATGGTGAGCAAACTTGTTCTGGCCGTTGAATTATAACTTTAGGTTTGCAGCTGCTAAACGGATCACCCTCATAATCAGAAATACATGAACAAATTGGTATGTGGTTGAGCACTTCACAAACAGCATTAATACCACATGTGCCAGGACATGGGTCCACACATTTGTTACGCATGCAGGCCTTATCGCGTGCACAATCAGCTGAAAGTGTACATTCCGGACGACAGCCATCATAGGGATTGCCTTGATAATTGTCTTGACAGCGGCATTCGCCATTGAAGCAATCTGCATTCGATCCGCACGGATTTGGATCGCAAGGATCGTTTGGTGTTTTTGGTGTTTCCGTAACCGGTGGTATGGGACTACAACGTATAAATGGATCGCCGGTGTAACCGTCAATACAATTGCAAATTGGTACATGATTAAGGACATGACATTTGGCTTCGAATCCACATGAGCCTGGGCATGGATCTCGGCACTTCTGATTGATGCAAGCTTCAGTTGGACCGCATTCAGAGTTGAGTACACATTCGGGACGACAGTTCGGTGGTGCGCCGATGAAATCTTGTAGACAAGAGCAAGCTGGACTACCACCCACAATTTGGCATTTTGAGTTCGGACCGCAAGGCGATGGTACACAGGATGGTGGACGTTCTGTTGGTTCAATATCGTGAATGATTGCTGCAAAAGAGGAAAAGAGGGAGGTTAAATAAAATATAAATCCGTAATAAATTGTGGCCGGCTTCAGTTGTAGATACTCACGTATTTTCGAACATTGTACAAATGGATCACCGGTCATTCCACGCGGGCAAGTACAGATAGGGCTATGATTCTTCGTCGTGCAAATAGCCCGTATGCCGCAAGTATGTAAGCATGGATCAACACATTTGTTGTTTACACATGCGCGTTCTGGTGCACACTCCGAACTGACCACACACTCTGGTCGGCAATTAGGTGGTTGATTGATGAAACCAGATTTGCATGAGCAGACAGCTTGGTCGTTTATGCTGCGACAGATACTATTTGGTCCACAAGGTGATGGCACACATGGATTAATTGGCGGTGGCGGTGTAACTGGTATCTGTCTGCATTGGAAGAATGGATCTCCACTATAACCAGGTGGGCAGTTGCATGTCGGCACATGATTCTCCACTGAGCAAATGGCAAATTCACCACAAATGTTGTCACACGGGTCAACACATTTAAAGCGCACACATGCCTGAGCTGTTGAACAATCATCGTTAACTTCACATTCTCGTCGGCAACCGCGTTCTACATCGTAAGGATTACCCTCAAAGCCCTCATGACAGTAACATGCGCCAGCGCCATTTCGTTCTCTACACTCGGCATGTGGTCCGCAAGGTGAAGGCTCACAGGGCGATGTGGGAGGTTGTTTTGGCAAAACTGGTTGTATTAGATCACAGCCCAATATTGGATCGCCTTCATAACCATCGGCACATGAGCAGATGGCATTATGTTGTACCACTTTACAGAAAGCATTGTTACCGCAAGAGCCGGGACAAGGATCGACGCAACGTTCATTTTGGCATGACAGATTATTTGGACATTCATCATTGTTCGTGCATTCCGGACGGCAGTTTGGTGGACGACCCACATAGTTAGTTTGACATGAGCATGCGGCTTGACCGCCAATTTCACGACACAAAGAGTTCGGACCACATGGTGAGGGTACGCATGGATTTTGTGGATCACGTACTGTTTCTTTTTCTTCAATGCAAGATGTGAACGGATCGCCAGTTAAACCAGGCGCACACGTACAAATTGGATTATGGTTAACTACTTGACAGCGGGCATTATTGCCACACGCACCACGACATGGATCCGCGCACTTTTGATTTAAACAAGCCCTATTCTGTGGACATTCCGAACTAACAACACATTCCGGCTTACAAGATGGCGGTGCGCCCACAAAACCATCAACGCAAGAGCACACAGCATGTCCATTAGATTCACGGCATTCACTATAGGGACCACATGGCGATGGTTGACATGGATTTAGTGGTGTGAACGTTGTTACTTCGATCACAGCACACGAACGATGCGGATCACCGGTGTAACCATCGAAGCACATACAATTCGGCGCATGATTCAAGACACGACATTCCGCATTAATGCCACATACACCAGGGCATGGATCTTGACATTTATTATTGATGCAAGCACGTGAACGATCACAGTCCGAATTTTGTACACATTCTGGGCGGCAGCCGCTATACGGGTCACCAAAGTATTCAGGCAAACACGAGCAAGAACCAGCGCCATTACGCTCACGACAAACCGCGTTTGCGCCGCAGGGACTGGGATTGCATGGGTTGCGTGGTGCCTCCGTTGGGGTCACTGTAAACAGGAACAAAAAATAGATATGATGTGTTAAGTACAGTTCGAGCCAAGGAATGCTGATAGTAGGACATCTGAGGCACTTGTTTGTTAATTTTGATTTACTTTACAGAACCATTTTCTATTAGTAAAGACTTAAATGCTCAAATGTCCTTCGAAAGAAATTTAATATTATTTGTAGATATATACTTTTTACAATGGCACAGCCAGAGAAAGGATCTCCAGTATAGCCGATTTCACATTGGCACGTCGGGTTGTGTTTAATAACTGTACATTGTGTATGTACACCGCATGCGCCGATGCAAGGATTCGTACATTTCTGATTGGTACAAGCTAAATCAGCTGGACAGTCTGAACTACTTAAGCACTCGGGACGGCAGTTAGGTGGTCGCCCCAAGTAATTAGGCAAACAGGAGCATGCAGGTGAATCGCCAACCTCGAGACATTTCGAGTTGGGTCCACACGGTGAAGGTACACATGGATTACCAGGTTTAGGTACTACAGGAGACACGTCCACTACATACATATACACAGGCAACAGGAAGATAGTTTAACATACAGGTAGATGGACAGTCAGGCAGCAGGCAGGCAGGCAGTGTTGGATAGGTTTTGTATACCGTAGTAGTGTTTTCATAGTTTGTTGATAATAAGTTTTAGATGACATAGTAGTAGGTAGAGTAGATAGGGTTTTACACAGTCACAAAATACATATTTATAAGGAACACATAAAAGTAGAAAAATGTAATAAAAAGAGAGAAATACAGTTAGATAAACATATATATATATACATGCAAGAATATGAAAAAGAGCTGACCGCGGCTGACTTTGCGTTAGAAACGTGCCGTTTAACAACAAGTCTCAGAGGCAACTTAAAGCTCAAAGCTCTCTCACTTCCTACTTCTAACGCCAAGCTACCGCAGGTTAGCTTCACAAAAACTACACATGCTTACGTTTAATTTTAATACATCTACTGAAGGGATCGCCGGTATAACCGGGTGGGCAAGAGCACGCCGCATAATGATTAATAACTTGACAGCGCGCTTCACTGCCGCAAGTACCAGGGCAGGGATCAACACATTTCTGATTTTGGCATGCAAGATTTTGTGCGCAGTCTGAGGAAACAATACATTCGGGTTTGCAATTCGGCGGTGAACCAATGAAATTTGTCTGGCAGGAGCAAACAGCATGGCCATTCACCTCGCGGCATTGACTGTAGGGACCACATGGTGACGGTACGCAAGGATTAGTATCTTTCGGGGCTGTATGGGTAATAAAGATAATGGGTTGTGTGATTAAGTAGTCGACTTTGGTGGGGAATTAGTAAGATTGTTGCAGTTCATACTTGGTGCTGGCGGTAGTTGTGGTATTTCACGGCAAGCGCTTAGTGGGTTACCCGTGTAACCCTGTAGGCAATGACATGTTGGCGCATGATTATTCACTCGACATTCCGCATTTAAGCCGCAAACACCTGGGCAGGGATCTGAGCATTTGTTGTTTACGCACGATTTGTCACGCGGGCAATCGGAGTTGGCAATACATTCAGGACGACAACCACTATACGGATCTCCAAAGTATTCGGGCAGGCAGACGCATGAACCAGCGCCGTTGCGCTCTCTACATTCGGCATTAGGGCCGCAAGGTGAGGGAACACAGGGTGTAAGACGTTCTTCGGGTATAGCGGTGGCTAAATAAGTTAACAAGCGAACGAGTATTATTGAGTGTTCCTTCCGAAAAAAAGGATTATAATTGCTTACGCGTTGGATTGCAGCCAGCGAAAGGATCACCGGTATAGCCAGTATCACAAATGCATACTGGAGAATGATTTACGACATTACAGAAGGCATTGAAACCACAAGAACCTGGACATGGATCTTTACAACGCTCATTTATACAAGCCAAATTGGCTGGACATTCCGAGTTCAGCGTACATTCTGGACGGCAATTTGGTGCACGTCCTACAAAGTTCGGTAAGCATGAACAGACTGGCGTTTCACCAACAGCGCGACATTGTGAGTTCGGTCCACATGGACTTGGAACACACGGGTTGGTTGGTCTTGAAGGCAAACGTGGTTCTTCTTCTAAATAATATATAACGTTAATAAATATGACCTAACTCGTACTTGAATAGGCAATGGTCTTACGTTCTTTGATCAAACAACGTATGAAAGGATCTCCTGAGTAGCCAGGTGGACAACTACAAATCGGATTATGGTTTGTGACCTTACAGCGCGCTTCGTTGCCGCAAGTGCCCGGACATGGGTCTACACAGCGCAAATTCACACAAGCCTTGTCCTGCGCACACTCGGAGCTAACCGAGCATTCGGGACGACAAGACGGCGGTGCACCAATGTAATTGGTAATGCACGAACAGACTGCATGACCGTTCACTTCACGACATTGGCTGTAAGGGCCACATGGCGAAGGGCGGCAAGGCTGTACGGGTTCGATGTCTGTGGAAATTAACCGAGGTTACTAGATAGTTCATTTCTATATACAATATATGGTAAATAAGAACACTGTACGTTTTGGTTGTTCGCGACAATATTCCGAGGGGTTACCAGTATAACCAGACGGACAACTGCAACTGGGCGCGTGATTAATTACGTGACACTCGGCACCAACGCCGCATACTCCTGGACATGGATCGCGACATTTATTGTTCATACAAGCGAGGTTTTTCGGACAGTCGGTATTCAATACACATTCGGGGCGGCATTCCGTGTATGGATCTCCAGAGTACTCAGGCAAGCAGGTACAAGCGCCAACTCCGTTTCGTTCCTTGCACACAGCATTAGCACCACAAGGGCTGGGATTGCAAGGCATAGGAATTTCTGGCGGTATGTTAACTAATGTGCGAGGAGGAAATAAAGTGTTTATGTAAGCGTTGCATTGTGTCAAAGACTAACTGATAATACTAATAAAACTCAAGCATGTCTATGTGTAAGCTTACTTTGTGGACTACATTCTGAGAAAGGATCACCCGTATAACCTTCCAAGCAACGGCAAATTGGTCTATGATTATTTACAATACATGTCGTATATGAGCCACATGAACCCTGGCAAGGATCTTGACAGCGTTGATTGATGCAAGCCATATTACCGCGACACTCCGAATTCGATGTGCATTCGGGTCGGCAATTCGGTGCTCTGCCGATGTAATTGGGCAGACACGAGCACACAGCTTGACCGTTTGCATTCGACACTTGACACTGTGAATTCGGGCCGCACGGTGATGGTACACATGGATTTATGGGATCTCTTATAATAGGACGTTCTACATACATATATGGTATATACATATATACAGCGTAAAGTATTCAACATGCAACCAGAAGAATATCCACAAAAATGAAGATACATAAGCAAAAAGAGAAAGAAAAGTTCGAATAAGTAACAATGAAATGATATGGATGGATGACGACTAGCAGGAGAGCGCACTAGGCGCTGTAAAGCTCTCTACGTAAAATGTCATGCAATAAATAAATATAACAAACTTCACAGCACATTGTACGCCCCCTTGCTATGTGTGAAAAAGCGCAATGTTCTTACTCTCTTCGTAGATGCAGCGTGAAAATGGATCGCCAGTGTAACCAGGTGTACATGAGCAAATCGGATTGTGATTGACGACGCGACAAAGCGCATTATTTCCACAAGTACCGGGGCAGGGATCTTTACAACGTTCATTAATACACGACTTGTCTTGTGCGCAATCAGAGCTGCTCATACATTCCGGACGACAGTTGGGTGGTGCACCCAAATAGTTCGGTAAGCATGAGCACACTGCGTGGCCATTGACAGGTCGACAATTGCTATACAGCCCACAAGGCGACGGCTGACAAGGGTTGACAGGTACCGGAGGTTCATCTACGGTAGTGATAAGAGTTTTGGTTTTGTCAGTATGGGTGTTACTATGCATAGTGGGTTAGTTAGGGTCTTACATTTCGGTGGCGGCTCTGGTATGGGTGAGCAACCGCTGATTGGATTTCCAGTATAGCCGTTAAAGCATTCGCAGTTCGGTGCATGGTTAAGGACGACGCATTCGGCATTACGCCCACACATACCCGGACAGGGATCGATACATTTGTTGTTGATGCAGGCGCGTGTCTTCGGACAATCCGAATTAATGACACACTCCGGTCGACATTCAACATATGGATCGCCAAAATATTCGGGTATGCATTTGCATGAGGCCGCGCGATTGCGCTCCTCACAAATAGCATTCAAGCCACATGGGCTGGGTCGACATGGTTGAACTGGTTCATCGGGTACTGTAAATGTTGTGAATTATTTCGTTTAATAAGGTTTTACTCAGTTGAGAGGGGTAAAATTGATTTGGACATACTTGGTATGACTTTGTAGCAGCCAGAGAACGGATCGCCGGTATAACCCGGCTCACAAATACAAATCGGCGCGTGCGCACTGACCTGACAGTGTGCATTGTTGCCACACGAACCTACGCAGGGATCGGAGCAACGTGTATTCATACAAGCCAAATGCGCTGGACACTCTGAATTGATTGTACATTCCGGACGACAGTTCGGCGGACGACCAATGTAATTGGCCACACATGAGCAAACAGCGCCGGAGCTAGAGGCACGACATTGTGAATTCGGGCCACAAGGACTGGGGATACAAGGGTTTTGTGGTGGTATACGTGGCGTATCTAATGGTTCTAAAAGCAAGTAAAATCTCGTTAGTGATTTCTGGTCTATAGGGACTTCGGCACGTGAATAACATACTTCTTTCAGGTAGACATTGCTGGAATGGATCGCCAGTATAACCATCAATACAGCTACAAATCGGTGAGTGGTTGGTAACGCGGCAACGTGCATTCTGACCACATGTTCCGGGGCATGGATCTTGACAACGCATGTTAATGCAAGCTCGGTTCGAAGCGCATTCAGAACTGAGCATGCACTCTGGTTTGCAATTCGGTGGTTGACCCAAGTAATTGGGTAGACAAGAGCAAACGGCGCGATTGCTTGTCACACGGCAAGTACTGTACAAACCACATGGTGAGGGACGACAAGGATCACGCGGTATAGGCAAATACATATCTAAATAATATTACGCAAGCAAGAGAGAGAGGAAAACAGAGGAAGCTTTGTTAGATCGAGTGACATTTTGCATTTTTCTTGATTGTATCATACTTGAGGGTTTCTCCTGGCAGCTACGCATTGGGTTGCCCGTAAAGCCGGAAACGCAAGTGCAAACCGGTATATGATTCGAAACGCGGCATTCCGCATTGAAACCACACAGACCTATACATGGATCAACGCACTTCATATTTACACAAGATTTCGTGGACACACAATCGCTATTCTGTACACACTCGGGTCTACAATTTATATACGGATCACCGAAGTAATCTTGAATGCAGGTACATGAACCAGCACCATTGCGATTTCGGCAAATGGCGTTTGAGCCGCAAGGCGATGGATTGCATGGATCGGCGGGTATATCAGGCACTACGACTATAAACCGGATAGAGAAAATTTAGATGGAGGGGATAGTGATGAGTGTTTTTGATATAGTGATAGAGGTTTTGTTCAAAATATATAGACATACATATTGCAATGGGTATGTACCGTAAATTATAATGAAAGTATACAAAATATAAATACATACAATACTTAAAAAAGCAGATTTTGAAGTCAGTAATCGAAAAGTGAAGTTTTATAGGTATTTTTCTCTCTCTCTGTTAGATATAACCATAACGTGGAGGGGATGGAAATGAAAAGGAAATATATGAAACAAAAGTATATAATCAGGAAAATCCTTCAAATAGATAAGAATGAAATGAATTTTGAATCAAGTGAAGAACTCAAATGGAAGTACTGGAACGAAAATATGTGAAATGAGAAAAGTAATCAAGTGGAATGAGGGATGACGGAGTTGAATATTGAATAAATTTTTAATTGATAAATAATAAACCACATGGAAGATATGAAAGCGAATTAAAAGCTTTTAGTTTAAAAAATTTCACTCTTCGATATCTGACTCAAAACCAACATAAAAAGCTTATATCTAAAGATCATCTGGAATGTGAAAGTACTATTTAAACATGCAGGAAATAAAAAACAAATAACAGTATAAATAAATAAAAAGAACAATAATCAGGCACATAAAAAATTACATATTCGGAAGGAACCATTAACCTTTACAAATGCAAACTGAAATAAATATATAATATTAAGATTGAAGAAGCCATTGGCATCAGTGAACAGCTGGCTTTGGAATTTGTTCTGTTTCCAAGAAGCAGGAAAAAAGAGTAAATTTGAAACAGGTACTCACTTTGCGGTGTATTGCAACCAGCATACGGGTCACCTTCGTAACCCTCGAGACACGAACATACAGGCTTGTGATTTTGTGCTGTGCAAAGTGCATTAAAACCGCAAGCGCCAGCACAAGGATCCTCACAACGTTGACGTATGCAAGCGCGATTTGATGGACAATCTTGATGAATAACACATTCCGGACGACAATTGGGCGGTGCACCAAACATACCCGGCGAGCAACTACAAGCAGCACGATTATCGACTTCCCGACACTCGGCATTAGGACCGCAAGGGCTGGGTAAACATGGATTAACCTTTGGTGGTGGTTCGCGAGCTGTGAATAGTGTAGAGTTTAAGTCAATTAAGACGTTCTAAAATATGAAACAAACGTGTTAAAACTTACGTTTCGGTGTACATTGTTCGAACGGATCACCCATATAGTCGACTGAACATGAGCATATGGGATTGTGATTGACTACTTGGCATTTGGCATTGAAGCCACACGTACCAATACAAGGATCTACGCACTTTTGATTGATACAAGCCAAATTTTGTGAACACTCTGAGCTGACAACACATTCTGGACGACAGTTGGGTGGTGCACCGAAGTAACCTACTTGACAAGAGCAGGTTGGACGACCATCAACCACGCGACAAATACTGTTGGCACCGCAAGGTGTCGGTTCACATGGGCTAAGTGGTCCAATTGCTGTAGAGAATGCAATAAAATAAAATTTCGGTTCAGACGAACTAAGCATAGGAGCTCGTTGAAAAACTAGTAGTGCATATACTTACGGTAATCTTCACGCTTACAACCGGTAAACGGATCACCTTCGTAACCACGTACACAACTACATGCCGGTATATGGTTGACCACAGCACATTCGGCATTTGAGCCACAGGTGCCAACGCAGGGATCGCGACAATGTTGTTTGATACAGGCCAAAGATGATGGACACTCGGCATTATAAACGCATTCAGGACGACAACCAGTAGTGTAGGGATCACCAATATACGGTTCAATACAGCTACAACGAGCTTCACCATTACGTTCGCTACACAACGCATTCTCCCCACAGGGGCTTGGATAGCAGGGATCGATGCGGTCTTTTGGTTCTTCAAAATAAAAATTGTGTTAATTAAAACCCCTTTTCACGTTTTCACGTTGTTACTTACTTTCATCGATTTTAGAACAACCGACGAAGGCGTCTCCCTCATAACCTTGATCGCAGCTACAGTGTGCCGCATGTGCTATCACCGTGCAACGTGCATTGTGTCCACATGTGTTCGCACATGGGTTTTGACATTTCTCCTGTATACACGCCTTGTCGGCTGGACATTCAGTATTTAGGGTACATTCTGGACGACAATATGGCGGACTGCCAATATAATTGGCAACACATGAACACACTGGACGTCCTTGTTTTATTTGGCAGATGGAATTTGGTCCGCATGGCGAAGGTACACATGGATTTTCAGGTTTGCGTTCAGTGTCTGTACGTTCTTCTGGTATACGACTGCATGACACAAATGGATCGCCTTCAAAGCCGGGCTCGCACGAGCAAATTGGGTTGTGGTTTAGGACTTCGCAACGTGCTTCTACACCGCATGTGCCAGGACAAGGATCAGCGCAGCGTTGATTAATACAAGCTTTGTTTAATGGACACTCCGAGCTTACAACACATTCTGGTTGACAGACTGGCGGTGAACCCTTAAAGTTCGGCAGACATGAGCAGGCCGCATAACCGTCAGGTGAGGTCAAGCAACGCGAGTTGGGACCACATGGTGATGGTTCACATGGATTACGTGGTCTGTCTGCTGGTCTTTCTGGTGGCAAGTAGTATGGATTGCATTGAACAGCAGCGTCACCAGTGTAACCTTCGACACACAGACATACAGGAGCATGGTTTACAATGCGGCACATAGCGTTAATACCACATACGCCTACACATGAGTCTACACATTTCGAGTTGACGCAGGATTTATCAGCAGGACAATCTGAGTTAAGCACACATTCTGGACGGCAACCAATGAAAGGATCACCAAAGTAGCCCGTACGACAGATACATGTTAATGCACCATTGCGTTTCTTACATTCAGCGTTAGCGCCACAGTGTAGTTTTTCGCAGCTCGGCGATGGTGCTGGTACGAACGGTGATGGGGGTGAACAGTGCTCATATGGATTGCCATATAAGCCAGGTGGGCAACTACAGATGGGATTGTGTTCATAGACATTACATACAGCATTGTGTCCGCATGAGCCTGGACATGGATCCAAGCAGCGTTGACCTAGACAAGCGCGATCGAATGGACAGTCTGAGTTAGAGACACATTCAGGTCGGCAACGTGGATTTGTTTGAGCATTTGGTCCAAAGCATGGGTCGCACAATGCTACACCATCACCATAAATGGAGCAGACATCATGTGGTCCACAGGGGGATGGCGCACATGGATCCCGTGTTATATTTTTAAGCACTCCAACGGGTATACATTGACGGAAAGCATCACCGGTGAAACCATCAAGGCAGGCACAGAGTGGTGTATGTTGTTGTACTCTGCAAATGGCATTAATGCCACACACTGTGCCGGCACATGGGTCGATACATTTGTGGTTGATACAAGCCTGTGCTGTGCCGCAGTCAGAATTGATGTCACACTCTGCGCGACAGCCACTCTGTGGATCGCCTAAATAACCCGGCAAGCAAGAGCATACAGCACGATGATTTAATAGCTTGCATTCACTATTTATGCCACAAGGACTAGGCAAACAGGGATTACGGCTTGGTGTCTTCGGTATATCTAGTGCGTAACAACGTATACCTGGATTACCAGTGAGTCCAGCATTGCAAGAGCAAACGGGATGATGTTCTTGCACGCGGCAATTTGCTCCTTGACCGCAAGCACCTGGACAAGGATCGTAACACTTGAAGCCCATACAGGCTCTATCGTATGGGCAATCGGCATCCACTTGACATTCGTAACCATGGCAGCCTTTAGTTGATGTAGGATCTCCAGATAAACCGTCAGGACAGATGCATGCGCTTTGACCATCGCCAGCAACAACACATTCAGCATTTGGACCACAAGGATTAGGCTCACAAGCGCTACGTGGTGGTTCGCGGCAACCTTGATAAGGATCACCAATATAACCTGAACGACAATAACATTCCTCACGATTGCCAGTAACATAACAATCAGCATTACGGCCACATGGACCTGGTGTGCATAGCTCATCGGATACTGGTGGTTTTTCACAAGCCTTAAATGGATTGCCAATCTTGCCATCTGGGCAGAAACAAACTGGTGTACGTGAGGAATCACAAACTGCACCAGCACCGCAAGGGCTGGGATCACATGGATTTACAGGTTCGATACAACCGCGTATCGTATTGGGACTTTCGACATAACCTGGTAAGCAAGTACATTTTGAGAAACCGTTGCTGAGCACAGCGCATTGTGTATTCGGGCCACAAGGTGATGGATCACAAGGGCTCTTTGGCACCTCGCATGGCACTAGCGGCGGCTGACCTTCATATTCGGGTAAACAGAAGCAAGTTGGTGCATCGTTCACCATGCGACAACCAGAATTGGGGCCGCAAGGATTCGGTCGACACTCATCGCCTTCGGGAACTGAAAGAAAATGCGGATGAAGTCATTTAAAAATTTCGCCTTTCATAAACTTTGTGAATAAGAAAACTCGCGGTGTACTTACTGCAATTCTTGAAGGGATTACCAGTGAGTCCTTTTGGGCAATAACAAATAGGATTGCCATTATCCAGCTCACATAGCGCGTTGACGCCACACGGATTTGGCTCACATGGATTAGTTGGTGGATTGCAAGCAACTTCTGGTCGACCGGCATAACCTGGTGGACATTTGCAGACACCGCGATGATTGACAACGTCACAAAGCGCATTGGCGCCACAGCGACACGGCGAAGCACATTTACCATTAATGCACGCCTGACTAGCGTCACATTCGCGATCCGCACGACAGCCTTGCAGCTGCGAGCATTCGATGTAAGCATTACCGACGAAGCCGGCCAGACAGCGACATTCAATGCCATGATTGACAGGTATGCACTCGGCATTCTCACCGCACGAGTCTTCGAAGCAAGGATTGATGCAACGACGATTTAGACGATCGCAGAGTTTCGTTGGCGGGCAGTCCTCATTGTATTGACAGACAGGCGTATGGTCGAGAGCTTTAGTGCGTTGTACCAGTAATAGTGACGTAACGTAACGACGTAAAGCGAATATTTGTGCGCAGTTGTTTTGGTTTGTTTGTTTACAGGGTGTGAAATATGTGTTTTGTTTGGTTTTGTTTTAATTGGTGGTGTATTTATAGGTTTCGTGGTGAATTTATTATTTATTGTAGTTTATTAATTTATATAAATTGATTTTGTTGTTGCGGTGTTCAGGAGAGTACAAATTTTTTACAGGTGATTGGTGTGAGCATATTTTACAGTGTTTTGAAATAGAAAATTAAAGAAACAGTTGCGAAATTAGAACTTGCAACAAAAATGTTATGCATGTGGTGCGCACTTTGAACAGAAGGATATAACAGTATAACTTTTATATTTTTTTTAGGGTTGTCAGCATCCCGTTGGAGCCATTCAACGTATTTGGACAGCGCGAGTTCATCATATATTTATATATTTTTATTATTCTATGGAACTTTATTTTAAAGCACTTCAAGTCCACTGTCAACGCTGACGACGAATGACCCCAATGTTTTGCATCCGGCACTTACCTGGCTGACAGCCTATAAAACCGTTGCCTTGATAGCCATCCACACAGCTGCAGTCGGCCACGTGATTTGCATTCATACAGACCGCATTTTGCGCGCAAGGATTATGCGCATCACAAGGATGCTGACAGCGTCGATTGATGCAAGCCTCCGTAATATCACAATCGGAATTTCGCGTACACTCAGCTACACGAAAAGGGCGGGAGAGGAAAGAGTAATTCATTATTAAAAACTCTCACGCAATCGTATAACCAAATATAAAAAGTTCGTTTATTCAGTTTCTTGTAAGTATTTGTTGATTAACATTTGAGTATTATTTTGATATTAAATATTAAACGTTATTTTGTTTGTTTATTTTAGATGCAAAAATGTATTAAATGAATGTAATGATCGTTTGCTTACTTGTCCTATCCACGGGCGAGCATTTAATAGTCGGATTACCTTCATGCCCCTTGGGGCACGAACATATCGGCCGATGCATTTTCGCCACACACTTAGCAGTGGGCGCACAAACATTTGCAAATTCGCAAGGATTATGACATAGACCCATGTAACATGCTTCGTTCTCAATGCAATCATTGTTCGACTGACATGGTTCCGGATTCTTTGGTGAGCCGGGTGATTCTACTTGTTAGAGGAGTTAGAGAGTATAAGTGCGTGTATGCGGTAAGTAAATTTTGTTTGTATTTAATGATGTAAAATGATATTTATTAGCACAAAAAAGTCGGTTAACCAAACACAAAAATTACTGTCTACTGTCAGTATTGGGAAGTTCTAGGAAATTGTTATTTACAACTGTTTGTTTTTTTTCTTTATTAAATAGTGGAGGTAGTTGAAGTATGCATGCTTAAAAATATTATATGAAATTCAGTTTTTCAAATAAAGTATACGAAGTCCTCATTTCTCACAAACATAGTAGTAATAGCTATATACAAGAAAAATGTTGCACTTATGTACACGTATTTACTACTTTTTTCTGCTGGTAAAATAGAAACAAGACTTCAGTGAAAGCTCTTTGTAGAAAGCTTCCAACAAAAGTTTGGATAAGTATATACTAACGATTATATAAACTTGTATTACCCTAAACTAAAAATTATTCTTATATAATACTGCCGCCATATTTTGCAACTGTCAATAAAAAAAAAAACTAGTTCTCTTCATGATTTCACCTCATCCATATGATATCGTTAATTAAACTTGATTCCGAAGTTATGCCAATATAATATATACAGTATACTATAATATTTAAAAGCAACAGTGAGCTTTCATTACTGGCGAAAGCTATACCAATATTGCAAAGCTTTCACTAGGTGGTTTATTTGCACACTTTCTTTGTTTGGAAAGCTAAACACTAATCTTGAGATCAGTTTAAGAGAGTGTTTTTATTCTGATGGCATTTGGAATAACTGTGTTTAATCACTTTTATTTAAGTAATGATATTTGGTGAAAAACTTCAAAAAAGCTTATATCAAAAAACTAATAACTTAATACTTTTTAAAATTTTATCTACACATTTAATTAGTACAATCCTCTCTTTTGAGTGCAAGCTTTCGCAATAATTTTATTCTTAATTACTAATTTCTGAAAGCTTTCAAAAAGAAAGAAAAGCAAACAGATGTTATAAAAGTAATTTGATATAAAATGTGTCACAATATTTCAAAGTTATTATATTTTAGAGTGCTTTCGTTATTTTCGCCTTATTTCTAACGTGAAAGCTGCTATTAAAGCTTAATTGCTGAATAAAATTTGCCTAGGGAACATAGCACAACAAATTTTTTAGTAAACGACCTGAAAGTTTCGTACTCTGGTGAAAGCTGCTTGCATAAGAGGAAATAAAAGATTTGTAATGAATTTGAAAATTTTTTTTGTACACATAAACATGCTTGTTTCGAATATTTTTGCGACTTTCCCTTCAAATCTAACATGCAAAGACAATTCAAAACAATTGACAGTCGGAAATCATGCAATTTCCTTACTGAAAGTTCACGAGGAAAATTACTCGCTACTAAATGTATACCTTTTGCACACTCCGTATCGCTTGTGTCCCCATCGCGACACTTGTTGCGACACATGCCCAGCACGCATAATTGACTAGAACCACAGTTAGTATGATCTGTACAAATGTTAATCATTGTGATATCAGTAGATGTGCTTGTTGGGGTTGTTGCTGCTGTTGTAGCAGTTTCGGTTGTTAAGTATTTATTAGTGGTGCCAGGTTCGGTGGTAGTTGCTGCCGATGACGTTATTGTTGTTGTTATGGCAGCCTCCGTTTGCGCCGTAGTCGACATTGTTGTAATCGGTTCGATTGTCTCATAAACAAACGGTGTTGTTGTACCGGCAATAGTTGGACGTTCTGTCGTTTGTTTCGTTGCTAGTGGTGTTATCACCGGAAACATTGTTGTCACAAAATCACGTACACCCATTGTGGTGGTTTGGTCTAACTCTTTCATAGGCTCGGTCACCATTGTCACCGGGAAGGTGGTACGTTGTGTTGTTGTCAATAGTGTTGTAAAATTATAATCAAATTCATTTGATGTATCGATGCGTGTAGTTTTCATTTTCGGTGTTGTTGTACGCGTATCAAACGGACCCTTAGTGTCCTCACCGCGTCGCGAGCTGCTGCTACTACTACTGCTCGATGTAGACGATGTGGCTGTGGAGACGGACACCTGAACCGCAGGCGTGGTTGCCTGCTCTGGCATGGTGCTGGCGGTTATATTATTCTCACCATCGCGATAACCTTTTGGTGGACCAGTTTTGCTTGCCGTCGTATTCATGTCCTCCTGCTCTTTTGTCGACTCGGTAGTGCTGGACATGGGCTTTTCAGTAGCGCTACTGGTGACTGGCACTGTGGTAGTGTCTTCATCGTAGGCGTTGGTTGTTGTGGGTGTGGTTGCGGTGCCGGACGGCGTAGTGGTAGTGATGGAGGGGGTGTAAGTGCTCGTGGTTGTGCCAGTTTGAGTGGTGTCGTTGATGTCGGTTGTAACATCAGTGATTGGGTTAGATGTGGTGATGGTAGTTGTTATATTGGTAGTGGTGGTTGTTATTGTAACGTTAGCTATTTGTTGTTGGTAATTTTTTTGTTACGTATTTACACAGGTAACGTAGGGGTGGGTATTATGGAAAATATATACAAAAACGTGATTACGTAAATATTTACAAATACAACAAAAACATTAAATAAAAACAAGGGTAATCGTGTAGCTAAATCTCATAAACTAGGTGTTCTGTGTGTGTGTGTGTGTGTGTAGAAAATTATTTTTGATGTTAAAATTAAATCTGTTTTAAACTGTATATATGTTTGTACAACAAAAAAGGTTTTGTAAATTATTTTTGTTAAATTGTTTATAGATAAATATATCATATATGATAATTAAAAAGTTAAAGGGAAATATCTTCAATAATTGATTTAATAATTACATATATACACAGTTATAGCTGTACAATTAACTTATTCCGTAAGTTTGGTTAATTTTGTGTTTAGGTGTTTATTTTTTTTGTTTAATTATCGTGTTAAAACATGACAAAATTTTAGCGAAAATCAGTAAAAAGTTAGGTGCATGACACTCACCTTTGATGCAGGCGCCAGTTGTGGGATCACAGTTGGTGCCTGGCGGGCAGTGCTCACAGCCAGGTGTGCGGCCAGTTGCTGTAAGGTTTTTTATAAAGTTTCGATTTAGTTATGTAACCAATTAGATAATAACTTCAAAAAAAAAATGCATACTTTGACGACAGTGGCAGCCATCGCATTCGAAACCGGCATGACAATCGGCCTTTCGTTGACATTCGCAGACTGAAGAATTAAAAAAAAATTGTATTTTGAATAATTTAACAACAAAATATACGTAACTTTTGATTAAAATAGTCTCTAGCTTTGGTTAAATATCTGTTCTGAAGCTTCCGGTTAAATTTTAAGCACTGGTTAATGAATTTACGTTATGATAAACTTCCTTAACCGAATTTAAACAGGCAATCATTTTATTTACATTAAACTGTTGACCACCATCAAAAACTTGGCTTTGGAAATGAATTGCGTTTCAAAATTATTGCCTCTACATTGAGTTTAACTGACTTCAGATTAACCTTAAATAGCTAAGTGGTGAAAGCAGTTGTCTTATTTCCACTACTAAATTCGTACTAATTTAAGCCATCGTTGCGTTTTTTTTTAATTTTAACTGTCGGTTAATGTTATTTATTAAATGATCAGTTTATAAAGTAGAATTTTGTAAGAAATTTTGAAGCAAGTTCTTTAGAAAAGAACTTCGTATTCCACATAGTTTTTTATTTTTAGTTAGTGTTTTCTTATTTATTTGTCAGTTAAATTTTAACCAGCGGTTATATATTTCTTAATTACACTTTTTTTATGATTATTTGTTGGAATTATTGCATTTACTTTTTGAGAAATGTTTAATTAAACGACAGTTAAATATTTAACCGTTGGTTATTTTTTTACAAAAGCTGCATTCTAAATTCTGTTTTTCATCAATACCCAGTTTTCATCAATTATGTAACCAAATATCCATAAACCAAAGGCCTATAAACTGCCGATTAAATTTTAACCAGTGTTTATAATCACATAAAACTAACTGCTGATTATTTTGTGTCACTTAAAAGAAATACAAGCACTCTTAAATGCCATTATTACTCACCTTTCGAACAAACCGGTTGATGTTCAATCACCTGGCACTCCTGATCACGTCCACATGGATTGGTAGACGAGCAGGGATCCAAGCACACACTATTAATGCAGGCGCGTTGTGTTGGGCATTCATCGCTCGAAGCGCAGCCGATTTCTATTGAGCGTTGCATTAAGAACGAGATATAGTGCAAGAGAAAGGGACAGAGTTATAGGTTACGCGCGCAAGGCGAGAGAAAAAGAGGAAGAGAAAATATATGCAATTAGTTATATGCAGTGATATATATTTTTATTTTCAACTTAAATAATATAAATAAAGCAGGCAATTTTTGTTAAATATTTATATATGTATATATTTTTTAAATTTTAATTGTGAAAGCTAATATTATTGAACGCCGATTGATATAGTTATTTTTTTGTTTTGTGTAGTTGTGTATGTTTTTTTTTTAATAATTTAGTCAGTCAAGTGTAGTAATTTTTCCTCATTTGTTTGGCTTGTAGAATTTAGCAATAAATATTTATTTTTCTAAATAGTTAAGTTTCTTTTTTTATAAAAAGTAAGCGTTTACATGCAGCAGAAGCCTTTAGAAAGCATTGTTTTCATTTATAAACAAAACTGAAATGAGAAATAGCATTTCTACACTACACTAGAGAATAAAAATATATTTACAAAAGTGCCAGCATTAGTTTAGTTTACAGTTAGGTGGAAGTGTCTACATGCTTCCTTACATACAAAAAATAAATACATGCATTACTATACATTACCATAACTTACTAAGCACTACTACTACTACTACGGTGGGACATAAAATACCTTGTGCGTTTAGTAAACCGTTAACCAACATTAATAACGGACTACCACATAAATATATATATAATATTTACAAAAGTTTTTTATACATTTTATATATATGCATATTTATATATAATTTTGTACTTAGTTGATATATATTATTTATATTATCAATATTGTTTTTCAAAAATGTTATTTTTTTGATTTAAATTATACTTTTTTATATTCAATTATTTGGTATCTTTCGATACTACTTTTTTTTTATAGTCCTACATTGAATTTCTTCGCCAAATATTTACACAAAAACATAGTTGCATGCAACAAATGTACGCAGGGTTGCTTCGTAGCGAGCGCAAGCTCAAAACCGTTGTCCTGGCAATACAAACATATAGTATGACTGGCTGCATTGGTGACACAAGGCATGCGGCGGGCGATTTGATGAACGAGAGAGCGAGAGAGAAGATAGAAAATGACAGAAAAATGTTGGAAAAGAGAGTGTGGTGATTAAAGAGGTGGTCGGTTGTGTGTGTGTGAGTGTGGGAACGTAATGAGTGTTGCAAGACATTTTTATATTTTTCACATGTGGAGCAACTAAAAATGTCTGAAAATTTCTATACTCTTAAAGAAAAGACACATATAAAGAGTACTCTAAACATTCAATACTCCAAACAGAGGTAACATGCAAAACATATAGATAACTGTGATATCCACGCCGCGAAGACCAACGTTGCAAATATTTTGTATGTAACTAAGGAGGGTAAATGCTTTCCAGGTTGATGATCCACAGATAGGGCGAAGATACTTATAAAGAAACATTCGATCCAATAGATGAATCACTAGAAGTGCTCATGAGCATTTTTTGTACGCTTTGCTTTGGTGCGATTGTACGAAAAACTCACGAGAGCGAGAGCAAGTAGAAAATTGAGAGTTGAGTGTAAGGGTGTGTGCTTGTGTTTGGGAGAGAGATAGAGTCCAGAACATATAAAAGATAAGGGTAAGAGCATACCATACACAATAACACAGACATATGAAATCAAATAAGACATTAGATAAAGTCAGCTGAGCGGCAAAGTCACATAATATACACTAATATTTATATGAGACACATTTGAGAGCGAGCGAGTGAGCGAATGTGAGCAAGAAAGAGCGAGCGACAAAACACGTATACGTTTAAATGATTGCGCCATACATGCATGACACGTCTATGATTGGTGACTCAGATACTTATGCGCTTAATTGTAATAATTTGTCCCCAGATAATAATTGCATTTCAAAACTTTGCCGCTCGACATAGAAACCGTACGAGTAGAGTAACATTTATTCAGCAGACAAATAGTAGTGTGTAAGAGAATAGAGTAATATAGAGTAGACTATGTGGATAGGAGCAGACGTCCTTGTGGTAGTTTCTACCGATCGTCGCCATAAACCGAAACCTCGCATTGCAAATTAATTCCATCGGAGACAAAGTAAATGCCTCCGACTTCAATTTTCTAACTAATAAAAACAAGCTTCTTTTCTTCGTTTTCTTGTCTTATACGTACATAAGTACATAAATACACACTTATGAAGTTACCTGCTATTATATGACAATCGGTAGTATTTACATCAGCTGCGTTATCGCAAAAGCACATGGGCACATGTTTGATCGTGCGACAGATCGCAAAATTCGGACTATACATGTAACAGAAAGTTGGCAAGAGTAGGCAGGGATTAATGCATTCACCGCGTAAACAAAACTCTTCGTTCGTACAGTCATTGTCAGTCGCGCAAGTTGTTAGGGGTACGGTCATAGGTGGCATTGTACTCGGCAACTGTGGTCGTGTCGTTTGATTGACGCGTAAGCTTGGTTCTGTTGTTGTAAAATTTGCTTCGAGCAGCGTTGGTTTTGTAGTAACCACTTGTATTTCGGTTGTGGGGATTAACAGAATTTCTGGAGTTGTCGACTCTACGTAGATTGGTGTTACAGTGACTGTTCGTTGTGTTAACGGTGTTTCTGTACCATATCCGGCGGGTGTTACTATCTTAATTAATTCGCTTGTTGTGTAATTCGCAGCTGTAGTTTGTGGTGTTGTTGCTGTGATATTCACATCTGGGAGACCTGAGTACTCAGCCGTAGTCTCTACTGCAGTAAATTCTGTAACATATCCAGATGTAGAAGCAATTTCAATAACAGGATGGCGTGTGGGGGTTGTTCTTTCTTCAACTTCAGATATTGTTGTAGATTCCGGTGTAGTGATTCTTACATCCGGAACCGTGGTATATCCCGCAGTGGTTTCAGGCGCAGGAGTATCAGTGATCGGACGACGTGTGGAGGTAAATCTTTCTTCACCTTCAGATATTGTTGTAGATTCAGGTGTAGTGATTCTTACACCCGGAACCGTGGTATATCCCGCAGTGGTTTCAGGCGCAGGAGTATCAGTGATCGGGCGACGTGTGGAGCTAAATCTTTCTTCACCTTCAGATATTGTTGTAGATTCAGGTGTGGTGATCCTTACACCCGGGACCGTGGTATATCCTGCAGTGGTTTCCGGCGCAGAAGTATCAGCGATCGGACGACGTGTTGAAGTAAATCTTTCTTCACCTACAGATATTGTTGTAGATTCAGGTATTGTGGTTTTTACACCTGGTACAGTGGTATATCCCACAGGGGTTTCTTTTGAAGGAACTTCGGTAATTGAGGCAGGTGTGGGAGTAAATCTTGTTTCTTCTTCAGATGTTGTTGTAATTTTAGGTGTCATTATTCTTACACCTGGGACTGTGGTATATCCCGCGGTGGTTTCCGCCGCAGGAGTATCAGTGATCGGACGTCGTGTTGAAGTAAATCTTTCTTCACCTTCAGTTATTGTTGTAGATTCAGGTGTGGTAAGTCTTACACCCGGGACCGTGGTATATCCCGCAGTGGTTTCCGGCGGAGGAGTATCAGTGATCGGACGTCGTGTTGAAGTAAATTTTTCTTCACCTTCAGATATTGTTGTAGACTCAGGTGTCGTTATTCTTACACCCTGGACTGTGGTATATCCCGCAGTGGTTTCCGGTAAAGGACTCTCAGTGATCGGACGACGTGTTGGGGTAAATCTTTTTTCACCCTCAGATATTGTTGTAGACTCAGGTGTCGTTATTCTTACACCCTGGACTGTGGTATATCCCGAGGTGGTTTCCTGCGCAGGCGTCTCCGTGATCGGACGACGTGTTGAAGTAAATCTTTCTACGCCTTCAGATATTGTTGTAGATTCAAGTGTTGTGATTCGTTCACCTGGGACTGTGGTATATCCCGCAGTGCTTTCAGGCGCAGGAGTATCAGTGATCGGGCGACGTGTGGAGGTAAATCTTTCTTCACCTTCAGATATTGTTGTAGATTCAGGTGTAGTGATTCTTACACCCGGAACCGTGGTATGTCCCGCAGTGGTTTCCGGCGCTGGTGTACCAGTGATCGGACGACGTGTTGAGGTAAATCTTTCTTCACCTTCAGATATCGTTGTAGATTCAGGTGTTGTGGTTCCTACACCTGGTACAGTGGTATATCCCACAGGGGTTTCTTTTGAAGGAACTTCGGTAATTGAGGCAGGTGTGGGAGTTATTCTTGTTTCTTCTTCAGGTGTTGTTGTAATTTCGGGTGTCGTTTTTCCTCGACCTAGCACTGTGGTGTATCCCGCAGTGGTTTCCTGCGCAGTAGTCTGAGTGATCGGACGACGTGTGGAGGTAAATCTTTCTTCACCTTCAGATAGGGCTGTAGATCCAGGTGTCGTTATTCTTACACCCTGGACTGTGGTATACCCCGAGGTGGTTTCCTGCGCAGGCGTCTCAGTGATCGGACGACGTGTTGAGGTAAATCTTTCTTCACCCTCAGATATTGTTGTATATTCAGGGGTTGTGATTCTTACACCCAGGACCGTAGTATATCCCGCAGTGGTTTCCGGCGCAGGAGTATCAGTGATCGGACGACGTGTTGAAGTAAATCTTTCTACACCTTCAGATATTGTTGTAGATTTAGGTGTAGTGATTCTTACACCCGGGACCGTGGTATATCTCGCAATCGTTTCCGGCGCAGGAGTATCAGTGATCGGACGACGTGTTGAAGTAAATCTTTCTTCACCTTCAGATAGTGTTGTAGATTCAGGTGTCGTTATTCTTATACCCTGGACTGTGGTATACCCGGAGGTGGTTTCCTGCGCAGGCGTCTCAGTGATCGGACGACGTGTTGAGGTAAATCTTTCTTCACCCTCAGATATGGTTGTATATTCAGGTGTTGTGATTCTTACACCCGGGACCGTAGTATATCCCGCAGTGGTTTCCGGCGCAGGAGTATCAGTGATCGGACGACGTGTTGAAGTAAATCTTTCTACGCCTTCAGATATTGTTGTAGATTCAAGTGTTGTGATTCGTACACCTGGGACTGTGGTATATTCCGCAGCGGTATCAGTGATCGGACGACGTGTAGAGGGAAATCTTTCTTCACCTTCAGATATTGTTGTAGATTGGGGTGTTGTAATTCTGACACCCGGAACTGTGGTATATTCCACAGTGGTTTCTTTTGAAGGAACTGCGTTAATTGAGGCAGGTGTGGGAGTAAATCTTGTTTCTTCTTCAGACGTTGTTGTAACTTTAGGTGTGGTGAGTCTTACACCTGGGACTGTGGTATACCCGGAGGTGGTTTCCTGCGCAGGCGTCTCAATGATCGGAGGACGTGTTGAGGTAAATCTTTCTTCACCTACAGATATTGTTGTAAATTCAGGTGTTGTGGTTCTTTCACCTGGCACAGTGGTATATCCTACAGGGGTTTCTGTTGAAGGAACTTCGGTAATTGAGGCAGGTGTGGGAGTAAATCTTGTTTCTTCTTCAGACGTTGTTGTAATTTTAGGTGTGGTGAGTCTTACACCTGGGACTGTGGTATATCCTGCAGTGGTTTCCTGCGCAGGCGTCTCAGTGATCGGACGACGTGTGGAGGTTAATCTTTCTTCACCTTCAGACATTGTTGTAGATTCAGGTGAGGTGGTTCTTACACCCGGGCCTGTGGTGTATCCCGCAGTGGTTTGCGGCGCAGGAGTATCAGTGATCGGGCGACGTGTGGAGGTATATCTTTCTTCACCTTCGAATATTGTTGTAGATTCAGGTGTGGTAAGTCTCACACCCGGGACTGTGGTATATCCCACAGTGGTTTCCGGCGCAGGAGTATCAGTGATCGGGCGACGTGTGGAGGTATATATTTCTTCACCTTCAGATATTGTTGTAGATTCAGGTGTGGAGAGTCTTACACCTGGGACTGTGGTATATCCCGCAGTGGTTTCCGGCGCAGGAGTATCAGTGATTGGGCGACGTGTGGAGGTAAATCTTTCTTCACCTTCAGATATTGTTGTAGATTCAGGTGTGGAGAGTCTTACACCTGGGACTGTGGTATATCCCGCAGTGGTTTCCTGCGCAGGCGTCTCAGCGATCGGACGACGTGTGGAGGTAAATCTTTCTTCACCTTCAGATATTGTAGTAGATTCAGGTGTGGTGTGTCTTACACCCGGGATGGTGGTATCTCCCACAGTGGTTTCCGGCGCAGGAGTATCAGTGATTGGGCGACGTGTGGAGGTAAATCTTTCTTCGCCTTCAAATATTGTTGTAGATTCAGGTGTCGTTATTCTTACACCCGGGACTGTGGTATATCCCACAATAGTTTCCTTTGAAGTAACTTCAGAATCTGTGGCGGGTGTGGGAGTAAATCTTGTTTCGTCTTCAGGTGTTGTTATTATTTTAGGTGGCGTTTTTCCTAGACCTGGAACTGTGGTATAGCCCGCAGTGGTTTCAGGCGCAGGAGTCTCAGTGAGCGAATGACGTATGGAGGTAAATCTTTCTTCACCTTCAGATATTGTTGTAGATTCAGGTGTGGTGGTTTTTACACGCGCGACTGTGGTATATCCCGCAGTGGTTTCCGGCGCAGAAGTATCAGTGATCGGACGACGTGTGGAGGTAAATCTCTCTTCACCTCCAGATATTGTTGTAGATTCAGGTGTGGTGGTTCTTACACCCGGGGGTGTAGTATATCCCGCAGTGGTTTCCGGCGCAGGAGTATCAGTGATCGGACGACGTGTGGAGGTAAATCTTTTTTCACCTTCAGATATTGTTGTAGATTCAGGTGTTGTGATACTTACACCCGGGACGGTGGTAGATCCCGCAGTGGTTTCATTTGAAGGAACTTCGGTAATTGAGGCAGGTGTGGGAGTAAATCTTGTTTCTCCTTCAGGTGTCGCTTTTTCTAGACCTGGGACTGTGGTATATCCCGCAGTGGTTTCTTTTGTGGGAATTTCGGTTATTGAGGCAGGTGTCGGAGTTAATTTTGTTTCACCTGCGGGTGTTTTTGTAGCGACTTTCGGTGTTACCTCTGTTGTGGTAGGTCCTGTGTCAGATGGTTGGGTGGTCGTACTAAATGCTGTCGCTTGTGTCGTACTGTCATAAGATTCTGTCTCAGTTTCGGCTACAATATCTGTATAATGGGTACGCATTTCTGTTTGATTGCCTATATACGTGGTGGTATACTTAACAGTTGTGGCAGTCGTGTCCTTGCGGTCGTACATTATGGGTTTTGTTGTAGTCTCAACAGTCGTGGGTATTTCAAAGAGTATGGGAATGCATTTGACGGTGGTATTGCCAATAAAACTATCAGCGCAGATACATGTGGCAACGCGATGTGCTTTCACAATACACAATGCAGACTCGGCACACACGACTGTGCAGGGATCAACGCATTGCCCGAGCGTGCTGCTGCACTGTAGCGTTTCGTCGCAGTCGACATCATGTGTACAGTTGGCACCAGCCGGTGACGGAGGCGAGGATGGAGTTGCAGACGCAGTTGTAGCAGGCGTAGAAGTTGTTATGGCTGCACGGGTTTTTGTGGTTGTAATTTGTTTTTGATGGTTTTTACAATTTTATTAATGTTTTTTTTTGTTTTGTTTTAAATAGAGAATGTAGAATTTGTTTTGTACATTGTGGCGTAGAGTAAATTTTTTACATGTTGATAAGATAAAAAATATGTTAGATATAAAAAAATATATATACAATTGTCAGTAAGTAAATTTATAATTAATTTTTGGGATTTGTGTTTTTTGTTCTCTTTTTCTGTGAGGGTAGAAGGTAAAATATATACATAGGGGTTGCTATAGGCTAATTCAGGTACCAATTGACTAGTAGTGGGGGTACTTATTTTACTTTTTAAGGAGCGGGATATATCAGGGGTTCATGTATTAGTTTTATATTTATATGTATATATACATATATGTATATATATATGTATCTAAATATTATATTTGGTTTTACGTTGCTTGAGGTAGTAAGTTTTGGGTTTTAATATATTATATTTAAAATTTACAGTTACTTTGTACTTTTTTACAATTAGTTAGCTACACTGGTAAACCGTTAGTAATACTTTCGACTATTTTATGTTACAAAACCAAAAATTTTTAATTGATTACTTCAAAATTTTTCCATCGAAATATTAATTTTGGATTAATTTGCTGTTTATTGCATTGATTAATTGTTGTTTTTATTGTTGTTGTTGGTTTTTAAAATAATTAATTCATTAATTGAACTGTGGCATGAGCGTGTGTGAATGTGTAGAGGATTTTACTGTTGGTTAGCTTTTGGAGTTACGAAAAACTTATGAAGTTCAAGTTTTCAGTGAAAGACAAATGTTGTTTTTGTTTTTCTTATGTTACAAGTATTTAATTATTTACTCGATTTGTGGTAAATGAGTTTTCGCTTTCAAGAAATAATGCTGCAAAGCTTTTGCATTTTACGTTAAACTGAAACTGCCGTGGGCTTTATTACTGCTTTAAAGCATTATTTTTGGCGAAAAAAATTTTAAATAAATTTCGTTAAAAAAAACGCTTGAGTTCTCACTGTTAAGCAGTAGAAATATGGCTGTTTCTTTCTGATTGTAAGCGCTGTGAAGCGTTCATGGGAAGCATTTCGTTAAAACAAAAATTAGTTGGTTGCAGTAGGAGGCACCGCGCATCCGTCGAGCGCACACCAAACGTGCATATATGTGTGGGTGAGAGAGCGCGCACGGCATGTGTGGCATTAATATGAGCGGAAATTGTAAGAGTATTGGAGAGAGCATGAGACAGTGAGCACATGGTTTTTATATTGTTTTTTTTTTTTTTGCTTTTTTTTGTAATTTTTTTTTTTTTTGTTTTTGATATTTGGTAGTAGTAGTTTTTTCACACTTATACAACTCTAGACGATTGCTTTACCTTTTTGACATCCATTCTTGGCATCGGCTATAAATCCGGGCGGGCAGAATTTACATATCGGCTTATGATCCTCGACGATGCATGGCGAGTTGGGTGCGCACGTTGCAAAGTCGCACGGATTGACGCACTGATACGAGCGGCACGCCAAACCTGACGGACAGCCCGCATCGCGTAGACAAATCGATATCGACGGCTGACAATCCTTCATACAAATACAAACTGGCTTGTGATCCTGCACCTCACAGGATTTATTCTCCGCACAAATTGGTTGACGACCCACGGGCACAACGCATGGACTGCGACATTTGCCCTCACTACAAGCCATATTCGAGGCACAATCATCATCGCGATAGCATTCACGCTTCTCGGGTGCGCACGTCAATTCACCATATTCATTCACAATGAAGCCGGATTTGCACACGCATACCGGTTGATGACGGCGTGTCTCACACTTCTTACTGCCGCCGCATATGAATAGCGGATTCTGACATGGATCGGTGCACTGGCCATAGTGACTGCACTGCAGATTGTCGGGACAATCGTTGTCCTGTGCGCAAGGTATTTGCTGTTGTGGGTCACGCGGTTGCAGCGTTGTGCCGTCGGTGCATTTGGGATCCGGCTTGCATTCGACTTCGGGTCGTCCGATATAGCAACTGGGGCAAGAGCAACGCGGTCGGTGTAGTACGCTTTTGCAAAGCGCATTTGCACCACAAACGCCACGCACCGAACAAGGATCAATGCAGTGTCCTTGCAGGCATGATTTCTCACTGGGACATTCGACGTCTGATGTGCATTGTTCGGTGTCTAAAATGGAATTTGAAGTGGCCGAAAGAGAGAGAGAGATCGTGAGATAGAGAGACGGGTTTTCTTGGTTGCTAGTGATTGCTTTGTTGTAAAAAAAAAAATATTTTTATTCTATTTATACTTTGCCTCTTACACGAGTACATATACATGATTTGAGGGTGGGAGATTTACGGTAAGAAAAGTAGGCGTGATAGAACTCTTGTCTAGCGGCATTGAGTGCCATTTAGACATTAAGCTTTCATTGCTGAAGCTTGTGTGCACAAATAGAAAGAAAGAACGAGTGAGACAGATTGTTTTGTAGACTTGATAAAATAGATAAAAATATATGCATGCACATTGAGGGAGACTGAGCGTTTTTGAGACAAAATTTTGACTTTTTTGCTTCGCAAGCACATGCAGTCGAGAGCCAAATCGAGCAGGAAGAAAAGAAGTGAGCGAGTTTGTGAGCAACTTAAACGGCGTGCTCACTACTAAACGGAAAATGTGCGAGCGGAACAGCTATAGTGTATAGTTGAGTGTACGCGTTCGTGAAAGTGCAGGAAATTTCGTGGGTAAAAAAATTGTGGTACTTAAGTAATAAACTTAAACTAACCCTACGCTTAGTGTTTAAATAGGTACGGTGTATGTGTGTGTGGGTTGGGAAACAGTCTCGCTTTGACTTTATATTTGGTAGACTTTTTTTTTGGTAGTTTTCCAGGGACTTTAGTAACATTTAAAAACTATAATTTGTTTGTCAGTGAGTGGATTGGTTTCGTGTTTGCTTGCTGGTTGGTACTGTGTGGGTAGGGAGGAGTTGTGTGGTGGTTTTTTGGATATCGGTGTTTGCACTCGGACGTTTTGTAGTGTTGTTGGGTGTTTAGGAAAGGATTATTGCGTTTAACATTGAGGTTAGGTTGTGATATTAGAAATACTATGTAAACATTTTGTTTCGGAAACGAAATGATGCAAAATGTGTATGTCTTTGTGTGTGCGTAAGCTCGAAATAATATTTTGCAAACGGTAGCGTTTAAACAATAATAATAATTTTGAGTTTCTGTTTTCGTAAAAAAAAGTATTGGAAAGGGTTTTTTGTTAAATACTGTGTGGGATATTTATTAGTTTCTCTTTGCTTTTGGAGAAAGTTGTGCCAATTCATACAAAAAAATAATTTATTTAATATTTCTTTTGTTTTTGTTTTACAAACAGCTCGTGTAAAAATCAAATTAGTGGAGAACTGTGAAGGGGAGACATCTCACATTTTTAGGAACTCAGCAAAAGTGTGTTGCTGTTTGTGACTTATTGTTTTTGTTTAATTTCTGTTTTGTTAGCGTTCGATATAAGCGAGTTATTTTTTTTATGTAATTTTGTTATTTGAGTGAATGATACGTACAACTTTTTTATTATAATTTTATTTGTATTTTTGCCCATTACGCGTTGGTTTAGTTGTAAATTGTAATTTTTTAATTGAAAATTAGTTGCTATTTTATTTATATTCAGTTTTTAGTTTTCTTGGCGCATATTCGTTAAAGTCATTAATCAATAAACCGTTCAAATACTAAAAATCATGATTTTAAAGTCGTTTAATATATTACTTTTATGTTCAAATAAGAGCTGCCACCTGTTCAAAGTGTCAACTTCCAATTAAATTTTATTCTTTTTTAAAGAAAATTGCAAATTTTGCTTAGGAATGGGCGTTGGTATCTACGTTATTAAGTTTCTGGCAGTTTTTAAATGAAAGTTGCCACCTGATAAAATTTTACAGCTTCAGCGTAGAAAAATTTTGACTCAGTAAGAGAGTTGGCTACTATAAAATGTGGTTTAAGACAGATTCAGACAGAGCTATGGAGATTTTTCTAAAAATTGGAGAGCTTTTTACTGTGAAAAAATTTAGAAACTGTTTCGAACATTATTTGGAAGCATTTTTAAAGGCTTCGGAATTAGTTTCTTATTTTTTTGGAGAGTTTGTCGAAATTTGCAGTGCCTTTTCGGCTCTGAAAGTATATTTTTAATTGTTTTGTAGAATTTTTCAAAATTTTGAGAATTTTTCCTGCTGTGAAAGTAAATTTTTAAACAGTGTTGAACAATCACTGAAAGTATTTTTATCGAATACAGAACTAGTTTCGAAAATTTTTTGAGAGTTTTTCAAATATTTGAGAGTTTTTTATGGGTGTAAATGTAAGCTTTTAGAAACCGTTTTAGGAGAGTTTTTCGAAATTTTTAGAATTTTTTACGGTGAATGTAAATTTTTAGAAACAGTTTTAAACAATTACTGAAAGCATTTTTAACCAATTAGAAATGAGTTTCAATATTTTGTTTGAGGTTTGGATTAAACTAGAATTCATAATTCTAAATATGTTGATAGCTTAAAAATTATTTCGATATATTTCGAAAAATTAAAAATTGAATTTGTTTTAATATTTGAATTTTGTGACAATTAATTTTGATGTTTCAAAACAATAAAAATTCAAATTTGCAAATTTTTTCTTTAAAAAAAAGTGTTGAAAACTTTTTTATATTAAGACATTTTTTTTACAACATGAGTAAATAGAAAATGTTGTTACATTTTGAATATGCGCCAAAACTTGTTTTTGAAAAAAAAAAAAAAATCGTAGCATTCGAAACCTTAAGAAATGTTTATGTCTATATAATTTCATTATTTTTGCGGTTGAAAATTCGTACGACATCCAACACATGCGCTCTGCCCTAATATGTACACCTATTCGGGATATTTTTTAAACCGTTTTCTATGTATGTGTATTTAGTTTCTTCAAAGCAAAATGTTTATTAATTTAAAAAATATGTATAAAAGGGAAATTATGAAGGAAGTTTTTGTATATATAATATTTATATGCTCTTTACATTTCGTAATATAATTTTAATTTACAAACTAGCAAAAACAAAAAAAATGAATTAAAAAAATATTATCGAATACCAAAACTAATTTATACAAAACGTAATTTTGTTTTATTTTTTTTTACATATTTTTAAATACTTTTTCGAAATATACAACTGTGTGTTTGTGTGTGTGCAACAACAACACAGCATATTAAAATATTTACAAGGGTTAGTATAGCTCACTGCCAAAGAACAGTACACTGCGGTTTAGACATATTTACAACTTACTGACTAATGCAAAATACCAAAAATATTGTTCGAGGTTAGTGAATTTAGTTACAGCTGGCTGCATTGCGGGACCCTACGCATTACTTAATATAATTGTTATATATTATTTTTTATTTTATTTATTTTTATTTGGTAATTTTTGCTGCATACATTTTTACAAGGTTTTGTTGTTGTACAAGTATATTGCTTATTTAAAACTAAAATGCCAATATTTAAATAATAAATTTGTGATAGTTGTAGAGAGTACGAGCAGAGAGTGTATGAGAGCGTGAAAGAGAGCGAGTGGCGATTAGTGAATGAGTGTTTCATTTTGGTTTTTTTTGTTGTTGTTTTTTTCTGTACAAAAGGCCGACTTTTAGGCGTCAGCGCGGCGCACTGGTTTGATGGTGTGAGTACGCATTGTGTTGAAAAAAAAAACTGTTTATGAGGGTATTAACTTGTAGTAGTATGTTAAGTAATGTGTAAAAAAAATAATTTTACTTTTCTTCGTTTTTGTTTCTTTTTTTTTTGTGTATAAGCTATGAATAGACAAAAAAGGCGTTTTGTTGGTGGTCAGCATTAAAACGACTAATGTCTAAAATTCAAAATTTCGAAAATTCGAAAATTTCGAAAATTCAAATTCCAAAAACAAAAAAAAAAAACTAATGAAGAATGTTAAAATATGTTATATATTATATGTAGTTGCTGGCATATGTGAACCATGTGAGAATTGTCCCGTCCACAGTTCCCAATCTGAGACTAAACGGCATATAAACGTTTTGGAAAAAAAAAAATAAAAACATTTATTTATGTAAGCATTTTGAATTATATAATATTTATTACGCTTACGTTTAGTCATAAGCAAGCTCAGGACTAATATAAATTTGATGTTGTTGTTGTATTGCACTGTTAATCAATAATCAATACTAGGCTGCTATTTTGAATTTCAACTCAACGTTTTAACTCGAAATATGGGTAACTAAAGCGGGGAGAGTGGGCGTTGGTGTTGTTCGCATAGGCGTGGGAGCACTTGGAAGTTGGTGGGGAGACACGTTGCTAAGGGGGAGCGTGGATGGGTGCACAGCGCTAACCAGTAAATGGTACTGTGTCGCTTTGTGTTCGTGTTTGCGTGTGTGTGTTTGTGTTGGTGTTGGTCGTTGTAATTGTTTTTGCAAAAAATTTAATTTTCGTTGTTTTTTTTTGAACTTTTCATGGTTTTCGTACAAACTTGTTTTTGCTTTTTTGTTTTTTTTTTGTGTGTTGCTTTTGCCAATTGTTACACGAATTTGTTGTTGGCTTTACTTATCGCTATCGCGGCGCTTGATCCGGTATTTTGTGTATGTGTGTGTGCTTCTTTTGCATTTTTTGTTTTGGTGTTAGGTTTTAGTATTAGCTCAATTTGGTATTGTTGTTGTGTTTGCTGCTGCTGCTGCTACTAATGCTGCTATTAATTTTCGCTACAATTTGGCGCTAAACTTTTACTTGGTTATTTACTGTGTTACACACATACATACATACATATGCTCATATAGTGTATGTACGCCTATGTATGGGTAGTTTATGGCTATGGAGTAGTATTAAGACTTTAAATTTTGCATTAAATTATTATATAAGTGTATAATTAATTAATAGGGAGCGTACGGTGGTGGTTAGGAATCGATTAAAATGGTGGCTGGGACAAGGTTTATGGCGGAGTGGAGTTGTTACACCGGCAAAAAGTTATTTAATGAACGATATTTTTATAAAATTCAACAGATTGCTAGAAATCTGTGGTTTAAATGTGTTTTTTTTTTTTTAAATAAGCATATTATTATTAATAATTTGTATTGCTCTTGTTTTTAAAAAAATACAAAAGGTTTATATTTTCAATATTACGAAACATAAAATACAAATTCAAAAAAATGAAAAATATATACTCGTGTATATGGTATTTTAAATTAAGTAAGTTCAATTTCTAATTAGCATGTCAATATATGTTTTAAATCAAAAGCTACATTCTTTGAGCTTTTGCTTTATGAAAGTACCATATATGACAAACATAATCTAATAACTAAATATTTTGAGAGTTTACAATGTGAAAGTTTTTACGTTGTGAAAGTTTGGAAAGCTTTTATTATATGAAAGCTCCGAAAAGTTGCCACAAAAGCTTCAAACAAATGATGTAAAATTTTACTTAGTTGTACTTATATAAAAGTACCACTAAGCTTTAACTTTTACTTTAAAAATGCTTCAAAAAGCTTAAATATTTGAAAAAGCTTTCGAAAATTACAAACATATACAACACGTTAACTAATTTTCCGCTTCTTTAACATAAAAGTTTTATAGTCTAAATTTTAATGAACAAATTTGATTCATTTAGCTCGTGAGCAGCGTAAATTTTTACAGATACTGAGATGCAAGCTAATGGTTAAAGCTTTAAAGAAGATTATAACATTTCTATTCATATATAAGCTTGTTCAGGCTTATAACATTTTTAAAAATTGAATAATTTAAGTTTGTCTGTAGAGCTTTTAAGCTTTTCAATGCTACGCAAATATTATATATTTTGAGGCATAAAATTTATATATCAAATGAACAATTTAAGCTTTTAAATGCTAATCAAACATTATATTTTTTAAGACATAAGGCTTGTCTGTAAAGTTTTTCAGCTTTACGTTGATAAACAAATATAATATTATATTTTTTGAGGCATAAAGTTTATATATTAAATGAACAATGTAAGCTTGTATGTAAGTTTTTCGTTGCTACTCAAAAAATATATACTTTGAAGCATAAAGCATATATACATATATTTAAGGAATAAAATTAGATCTGTTTATATCTTCCACTATTCCATTTTTTCATTTATATGTATATATTTGTCCATATCAACTGTTAGTTGTATAAAGAGAAAAAGCTCAACTTTTCATGTTGAACGGCATTTAATTTTACTACACGTACTATTTTCTACAAATATGCATTCAAATCTTTTGAAACCATATACCCTAAAAAGCTTCAACTCAAGTTTCCAACGAAAGCTTTTGAAGCAGAAAGCTCTAAAAAGCTCCATGGCATACTAATATGCGCTGAAAATGACGACTAATTTATTTTGTGACAATAATTTCGTTATTTTCTGCGCATAATTTGTTTTTGTGAGATTTGACACAGAAACGTTGTACCCAATGCAATTAAAGCTGCAGATATTTTTGTATTACCGTTGTTTCTTCGTGCATGAATCTTAGATATATAACTATTTATGTATAAAATTTTAGTCGTTTCAATGAAGCGCGCTTACTTTACTTACGATATGGTGTATGTATGTATTGTAGCATGGTTGTTTTCGGTTTTGGGATAGTTGTGGATAATGTTTTATATGTTTTCGGGATAAGCTATAAAGGATGTTTGTATGTGTGGTATGTTTATGTGAGTGTGTGCATGTATATTTGGTAAAGGATAACTGACTTTTATTATGTAACAATAAAAAATTATGCATGTCTTATGTATTTGTAGCATATGTTCAACTACTTGTAGCTGTTTGAGTTAGCGCCTACTGAATTTTGGTTATGTTTTATTGTTTTTAGGCTAAAAACAAACGATGTAAGCATGTGAAATATTATTTTTTGTTTTGTTTTCCAACTGTTTTCTTCTTTTTTTTTTTTGTTTGCTTGTTTGTTTGGTTTTTTGCACCAATACAGATGTGAATGTTAAACGAGTACTTATGTTGTATGCAATTATAAAAATATATATGTGTTACATGTCTGTAGGCACAGATTGGGATACCGCGATAGCGACAGCGACATTCCACGAACTTCCATATGCGTTAAATTTTGCTTTTTGATTTTTATAAATTTTGATTTTCAAGCGTTCGGTATTTTTTTTTTGTTTTGTATATATGAGTATATATTCATATAATCTCACTTGAAACACATGCATATATGCACATAATATAGTATATTTGTTGTACGAATAGTTTAAATGCACTATAAGGGATGGATTGCTTAGAAAAAAATTGGCTAATATTTTATAATAAATAAAAAATGATAAAAAAAGTCAAATAAAAGTATAAATAAAAAATTAAATGCAAATTAAAGTAAATAAAAATAAAAACTATGGACCTAAACTAGAAAAAATGCATATTTTTTGCAAAAAAAAATTTCTTGAAAAAATTAAATACTGTAAAATATTTTGCTGAGTGCATAGTTTTGTCATAAAATCTCTATTTTCTGCCACTGAAATATTTATTTATTTATTGGTTTTTTTTTTTCTTGTTTCTTCACATATTTATTTTTCTGCCACACTGAACATGTTGTGTGGAGAATTGTTTTTGTATATGTTTTGTATGTGTATGTGTGTGTGTGAAACGTTAAAAATGTCTTAAAAACCCCAATAACTAAATTTGGTATTAAATTCAAAGTAAAAAATTGTATTTACACACACTACACTGTGAAAATCATTTGCTTAATAACAAGTGTTAACCGCAAAAAACGTGTGTTTGTTTACTTTTTGCTGTGTCAAAGGTTAAATTCAAACTCTGTAAACAATTATGTAATTATTTAAATTTGTTGCAAAATACTTAATGCTCCACTAAAAGTATTATTATTATTTATTATGCTGTTTTATTTATTAAAAACAATTGTTAAACTATTCGCAACATTTGCATAGTTGGGGTTAATTAATTTATATTAAATATTAAAATGCTGGTAACGAAATTTCATTATTACCCAGTTGCATTAGAAAACATAAATCTCAACTCAAACAATTGTTACGCACAAAATTAATTATTTATTATTTATATTTTTTGTGTTTTTTTTTCACACTATTTGTGGTATTAGACTCAGGTCTCAAGTTTTTAATTTGCACTAAAAAAAAAAATTAAGTAAACAAAAAATAAGTGAGGCTAAACTAAAAAATCTGCAACTGAAAAATTATTTAACTAAACTCACTAAGTTTGCTAAACATTTCTGGTTATTGGTTTGTCATATGCAATTATATATTTGCAATAACGGAAAAATAGCGGTACTTACCGTGCCGGCACAGGTAGTCGACGCCTTGGCGCACACATTCGCCCGTAATGCAACCTTGTGTGCGACAGTCCTCTTGTGGTGGTGTTAAGTAACCTTTACGTTGTTAGGAAAGTGAGGACAGTGTTAAGAAAAGTTTTCAATAAAATCAAATAAATCAAAAAATGTGAATATAAAATTGTTTTATGTTTTGCCCACAAAATTGTGGCACTAAATATTTATAACTATTTAATTTCTAACTATTAATAAAATACGTTGCTTGCAGCAAAGCGCAAGTGATAATAAATAGTTACTTGACAGCATATACAGCAGTTGTAAACAATTATTGCCTACATTCACTCGCAATATATACCACTGCTGCTTTTCGTAAATTTTTGTAAAGTGGATTAAACAAGTTTCAGAAAACTCTTTCAAAAATGTTTACGCAATGGCACAATTTTATACAAGAAAATGATACCGAGTCAATTTCCACAAAAAGAAGCTGCTAATTCGTCTAATGAGCATAAAATCTTTATTTCTGATGATTTGCGAATTAACGAAGGCTTTTTGCTCCTCAACACTTGCTGTGTGGAGCCTTTAACCGCTTTGCGCCTCCAACAATATACTTACATTCTACATAAGCATCGCCGTAGGGGAATTCCGCGGGGCAATAACATTGCGCTTCATTATGGTCCAAGACGCGGCAAGCTGCATTTTGTCCACATGGTTGTTCAGCGCACGCATTCACGAGATGTCCTTCGCAGACGCAACCTTTGTGAGCATCACCCATGCAGCCGTCCATGCAGGCGCACTCATAACCGCCAGGCACTTCAGTACATTTGGAATTAGCACCACACGGATGATTCGCGCAACCGCCATCTACTGGACGACACTCGGTTTCGGGTGTGCCAAAGTAATCGGGTGGGCATGAGCATTGTGGCTTGCGATCCACAACACGGCATTGCGCATTAACACCACACGCGCCATATTCCAAGCAAGGGTTGCGACATTTACCCGCATCACAACGTTTATTCGGTTCACAGTCGTTATCCTGAGCACATTCAAATTGTACGCACTCCGTGCTGGGCTCACCTTCGTAGCCATCAGGACAGTAACAAAGCATGCGATGATCGGAGACAGTGCAGAGTGCATTACGGCCGCAAGCAGACTTATCTGCGCACGGATCGGCGCATTTACCTTTGATGCAGCTTTGATCGGTAGGACAATCGGAGCTGGCCTTGCAGCCAGCAAGACAAGTGCCGCGTTCGCAGAGTTGACCAAGTGGACAATTACGTCCGGCGCCACACTTTTGGCGACATTTTCCACGCGTGCACACCTGACCACAGGCGCACTCTTCGGTGCGCGCACAGGCATCGGCGCAGTAGGTATTCGTTTCGTCACACTGACAGTTGGAGTTGCAGCGTTGTGGTGGCTGTTGACAGCCGCTAAGTCCATCGCCAAGAAAACCATTCGGACAACTACACTGCACACCATGGTTGACCACCAAGCAGTTGGCGCACTGACCACATTGACCAGGTGTCTCGCAGGGATTCTTGCACTTTTTGTTGACGCACGCTTCACTGCTGGGGCAGGTGAGATCATTGCGACAACCAATTTGACAAACGCGATTTTCACAAATCTGTCCTTGTGCGCAAGCTGAATCTGTGTTGCAAACGGTGCGACAAGTACCGCGCATGCAACGCTCATCGGCCAAGCAGTTTTGATCATTGCGGCATTTACCTTGACAGCTGCCACCGTAACAGAGTTGATTTCCATCGCAGTCCTCGTTGCGCGCACAAGCGGTACGCGGCGCTTTACATGATACTTCGGCATTGCCGGTAAGCCCTTGTGGGCATGTGCATTGCTTGCGATGATCAATAACCAAACATTCAGCATTTGTGCCACATACAGCGGGTTCGGCGCATGGATTAATACACTGTTGATTGACACATGATAGATCGTGTGGGCAGCCCTGATCCGAGCGGCAACCAGCTACGCAGCTTAGTCCCAAACAAACTTCGCTGCCGCGGCAATCGTCGTCACGTCGACAAAGCGGCTTGCAGACACCACCTTGACAGCGTTCATTGGTAAGACAACCAGCGTTATCAGCACACAGCGGTCGGCAGGCAAACTCAAAGCAAGCCAAACTATTGGGACAGTCACGATTCTCATTACAATCGAGCGGTGGACTGCGTACACAGCCGACTTGTGGTGTTGGATTCGGTACCATGCCATTCAGACAGCTACAAATAGCACGATGATTCGATACGGAGCAGGCAGCGTTGGGACCACAAGGATTATCCAGGCAGGGATTGGTGCACTTATCGTGACGACAGGACTCTGATGCGCTACAATCATCGTCGGTACGACAACCATAAACGCATTTATTATGTAAACAAACATGTCCAAGGAAGCAATCGTTGTCCACGCGACAGGTTACTGTAAATAGAGAAGAATGTGAAATTTGAGTTGTCGCTTCCCTTCTAAAGGCTTGTGTTGCCTCTGGATGAGACTCGAATACTTACGCATACAGCTACCGCGTAGACACTTCTCATTCAAGGCACAATCTTGGTCGCTATGACAAGCGGGCTGGCACATTGAGTCGCGACAGTTATAGCCTTCGTGGCATTCCACATCACTATTGCAGGCCACTGGTATACGCACACATTCCACCTCCGGATTGCCGGTGAAACCAGCTGGACAGGTGCATTGTTTGTAGTGAGTCTGTATGTGGCATTCAGCATTCATGCCGCAAGCTTGTGCCTGCAGGCAGGGATTCACGCATTGACCACCTTGACATACTTCCGTAGCGCCACATTCGGTGTCGAGTATGCAGGCAGCTGTAATACAGGGAGTTAACAGATTAGCAAATCATAGAAACAAAGTCTAAGACTTATGTGGTTGGGCGTTCGTTGTCGAATTCTTCTATTAGGTTACTTCGTTTATTGTTTTAACTCTTGTTACACAGTCCGAGTCGTTTGTCTACTAATTTACTAACTCTATTTACTTAATATAATATTTGAACGACCATTCCATAATGCTGGACAGGCAGCATGAAAGTTTTGGCCTACTTAATCAAAGCCTTTGACGTCGAAAAGTTTGGCGAAAATATAGCATAAAATTCAAAAGCTGTTGAGTTTTCGGTTCAAGAGCTTTGAGATACCGGTTTTTCAGAAGTTTTCAAGTCTATACTGAAAAATGAATTTTTCTAAAAATATAACCTAACACTTAAAAACTGTTTAGTTTTTGGTTAAAGGGCTTTGATTTACCAGATTTTCACTCGTCTTCATATCTATGTAGCTATAAGTCTATTAACATTCATTGCTTTATTATAAAGAATTAGGGAAGAATCGGCATCAACTCTGACCCATTACAAATACAAATACCGTTAAAATAAGCTCTCTATCTAGATTCATAGAATATTAGATGCAATTTTGTTTTGTACAATCGTATAATTCTGGCAGCTTGAATAACAGGTTTTTAGGTGACTATAGTCTTGTACTTAAACGTTATATATATAAGTGACTTTAGAATAACCTAAGCTTTACTACGAACTCAATTCATATCTATTAAGAGATAGGCCCTAAAGGTCCGACTTATCTGAGCGTAAAGTCTCATTAAATTGTTTTAAACTAATTAATATCTTGTGCCCCATTCGCTTCACCGTTTATTTTCGTTTTCTTTTTTCGGTAAATTTCAAAAACATTAGATTAAACTTCACCAGGATCTTAACTATTTTAGGTTATAGGCATGTCAGTAGCTTCACATATCCTGCACACATTAACACAATGTATTTAGACATTACACGGACCCTTGTGCGTATCATTTTATTGGTAAGTAGGGTAGTAGGTTGTGTAATAAGGTAACTACGAAGTTAGCTCTCTAAAAGGGTTACACTAGGATATTATTTTGTTGTTGTTTAGCTTTTATTATTTTGTTTTCAAAAACTAAACCGTACCGTTATTAGCGTAAATAAACTTTTTCTTTATGTTGTTGTTGGGTGTTTTGGTACCTTTTCATGTTAGTACTTACGTTTACAAATACTATCCGAACAGTAGGTATTGGTCGGGCAGTCGCTGGTCATTTGACATGGTACGGGTAGTGGCTTACAGCCGGCAATCCGATCAGCGGGATTACCGTCGTAACCATTACGGCATGCACAATGAGCTTGATGACCCTTAGGTATACATTCGGCATTCGTGCCACATTTAACATTCGCACAAACATCTTGACATTTGGATATACCGTTAATTTTGGTGCATTCAGCATGCGGGGGACAATCTTCGCTAATTTCACACTCCACCGCGGTGCGACAACCTTCATTGTAGGGATCACCAACCAAACCGGGAGGACAAGTACATTTAAATGAACCACGCGAATTACGGCAACGTGCACCCGGACCGCATGGCGCATCCTTACAAAAGTCGACAACGTCACAACGTAAGCGCGGATCACCGGTAAAACCAGGCTGACAGTGACAGACCTGTTTATGGTTTTCTGTAGTGCATAGCGCATTCTCACCACACGGTTCTCCGATGAGGCAAGCTATCTTACACATATGGTCATCGCATGTCTTATCGTTGGAGCACTCGGCGTCCGTAGAACATTCTATCTTTCGACAACCACTCTTCGGATCACCGAAGAATCCTTCCTTGCATTCGCAATCGGGCGTGTGGCTACGTGCTGTACACTCAGCATTGCGTCCGCAAATAGCGCGACCCAGACAAACATTCTCGCACGAAGCGCGTCCATAGGTATCTTGTATACAGTTCTCATTCACATCACAGTCATCGTCGTTGCGGCAAAGCACCTCCTTGGTGCAAATGCTATTGTGACAATACTGGAATTCGGGGCATGAAGAGTTCGAACGGCATGTGGGCTGACAAACGCCTTGTATGCACAATTGATCCGAGATGCAATCACGCACGGAAGTACAGAGTGAAGCGCAGATGCCATTGGTACATATTGTGCCTGAAGCACACTGACTGTCTGTGTTGCAATATTGTAGCGCGACGCAGCCGAGTTGTGCATCGCCTGTTGTGCCGCTTTCACAGGTACAAACACCGATATGGTTCTGAGCAGTGCAACGTGCATTAGTGCCACAAACATTCGGCAGAGAGCAGCAATCAATACATTTGGAGTCCATGCAGGCTTTCTCATTGGCACAGTCCTCGTTCTCCGAGCACTCGATGTAGACGCATTCAATGGATGGATCACCACGTGAATTGGGTGGACAAGTGCAAATGGCATTGTGTGATTGCGCCAAACATGTGGCATTACGGCCGCAGACATTCTCGCGTTCACACGGGCTACGGCAGCGTGCATTTTGGCAACTTGCGCTTGAAGGACAATCTGAGTCGGTGAGACATTCGTTGGGATCACGACAACCCACATTAATTGGGTCGCCTATCAGTCCTTCCGGACATTGGCACTGGAATGTGCCAGGTTGATTTTCGCAGAAAGCTGTGCTATGGCAGGGTTGAGAGAGACATTCGTTGATATCTTCGCAGTTGTTGTTTACAAGCTGGTAACCTTCGTAGCAAGTACATAAGGCTTGATGATTTGCAACACTACAACTGCCTTTACCGCATGAAATAAGATCGCAAGGTTTCATGCAACGATTCGTTTCATCATCGCAAGCCTTATCACTGACACAGTCCTCATTTACGATACATTCGACCTTGAAGCAGCCGACTGTATGTTCGCTGGGATCACCCAAATGTCCGGGTGGGCAATAACAAGAAGCTTGATGGTTTTCTGCATTGCAAAGCGCATTCGGTCCACAAGTAGTATTGGTGCAGGGCTCTGTGCACTTATCATTAATGCAGGCAAGATTGTTCGCGCAATCGTCATCCTTATAACATTCCTTTGGTTTTATACAGCCTTGTTGAGTTAGACCATCGCCGACTGTGCCTTCAGGGCAAATACAGCGATAGGAACCAGGTAAGTTCTCGCAACGTGCAGTGGGATGACAAGGCTCCTCAGTACATTCATCGATGTCTGAACAACCGAATGGTGTGCCAATAAAACCGGCAGCACATTTGCATTTACCGCTGAGACATAGTTCAGTAGGTGGACAATCAGCATCGGAGTCACAGCCAGGTTGGCATGTGCCGGCATTATTACAAATTTCACCAGGCAAACAGTTGTTGCTCGTGTAGCAAACTTTGCGACAAACATTCTGGTAGCAGCGTTCGCCGATTGCGCAAGCCGATGCCTTTTGACATGGCAAATTACATTGATTGCCGATACACATATGACTGCTTGGGCACTGATTGGTAGCCAAGCATGGTGCCGGTACACGTACACAACCTTGATCGGGTGTGGGATTACCTTCGAATCCTTCGGGGCAAGTGCACTGGCTGAGGTGTTTATCGATGCTGCACAGCGCATTGGGACCGCATATACCGCCCGTTTTGCAGGGATCAGCACATTTATTGTTGATACATGATTGATCTGATGGACAATCCCTATTACTGCGACAGCCAAGAACGCAAAGGCCTTCCAAGCAGGCTAAACCTGATGTACACTGACTATGGTCCAAGCAGGGTATTACACAAATATTGCTCAAACATTTTTCACCTACTGAACAATCGTCTGCATTGCGGCAAGCTACTCGACATTGTCCATTATAGCAAATATCACCGCCGCAATCAATGTCGGATCTACATCTGGACACTGAACGTACACATCCCTCTTTAGGTGACTCACCGTTTTGCTGGAATTTCAATGGGCAACTGCAAACTGGTTTGCGATTAACCACCTTACATTCGGAGTTCTGACCGCAAGCGTTCTCACAGGGATCAATGCAACGACCGCTAGCGCAAATGGTATTCGCTGGACAATCGGCATCGCCATTTGGACATTGGCCAACGGGACGACAGCCGGTTGTTTCGGGTTCACCAATGAAATTTTCCGGGCAGCGGCACATTGGTCCAGTTGGTGTGACCTCACAAATGGCGGAATGATGACATGTGCCGGGCTGACAGCCGCTGACTTTTGTGCACTCCACTTCAGGCATGGGATTTCCTTTAAAGCCTGGTGGACATTGACATACGGCACGATGATCTTCAGCAATACATATGGCGTTCTCTCCACAGGATTCTTCATCGCAGACATCGTAGCAGGTATGTGTCATACGGTTGCACATTTTGGTCGGTGGACAGTCATGATTGTAGACACAAGGTACGCTCTGGCAGCCATTGAATGGATCATTTGGATCGCCAGCATATGGTCCTGGTGGACATTGGCATTGAGCGATGTGATTATTAGTGATGCATACGGCACGTGGACCACATTTAACACTTTCACAAGCTGGTCGGCAAGTGAGACTGTCAGTGGGTCCATATTTTACACATGCTTCTGATTCGGCGCATTCTGCATTGGTGCGACATTGATTCTTCGTCACAGGCTGGCAGCCATTTCGATCGTTTGGATTGCCAACGTAGCCGGTCAGACAATCACAACGGCCTTGGTGATTAAGCGCTAGACAAACCGAATTGGCCGGACATGTAAATTCATCGCAGATTGAGACACACTTGAGTACACCGACTACGTCGGGTCTACAGGCAGAAGCAGCTGGGCAGTCTGTATCACTAGTACAGTCAGGCAGTGAAGGCTTTTCACAAGATGAAGTGACGGGATTCCAAACAAAGCTATCTGCACAGTTGCATAGCGCATGTCCATTCGCATCAATGTGGCACACTTCATTCGTGCCACAAACGACCTTCGAGCAACGGTTGATACATTCTTTGGTGCCGTGCATGTCAGGTGTACACGAGTAGCCCGCTTCACAGTCGCTATCCGATTTGCATTTATCCTCTTCATCTGGAACTTTTCGTTCGGGTTGGCAACCCACCTGTAGATTGCTTGGATTGCCGAAATAACCATCAGTACAAATACAAGACGAACGATGATCGTTTGACACGCAAAGCGCATTCGGACCGCACTGAATCTTTGAGCAGGCATCAACACATTTGCGCAAACCTTTGCCCAATTGGAAACAAATTTCCGAGTGCTTACAATCTGCATCGTTATTACATTGACCACGGATGGTGCACCCATTAGTGGTGTCGTATGGATCACCGATATAACCGAGTGGACAAATACACTTACCGCCATCGCAGGCAGCTCTTGGGCCGCAAGCGGTCTTTGAGCACAGATTCTTGCACTTACCGCTCTCACAAGTGTAGCCATCAGGGCATTCGACGCGTGCGTTACATTCGCATCTATCAGCATCATTACAGAAAACAGTATCGACAGGTTGGCAACTGCTGAATGGATCACCAGCGAATCCAGAAAGGCAGAGACACTCGAAACCGCCGTGTGTATTGAGGCAGGCCGCATTCAGACCACAAGGTTTGTTTACACACTCATCCACATCTTGGCAGCCCACGTAGGCATTACCAGTGAACCCTTGCGGGCAGATACAACTGATTTGTTGGCCATCAGCGCGACATTCAGCATTCGTACCGCAGCTATTGGGTGCACAAATATTCTTGTTTTGTGGACCACAACCTTCGTAGGGGTTGCCCGTCGTGCCAGGGTTGCAAGCGCATACACTATTGCCAAAACCATACTCACAGTGCGCATTTTCACCGCACTTTGGCTCACATTCAGCATATTTAACAGGTGGAACACACACGAGATCTGGGTTACCGAAGAAATTGGGTTCACAAACACATTTGCCACTATTCCTGTCACAAGTGGCACCAATGCCACATACCACGCCGTCACAGCGTTCCTTACAGCGGCCATTGATACAAACTTGACGCTCAGCGCATGGACGTGAGGCACTACATTGATCCGTCGAGCAGGAGCCACCTGGGAATGGATTACCGAAGGAACCTTGTGGACATTTACAAGTTGGTCCCTCTGCCGTTGGTATACAGAGAGCGCCTTCACCACAAATAATATCCTTACATTGTGATACACAATCACCGTTTTGATCTTTGCTATAACCGACGCGGCAACGACACCAGCCGGCATGGTTTTCAGTCTCACAGAAGGCATTGGGTCCGCATAGTAAGCTGGAGCATGGCGACACACAAGTTCCTTCCACACAAGCCAAATTGCTTGCACAGTCTTCGTTAGCAGTGCACTTACTCTTCGGCACGCCGGTTTCCAGAATACAACCGCTCTTATATGGATCACCTGTGAAACCTTTTGGGCAAACACACTGATAACCGCCTTTCTTATTAACACAGTAAGCGCCATAAGCGCAAGGCAAGTGCGCACACTCATCCTCATCGGTACAACCCATAAGCGGGTCACCTTTGAATCCTGGTTCACACATACATTGTGGTGGATCTGTTGGTGTGCACTTGGCATTGATGCCACAAGGAAATCGTTCGCAAGGACTCTTACATTTGTTGTTGTCGTAGGGATCCAAGAAGAATGGTGGTGGACAGACACATTCGCCAGGTTGTACACATTTCTCATTCGTGCTACATTCCTTATCGGCAGCACATTTACGTTGCGCTGGTGCACAGAGTCCATGGTAAGGATCCCCGTTATAGCCCTCAGGGCATGCACACGTGAAACTGCCGGGTATATTAATACATTCAGCGCCAAAAGCGCACACTTGCGAGTCACGTTCCACACATTCATTCACATCAACGCACGAACCATCGGGTCCGGTCTTATAGCCTTTCGGGCAGGCACAGTAGCTAACGCCACCAGCGATTGAAATACATTCAGCACCGTTAGGACATTTTTTATCCTTTGAGCAATCGGCGAGTATGCAGCTGTTGCCGACCAGCTTGTATGGTGGCTGGCATTGACATTCCGGTGACTTGCATTGCTCGCACATAACAAAGGGATTGCCGCTAAATCCTTGTGGGCACTTACATTCATAACTGCCGGGTAGATTTTTACAAAGCGCATTAAGTCCACAAGCCGCCTTCTGGCGACTCGGTGAACACTCATCCACATCCTGACAAAGACCCGACTCTGTATTGCGTTCGTAGCCTTGTCGACAAATACACACACCACTACCGGTATATGAGTCTGTGACGCAGGTTTCACCCGGCCGGCAGGGATTTGAGTCGGAACAAGTGAATGCGATTTTTCCTGCGGTGCAGCCCTCACGGTATGGATCACCGTTGGATCCACTTGGACACTGGCAGAGATAACCACCAGCTGTGTTCGTACAAATTGCATTCGCTTGGCATGGGCTCGTCTTACATTCGTCGATGTCATTACAACCGCCGGGCGTATTGGGGCTGCCCGTATAACCTTCGATACACAAGCATTGCGCTTGGCCATTGGCCAACATGCACTGTGCATGTGTGCCGCAATTAACCGCTTCACAAGGATGACGACAATCGTTGCCGATATTTGGCTGTGGGCATAGACAACGCTTTTCCGCATCACAAATTGCATTACCAGGACAGTCGTTGTTCGAGACGCACGTAACAATCGGCACGCAACGCACCGTGGGATCTGGATCGGCGATCGAATCGGCGGGACAACGGCAGGTATAACCGCCATTCATATTAACACATTCCGCACCTTCACCACACTTATTGCCCACATGACATTCATCCACGTCGACGCATTTGGCATGCGGATCGCCGGAAAAGCCAGATGGACACGCGCAACTAAAGCTACCCAACGTGTTCGTGCACGTCGCATTAACACCACAACTGCCAAAGGGACCATGTACCGCATCACACTCGTCAATATCCACACAACCGGCTGAGATGTCACTGGGATTGAAAGTCCAACCGTCTTCGCAAATACAATAAGCCTCATTGCCATCCGGTTTGCAGTAAGCATGTTCACCACAGTGCACATCCTCACATGGTTCCTTACAAGCTATACGCGGTGGTGTGCCAACAAAGCCAGCCTCACAATCGCAACGGAACGAGCCGGGCGTATTTATACATTGTGCGTGCACGCCACAGGCGTCCGCATGCGTGCGACATTCATCGATGTCAACACAACTGGAGCCAATCGGTTCGAAGCCATCCAAACAGAAACATTGATTCTCAATGCATTCCGCATTGTTGGTGCAATCGAAACTGCTGCGACAAAGTATATTCACATCGACCTGCTCGCAGGCCACTTTCGGGTCTGGTTTTCCATCGAAGCCCTGTGGACACTTACAATTGTAGCCGGGTACGGCATTTTCGCATATAGCATGGGTGCCGCAAGGTTTCTCCAGTGCGGTGCACTCATCGATGTCCGTGCAGCCACGGAAGGGATCACCGGTGTAGTCTGTTTTACAGGTGCAGACAAAGCTGCCGACGGTGTCGGTGCAAATCGCATTCTCGCCACAAGGATTGTCCTGGCACTCGTTGATATCTATAGTGCGCACGTAAACGAGTGCGTATCAAATTGGTGTAGTGACGTTGTCGTTGCACGTGCGGAGTGGTGCAGAAGTATTGATTCAAACGTTAAATTCGGTTGATTTGGTGGTTCGCGTGGTGTTATAATAGTTTTTGGTTCGGTTTGGTTGGTTGGATTGGGTTTCAAGGTAGTTGGATGGTAGGCGTTTGTTGCAGTGATGGTATTGATTGGTGTTTTTATTTTTGGTTCATAGTGGTTGTGGTGGTGGTGTTGTTGGGAGAAGGTTGTTAAATTAGTTAAAAATTAAACAAAGAACAAATATACTTGGTTACAATGTATTCATGAATGTAATGAGTTTGATGTAAATAAAATATGAAATATGTATGTGTAGGAATAGCGTGAAAATAGGCAGTAGGAGACGAGCGGAAACTAAAACGAAAGCTATGAAGAAGCTGCCGCAAACTAAGAGTTGTATTTAAATGCAAATGCAGCTTTTAAACTAAGCGGATAATAGCAGTTAAGAAAGCTTCCAAAGCAAGCGCTTTATGAAAGCTTTTGTAAGTTTTAGCAAAGTTTGGAGTTGTTGAAAGTTTTCCCAGCAAACATTTTCTATAAATTGAAGCTTTCATTGTGTGAAGCTTTAAGCACTGTTTAAAAATTTGCGAAGACAAAAGTTAGAGCTTTCATTAACGAATGCTATTGTTGGTGATTAGAGCTTTCAGTCATATCACTTTAGGAACTTTTCTCTTAGAAAAAGTTAGCATCTATTGTTTTTTCCTTCTTTTTATTTGATAGTAAGGATTGACAACCTAGAGACTTAGTATGATTTATCAATTTTGTATGAAATTTGAAAGCTATTACAATTTTTGCGTGAATTTCAATAACTCTTGAAAAAAGTTTCAACGATTTTTTTTGCAGCAAAGTATCTTGACTTTAAGAGTATATCTATAACTATGAAAGCATTTAAGTTTTAAATATTCTGCAAAATTGCATTCAGATGAAAGCTTTGTTGAAGCCAATATGGTACCACAAATCCATGGCAGTAATATTATCGTAAGTTGATTTATAGGTAGGAAAAGCTCCCCCAATTTAGAGTAGAAAGTAGGAAATAGGAAAAAAATGGTAGAGCGAGAGCTTTTACACTGTAAACTGAGAAACTTTTGAAAGTCTTCGAAAGTGATTGATAGTCTATGCATTATCGAAGCCTTAAAAGCTTAATAATTTTATCACACTTCTGCCAAAGTTTTTATTGAAAACTTTAATCTTTTATGTTTAATTAAAATTATTGATAATATTTTTACGCGTCATTAAAAGCTTTTAGTTTGCTGGGAAGCAAGTTGTAAAAAGTGTTTAAAGTGTAGGAAAGCATTTAAAGTGTACGGTATTTGTTTAAAGCATCGCATAAGAAGCTTGTAGTGTGATATGTTAAAAGCTTGCAAGCCTTGCGCCCAAACAGGCTAAGCCGAATTTTGAAAACGCTAAAACACCGTTTTTTGACGTAAGCTTTGACGATATTAATTCAGATAAATTTTTGAGCTTTCAAGTGAAGCTTGCAAGTTTTCAACCTTAATATGTAAAAGCTTACTACTATTCAAATACTACAATAAGCGATACTAACTTTCACAATGCAAATACCCCTGTCCTTGAAAGCCGCTCGGGCATAAGCAACGATATGAGCCCGGAAAGTTAATGCATTTTGCGTTCGTGCCACACTTGGCCACACCATTATCCATATTACATTCATCTATATCGACACAAGCTAAACCGGCGCCGGTTACCCTTAGTGTTGTACCATTGCCGCCATAGATGCCGCCACCACCCAGACTATACTCCCGTTCGAATTCGAGCGCATAGCCGGGCGGACAATGGCACGCAAAGCTACCGCCAATATTCACGCATTCAGCACCCAAACCACATGGATTGTTAGTGGAGCACTCGTCGACGTCTACGCGATGTTGATACGAATGAGCACGAGTGGTAAATGTGGGTTGAGACGTCAATAATTTTGATACGTACGTGCGGTGCGTTTATGATTTGAATGTTTGGGTTAAATAATTGAATGTGTTTTTATTTGGTTTGTTGTTGGCGTTTTAGTGGTTAAATGCATTTTGCGTGTTGTTGTTGTGGTTACGGTTTTTATTTTTTTTGTATGTGCGTGTAAAAACAATTCGAGTTGTGAATTTATGTTTTTGTGCCACCGTGATTAACAATTAGTGTACGTTGTTGTTGTTGTTTAAATGTTTTATGTAGAATTTGGTGTTGTATGCGCGTGAAAGTGCAATGGTTAAAATATTTTTTTTTTTGTTTTTGATTTTTCCGTGAGGGATGCAAATACATAAAAAAGAATATAACAAATAAATACCATGAACTTAGTCTTGAGATTTTGATCAAGAAAAGCATAGCTGCTATTTTTCAATTTATCGACACTTACCTTCACAACCTTGACTGGGATCACCCGCATAGCCATCGGGGCAGATACACTTGAAGCTACCGTCGTTATTCAGACACTGCGCATTACGTCCACATGGCGAACGTGCACACTCATCATAGTCGGCACAGCCGTTCGCCGAGCGCGCATCACCGTCGTAACCTTCTGGGCAGTCGCAGCGATAACCGCCCTCGAGGTTCGTACAGATGGCACCTGGACCGCAGGCATTCGGATGTGTGCACTCGTCGATGTCCGTACAGCTATAATATGGATCGCCATGGTAGCCTTCGGGACATGCGCAGGTGTAATTGCCGGGCGTATTGATGCATTGCGCACCAGTACCGCAGGCAGTGGGACTTTGGCACTCGTTGAGGTCTGAGGGATTGAGAAAGTGAAAATATGAGACTCAACTTACATAGGAAATTAAAAAACGGTTTTATAAGAAGTAAGCTTTTTGTAAAAATAAACTTAGAGAAGAGCTTAAAAGCTTCATAAATCAATATAAAAAAAAATTCAAGGTTTTATAATATAAAGTATCTAGAGCTTACATACAATTGAAGAAATTATCTGTGAGCTAAACCTGTAAACAATTATATACCCCAATTTATCGATAAATCGTTACCTTTTATCAACGAAATTAAGTTAAAAGTAAAAAAAACCAGAATAAAAAAAAACTTTACATTTTATTCTTAGATCCCACTAAGATTTGTAAAATAAGCCGTAAACTTATCGATAAAGCGCTTTGCATGTGATTACTTATATTGAATTCATTAAATATTTGTATATGAATTAGTCTTAAGAAATATGTCCCAATTGTCTTGCTTATGAAATTAATCGATTTGAAATACGTACATTGTTATCGATAAATTAATTTTATCGATAAATATATGCTTTCTATGTGCTTTAAGAATTATATTCACTATTGTCTTGCTCCCAAAATTAGTCGATTTGAAATATATCGATATTTATTCTATGTTTAATTTTGATATTGAATATGCAGCAATATTTATCTATAGACTCAATGCTAATTTTCTTCCTCAGATTTTAAATTTTGAAAAACATAATAAATTAATATCCGTAGTAACCGTAAATCAGCAAAATCGATAAATTTGCAGTATTAAAAAATCTGAAGTAAATTTATCTGAAACCGGATGATTGCTGAATAGGGTTTTTGCTCACAGAAATTGCTAAGCTGTCCTTTCGTTTTCATAACTGATTAAATGAACTAAATTATGCATTTATCGATAAATTTGATTTTACGTATATTTTAAAGATGTCTATTGAAAAAATGGTCAACTATTTAAGTTTAGTTTGATAGCTATCACATTAACAAAAAATCGACAACTTACTTTTTCGATAACCGATAAATGACCGATTAATATTTAATGGAGGGCTAAATAGAGGAGGTAGCAAGAAATAGTAATAAAATAATTCCATTAAGAAGGACAGATTTTAAGAACTGTATGTATCTAATATTTTTTTCGATTTCATTTGTTTTGTTTTTTTTTGTGTGGTACTAAAAGTGAGCTTATACAAATTGGAACGTTAGTATGTTCTCAGCAAGTAGAGAATATTAAAAAGATTTTATATTTCTTTGAAATCAATTTGAAAGCGCGGATGATATCACTGTAAAGCCGCAAAATTTTCATATAACCTTGGTATCTCAACTATAAGTGTGTGCATACCGCAACAAATTCCATTTGATATGCAACAGACAAAAACAAAAAATAAATAAAATAACAAGACTCCATGCCTAGTTTGCGTTGTTTTTCAAATCAAATAATAATTAATTGCCAAACAATACTTGCCGAAAGCTTACCTCTTCCTGTTACCCACAAATTTTTTTTATATGAAAAAAAATTATAAAAAATCATTAAATTCTTAGTTCGACTACCCAAGCACCAAAAGCATTTTTCGTTGATTCAGACTTACCTGTGCACAGCACCTCGCCGTCGCCCTCATAGCCATCCCTGCATTTGCAGAGATAGTGTGCTGGCAGATTGCAGCACTCGGCGTTCTCGACGCAACGCGCTCTTATCGTAGGATCTTGGCATTCGTCGATATCTGTGTGTGTGTGTGTGTGTGAGTATGCGGCATGTATGTAAGGAAAAGAAGCAATGTGATGAAGCAAAAATATTAGAGGATTAAGGCGTAGCAAATCTTTATGAATATTACGTCATGTGTGCGTGTTGTGTTTGTATATATGTTTGTGTATTTGAGTGGTTAAGGGTTTAGGCATTGGAATTGAACGCTTCGATGAATTGATTATTGTTATGAATGCCAAGGTTGGCGTTTTTTATGGTTTTCCTTCTGATTTTAGATATTTTTTTTCTAACAAATAAATTAACGTTGAAATGTGCGTCCATCACTTTGGACAACAACGCTTGTACATACATAGATACGTATGCAACACGTATGTAACTCTTTTATTTACGCACCATTGCAAAACGAAAGACTTAAGCGACAAACTTGCCCTCCTGTCTACCTTTGAATATTACCGCCATTGGCTTTGTTGTTACGCAGTTTTCATGCATCACCGCCAACTAATGCGTATGCTGCACTTTATGCGCCCAGCAGCAACAATAAACCACGCTGTTTGACATATAAATACATACATACATGCAGCTAGTATGTTCCGCATGCGTAATTGCCGCTGACTTTGGCCTGTCAGCGCATCATTATTTGGCATTGATTATGCAAATTGAAGGTAATTTCTTAATTTTTTACACTTTTGCTTCATAGTTTGTTGTTGTTTGCTTCTTTTTTGTGCAATTTGAATATGTTGATTTGTGCGCTGACACTTCATTGTCATGTTGTGGCAAGTGCGGCGACTGTGTTGCATGCATGCATATGCAATGTCAGTGGCGCGTGAATTTATGCAAATTGCAAACAATAAATTGTGAAAATATTATAAAGTACACCTATTTGACATGCGGTTCAAGGTTGTAAAGTGGTTTTGCATTTGATTTGTTTTAAAATCACTTCTAATGTGATTATGTGCTAATTAACATTTTTATATTTAACATTTTATATCTGTGTATTTATAAGTTTTTCTATACGACAAAATAAAAAAAAAGTAAGTGGTGAAAGTCTATTATCATATTTGTTTTTAGATTTTGTTGCATGTTATTTTAGTTTTTATTTTATTTTAAATTAAATATTTTAATTTTAATAATAATCATAATTTTAATTTAATTTATTATACCTAATTTTTTTTTTTAATTTTATTTGATTTCATATCATTTATTTTAAATTACAATAATTTTATTTAATTTGACTTAAATTTAATTTAATTTATTTTATCTAACTTTATTTTATTTTATTTATTTATTTAATTTAATTTAATTAAATTTCATTTTATTTTTTTTGATTTAATTTAATTGAACTTAATTAAATTTTTATTTATTTAAATTTAATTTGTATATTTTTAAATTTAATTAATTTTAAATAATTAAATTTAATAGTTAAATTTTTAATTTATTTTAATTTAATTAAATAAAAATTAAAGTTAATTTAAATTTTTTTAATTTTCTTTGATTTATTTTAAATTTATTTATTTTTATTTTATTTAATTTAATGTATTTTAATTTCTATTAATTTAATTTAATTGGATTTTATTTAATTTAATTTAATCTAACACTATTTTATTTTATTTTACGGGCAACAATTCTCATACTTTTCTTATTAAGGAAAAAAAGAAACAAACAAACTTTTGGCCTGAGAAACTGCCACTCTCCCACAATTTCGTTTTCAAGAAAGCGCAAAAATCAATTTCCACTTCAACTCCATCCCTCCACTACCCCCTTGGAAGAGTACTGCATGCTTTTCCACCTTGCAGGGTTAATGTGTCTATTACCGATTGTCTGGCGTCGCTTGTTATTCTACGGCATAGATCATCAAAATACTTTTACCGCATTTGGTATTTTCTCCAACATACTCTAGCTTGTAACTCGTTACTAAGATTGCAGCGCTTTTCTGCAGTTCAAAGAGTTAATAGGCGCTTAAATTTTTTCGGGCTTACAAATGTACTCTTTCGCTGGCCATTAGATTGGACATTCTTCATTACCGTAAATGGCATGCATCTAATTGATTTTATGTTGTTTGCAATTTGTTGTTGTTGCTTTCTCTTATTAATAAACGCGTGAAAGGTAAGAGCGCGCAGGAATAATTGATTTTAGAAATTTATATCTTTTTGTTGAATTGGAATGTCTCAATTGTTAAACAAATGCATAGAATGAAGTAAATTACTAATGACTTTCATGTGTTAGAGCTTTAGATTTGAAATTTCGCAGTACCGAAATTGCGGGTTATTACTTAAATCAAAAAAATATACCAAGAATTGCCACTTTAAAATGTGATTAAACATGACGCCCAATCGAAATATTTGGGATTCCGATAACCTGAATCTCGAAAATATGAATCCCGAAATTTATTTAATTAAATAGTTTTTTATGCTCTGTAGTAAATATGTTAGTACTGCTTACGTAAATATGTTATTACTGTTCTTATTCATTTTTTGCAGATTTGAAATTTCGCAATCCCGAAATTTCGGGATTATTATTTAAATTTAAAAAAATATATAGAGAGAACTGTCTCTTTAGAAATGCAAATAAAATGGTGTTATATCGAATTATTTCGGGATCCCGAAAATATGAATCCCGAAAATATGAATCCCGAAATTGAAGTGCTTAATCAAATACTGATTTTTTGATGTTCAGCAGTAAATATGTTGTTATTATTTAACACCATTTTCTGTTTATCATGTACATTGTCAAGATGTAAATATTTTTACAGCGTTCTTAAAGAAGCCCAGTATTTATTATTCAAGTTAGGCTTTTATGCTATTTTATATAGACACAACCTGCTTACTCTTAGGTGTGTGTGTATGCACATCCAACAGTTTGGTTAATTATTTTCTATTTATTTAATTTATGTGCATTTATATACTTTGTTTCTATTTTTAGCTTGGACGCGTGTGAACCTGCAAGCCTTCAATGATGCTGCTGGTGTACAAAAATCATAATTTAGGGTAAATATATTATGCGGGTATATGTATGTACATAGCACCAGCTGTGTTCAAACTCAAATTGATGACCTCGAAAGAGGCTGCTGCCGCCTAATGAGGCGCCAACTTCCCACAGCGTTTGCTTGAATTGAGCAGAATATGAGTACAAGTAATAGCAAAAAATTACGGTTGTACGCTACGTAGAAGCGGGTAAGTAGCCAAATTCTACCTTTTACACAAATTAAATTAAACAACTTGTTCCCGTAGTAAGAAAGAAACAAGTGTCAAGAAATGAATTTTGAACTTAAAAATACGCAGTCTATACATATGTATGTACTTATATACTTAGTAAGACAGAAAAAAATAAACTTTATTCTAATTTTGCATAAAAAAAGTCTGGCGCTTTCTTAATTATGCGCTGAGTCATAATTTTTAATTTTTTAATTTTTTTCATTGGTTCTTAGTTAGAAAAGAATGAAAAAAAATTTTAGTTATAAAAAATTGGCAACGCCTAGCATCTTTACGCTTATTTGCTTTATATTTTTTATAATTAAAAAATTTTTTTTTCTAAAAAGTTTGACCTTGACTACTTGCTGGCATATGTATGTTATGCTTATACAACAGCTTAATTTATATGTACATATATATGTACATATGCATGTGAAAAAATACATATAACGCTTGTACGCGTGGTATGCCGACATTTCGTACCCGCATTTGTCTTGGCAAGTAATTAATTTCCATACCACCGTGGCACTTGTAGCAAGTTGTTATGCTGATATTTCTAATTTTCACGCATGAGCTCATCAAGCATGGCTTGAATTCAACCTTTGGCTGTTTCGCAGAATTTTTTTTCATATCTTTGGTTACAGGAAGGAGCCAATTTTATTTTTATATATGTATATTTATAATTATTATTTTTTTTTCTCATCAACTTGTCGACTGTTACGTCAATCATATTTTTGCCACCATATGTTATAAATTGATTTAAATTAACTAATAATGACTTTGCAGTTTATTTTCCAATCACGGTAAAACTTCTCTAGGTAGGGTAGTAAAATTTAAATTTTGAGTTACGTCAAAAAATTTCGTTACACTGGCAACATACAAAGCGCTATTAGTGTGAAGGTTAAACCAACTTAATTTTTTTCGGTTGTTCGGTATAGTATGTTATAGTTAATAAAAACAGGTGGCAAGTTTAAAACTTATAAGTAAAAAAACATTTTCAAAAAAACACCACAAAAAGATGTTGTATAGGAATGTTTAGAGTTTATTGTGTTAGGCTGCCACACAATTTTTTTTCAACGGTCATTAAATTACAGTGCCTGAAGAAGGCTTGTAGTTGCAAATGTTTTTTTTTTGTTAAGGAAGATTGTTATATCTATATGTATTTTAATTAGAATATTTTGTGAGATCAGCCAATTAGTTTTGAGTAGGGTTGCCATAAGATGAAAATTTTTATAAGTCGCAACATAAATAAAATATTATTAAAAATATTTCTTTCTGAAAGTTTTAAAGCTGTAAGTTATCTCTCGAAGATAATAATGAAAAGGGTTGCCATCTGCATAAAAATTTAAATTCAACGAGATTGATTAGCTAAGAAATGAATTATAGCAATATGGTTATCAAAATAAAAGCGATTTAAAGCGCTTACAATTGACACAAAAATTTTCGAGGTTGCCACCTCTTTAAATTTGAGAATATTACAATCATTTAAAAATAAAATATTAGCAGATATGCAGCCAAATAGCAATAGGTTTTTAATTTTCTAATTTTCATATATAAAAATTATCATTAATAAAAAAAATTTAATATTATTTTTGACAAAATTTTTCTATAGGAAAAAAATTTAAAATTTTATATTGTTGCACACACGATTTTTTTCATTAAAATTTTTATAAATATTTTATTTTAGTTTATATATATTTTTGCTTGAAATTTTTTTTTCGCATTATTAATCGTTTTTCAGTCTTCTTTAATTTTTTGCGCATTGTTGCCACTTGACTTCTCTTCATGTTGTTATTGTAGTTATGAATATTCGCTTTTTACTACTACGGTCCGCAATCATTTTGATTGTCGTTCGGCCTGTCATCATTAGCGGCACATTAATTAAATGAGCCGCGTAAATTTGCACACTTTAACGAGCGCTGAAGCTGCCAACCTGGGGCAATGTTCATATATATATGTAGATATGTACATAAAAGTTATTTTTTCATATATTTAGTCACGTATGTTGCACGCTGCATGCGTCTTTAGGCTGCAACAGTAGCGTTAATTGCGCGTGTCAATATCGTAGCGCCACATAAACTGGTATAATAAGCAGTTTTAATTGCTTTTTGAGTTATTTATTGCAATATTAATATATATTTGTGTGGAGGTTGGGGCGATTTTAATCGTTAGGGTCATTAGATTCAAATTTTTAAACAGTTATTGTATTATAATGTGTTTGATCTCTCTTCGTTGTTTTTGCATGCATAAAAAAATTTTTTTTTTTAAGAGATAACTCATTAGGATTATTGCCTGCAGCAACGCTACAATCTCCGAACAAATTAATACGATCGGCCTACTATATTATATAACTGCCATACAAACCGATTTATCAAAATCAAGTTCTTGTATGAAAAACTTTTTTTAGTTTAGGAGATATCTTCACGAAATTTGGTAAAAATTATTGTCCAAGTAAACGTTACAAGCCTCTAGAAAAAAGTTCAAATCGGATTACTATATCATATAACTGCCATACAAAATGATCCATCGAAATCAAGTTTTTGTATAAATTTTTTTTTTAGTTTAAGAGATATCTTCACGAAATTTTTTTAAGGTAACGTTATAATCTTCGAGCAAATTGTTATGATCGGATTACTATATCATATAGCTGCCATACAAACCGAACGATCAAAATAAAGTTCTTGTATTAAAAACTTATATAATTTTTAGTTTACAATATATCTTCACGAAATTTGGTAGAAATCATTGTCCAAGCAAACGGTACAACCTCGATAAAAAAGTGTAAATCACATTACTATGTATATCATATACCTGCCATATAAACTGTTAGAGCTATATTAAGTTTTTGTATGAAAAACTTTTTTAGCTTAGAAGATAACTGATTTTTTCTTGATGCTATAAGCTGCAACTTTTTTCTATTTATAAAAATTTAGCCTTTTAAGTTTTAGAGTTCCAATTTTTATTCTGGGGCATTCCTCATTTAAATCAAACTAACTTTTCTCTAAATAAATGTCTTGCGCCACGTTCATCACTTAATGTTATGCAGAATTACAAAAAAATATTGTTAAAAAGTCTATAAATACTATTTTATGTATGTATTATTGTAGCGCATTGTTGCAATACCATTGTAACGCATGCATGTTGCAGCTTATCACTAGCGTTCGATCGCTGCGAAAAAGGGCAAATGAAGGCAGTAAAACAACGCGAACGCTAGTCGAAGTCAAGCGAGCGTTAACAGCAAAATAAAAGTGGAAAAAATATATATTTACAATTGTTGTTGTAAATTTAATTTCTTTTTATTTTTATCTGTAAACATTTTATTTCGCTTTTGTGCAAATGAAGCGCCAGTGAGCGAGCGCTATATAGTGAAAAACCTAAATACCCCGTTACGTGCCTCAATTTGCATGCATATCTGTGTGTGTGTGTGTGTAGATAAAAGTCATATGTGGCACACGCGCACACACATACAGTGTTGCAAGTACATTTAAATGCGTTGCCACGCTATACCGCGCCACAATCTGGCACAGTCAGCACATTAAAGCAAATAAACACCAACAATAATAGGTATCTCTAGCAATACCTTATGTGGCAAGTGTTTGCTTTCGAATAACCACTTAAGCGATGCCACGATTCGCAGTACTTTTCGAGTAAATCAAAATTCAAATTAATTGTCACTTGAAAGCAGCGCTTAGCTAGCGATCTGTCTGCACAACTTCACTTCAAGTATTTGTTTGTGTATGTGTGTTACAAGTGCTGCAAAATTTTTCCCTAAAAAAGGCTTTTGCTGTTCGCCTATCTGCCCGCTTGCAACATTTCATTTGCTATGCAAACAGCGCCGCCGACAAGCTGCAAACCGTCAACAACACCAACAACAACTAAGTGCCGTTGAAGTGATAATCGTGATGCTTGTTGCGCAACAACAACAACAATGAAAGAAATACATTTTTATTTATATTTAAACATTTTTAGTTGAACGTGTCACGACAACTCAACTAAGGTTGCCACAAATAAATGCATGTGGCAAACGTCTTGCATTATTCACGCTTGCGCTCCTTTGCCTTTCATATTTCGTCTGCTTTTGGCATTGTGTAGTTTCCCTTTAACCTTTGCTTTCACCTTTTTTGTTTTGCTCGTGTGCTTTTACTATTTACTAGCGCCACTTGGCTGTGACTTTCCCTCCACCTGCCTGGCCAGCGTCGCAAACTCCCGCTTCCACGGTTTTTCTTATGTTAATGGCTTTTTTTCGCAGCACAGTTAGCTGCAGTAGAACCACAATGCTGGTCATCAAAGTGCCATCTGCCAACTTTTACTGTCACTACCTTGCGCTCATGTCCTCTTCATCCCTGTCTGTCAGTTTGTCGGCCTGTCTTTTTAGCTCGCGGCGTTGCGCTCTTCTGGACCATTAAATTTATGCAAAATGTCTGCTTGTTTTGCTAAATATTTTACATTTCTCTTGTCACTTTACTTTCCTGCCGCTTTACTTTTATTTATTTACAAATCATCAACCTCAATGCCAATATTGAAAGTTAAATTTTGTAGCGTCTTCTCGGATATTTATTAGGATTTTCGGTCGTTAAGTTAATGTCTCCGCTTGCGGCAAACTTTCCACATACATTTTTCTCATCATCACATGTGACTAATGCGGCATGTTTATCTGTTTTACCTAGTTCTGCTCTGTTGCAGTTGTTAGCTTGCTTTTTTTGTTTATATTAAGTGACCTTTTAATATATAAAAAAAATGACTTTGAAATGAGATCAGTGGGCTTTTATGACTCCATTCCGGTCATTTACTTCTCATTACTGTAGCAAAATGCATGTTGCCCATGTGGCATGTATACTCGTATAATGTACATACATGCTCTGCAGGAAAAATTTCGCTACTTTTGAGCTGCTGCGGTTGCACTGAGTGCCGATGTTTCGATTATTGAAAATTATATTGTCAGAATTGAGCGGTTTCCGAGACCTAATCTTTATTAATATTTT